GCCCTTTCTGTGGGACGGGAAGCATTTACACAGAGGCAAAGCTGTGATCCCCGTGTACATGCTACCTGAAGACATCGCATATCTTATATACCTACAATAATGACTTTCCTACAAAATTCACTTCCTGAGAAATGAAGTAAAAGGATACCTCTCTACAAAGATGGGAAGCTTAGACTCTTTTCTAATTATGGACAGTGCTAAACTGGTCCATGTTAGGGTACACCATAAGAAGTTGCTGGTATTAGTGTATTTTTTACCTAAAAGAGTGACTATTTCATGTGGTTCAACATCATATCTGCCTCTGCAGCTTGATAAAAAAGAGTTAGGCAAAGAATCACTGTGGCAATGAGTCTTAACTTTATTAAACATACCCCTACCTTTTCTTCCAAATCATAGAATGTCCTGTCTGTATCCTTTAAGAAAGTAATATTAAGGAATTAAAGCAATTTCAGATACTTGAGAGACAAGATAATTTACCTGTATTCCTCTGGGATGCACCTGAAATTTAAGCCAAGTGCCAAAATATTCAAGACTTAAAGAAAGTTGGAGGGGGAGAAATCTCCTTAGGGTGAGAGATGTGAAAAGAAATATGTTATGATCCTGTACATGTGAAGAAGCAGAGTGAATATCATTTCACCGTTATTTTATCACAGAGCTCAAGGACTTGCCCAAGGTCAGGGTCAGCAGTTTGGGGCCGAACTGGAGCCAGACCCTCACATGTATTGAAGCAACTACCTTTTCTGAATCAATACTCATTATATATAGAAAGTGTCTGAGACTTTGTGTATAAAAACCACTTTATTTGTAAGAAATAGAAAAATATTTAACACAAGTTATAAGAATTTGATTTCCCAGATATCAAAATAATAATCCAACAGAGTCAGATGTGGAAAAACTCACCAAGAAACAAGGAGACTTTAGAATGACACATTAGAGGAAGGTGCTGTGGCAGAGGTGAGTGATATAAAGGGCAGAATGAACTGATTTCGTAAGTGGTTCAGGGAATTTAATGAAAAAAGAAGGATGCTTCAATGACTTTTTTGAGGATAGTGGTATTTTATTCACATTGTCTAACCTAGTCATCTATATAGCTGAGAAATTTTCATGTCAGTGAGTTATTCTCTCAATCATTTGTATTGAGCACTTCCTATAGAGCAAGCACTCTTTCAGATGTTTCAGATAAATCAGTTAAACAAACAAAAGACCTCATTCCTAATGAGCACATATTTTAACTGGGAAAACAGAAAACAAACAATGAATAAGATAAGCAAGCGAATTGTATGGTGACTTAGAAAGTGACATGTGCCAAGGAAAGAGAAAAAGAAGATCAGGGTAAGAGGAAGCAGGGGCCAGGCTTCCCGGGGTGGCAGGTGCACACAGCAGTTTTCAACAGACTAGTCTGCATGGGTCCCGTGGAGAAGGTGGACTTGAACAAGCCCTTGAAGGATATGAGTTAGTCAAGTGGCTCTTTGCGGGGAGATTGATTTTTCCAGGCCATAAACAAATCACTAAGCAGAGGCGTGCCTGGCAGGTATATATTTTATCATGTGCTCTAAAAAGCTGTGATGGTACCCATTTCTTCCTTTTACAATGAAAAGAAAACCTCAACCCATCCAATTTGCCCATGTTATAGTGTGCAGTGGTTGACAAGACTAGTAGACCATGCAGTGGACCGTCAGAAATCAGTGACCCAACACTCAGCTCTGGCCCAAGTATGCCCCAGGTTATAGGAATCTCAGCCATATTCTTTATTTTATATCCATTTTTCAGAGTTCTGTGTCCATGGCCTTGTTGCAGTATGACAACAAATAGACAGCACCCAGAACAGTTCAGCATTTTAATGACTGAATTAGATGGACCACAGATAATGCATTTAGTAATTTAGGCATCAGCTATCAGCACATGGTGTACCCTAACAGGCAGAGTATATGATCAGAGTAAGATTACTAGTTCAGCTATTGCTAGTTCATACTGACCCATTCACCCTATAAAAATCACTCAGTTCTTTCATGCCTCAATTTTGACATCTACCAAATCAACGTACATTCCTCTGTCCAGTCTATTTCACACGTTGTGATAAAGTAAAATTAGTTAAAGATTAAAAGTGTCTGGCACATGTAAGACTAATTAAATAAGTTAAAGATTAAGAGTGGCCTGAGTTTGTGATGAAGAAGATGAAGAAGAAGGAAATAAAGGAGGAAGAGAAGAATGGGAGAGAGGACAAGGAGGAGGAGGAATTGGTAATGATGGTGCTGGTGAATGCTATGCATACCCCACCTGAAATGTCTTATTATTCAAAGTGAGTAAAATCTTGGTAACTGGCATGCTATAGAGAAAGGAGCTGTTAAACACAAACAATCCAGAATCCTGTAGCCATGGGTGATGCTCAGCAGTGTTACCCAGGAAGTGTCCTAGCCCTTCTTTTTCTTTCTTCGATGTGGAAAAAGTCTCTGCAGTGTCCTCTCCACCAGTACCACTGAGGACCAATCCGGGGGGCAAATGAGGTGAGTGGTGCTGGGGAACGATGCAAGAGGAAGCAGTGAGAGTGCAGAAGGGTGGCCTGGGCAGAAGAAAGCTGGTCCCGGGTCTTAAGGAGCTGACAACACGGTAGAGGATGCTGTTAAAAGCCAATGGCCTGTGAAATACTACTGATTAAAAACTGCTGTGTCCAAACAGCTTTGAATGCTAGAGGCAGAGATTAATGAAGCTGTAAAAAGGAGTATGAATCACAGTAAAGTGGCATCCACCCCATAAGGGACACACATATCAGCAGGATAGAGAAGGTCCAGACCCACCTTGCAGCTACACTGGACTAGGTAGAGATTTGTGTAGCAGTTGCCTATGAAGTTGGCATCTTTTAACCATATAATAATAACGGTTAAGAATGAATGAGTGCCCACTATGTGCTAAGCACCATTCTGAGCACCTTACTTGTTGATTGCAGGTACATTTGAGGGAAACAGTGGTGAGAATTTGAAATAATTCGAAGAGTCTCTGTTTAAATGAGCCTAACAGAAAAAATTAACAAAAATACTCAGACAATTTCTAAACAAAGTCATGTGACTTACATGTAATTTTTTAATGCAACTAATTGATAAATGAATGAACAGGTCCTACAGAGTCCCCATGGCCATTGGCAGGCTAACTTCTAAAAATAGAATATTCAACCTGCTAAAGTCTAGGGCCCTATTTCCCTAATATAGATCAATTGAGCACTAAATCTGGAGCTTGCTAGGCTAGTTTGCAAAGGGGGAAAGCATCTCTTAGTCTTAAAAAATTGGAAAATTGTGCGTTAAGCAAAGTGGAACTGTCTTTGCTTGCTTTTGTTACATTAGGTTTTATAGCAGGTCTTCTCCGAACCTTCAATAGGCAGTGGACATGGCCAGTTAATAAGAAAGGGACACCAGAGGCAGACTTTTCAAACTCACCTGGTGAGAGAATTCTTCCTTTCCCAGCACCCCCTGCAGCATTTTACAGAACTATTTCAAAAATGCAAGTATGAGTTCATTCTATTATTTTCCCAGGGATCTAGAACATTCTGAGCCTCCAATATTTATCCAGGCCCTTCAAAGAGGAAAAAGTCAGAAAGGAGTTTTTCAAATACTTTTCCTGGTGTATCAGTTAAAATGACACAGCTGTGTAGCAGATAAACCTCAAACCCTTATTGGCTTCCCAGAATAATAGTTACCGTAATTTTGTCTCTAGCAACAGTCCCCTGGAAGTAGAATCATTCAGGAAGCTTGGGAAAATACCCCTTCAGTTTTGCACACCCAGAAGTTTTGATTGGATGGTTTAGAGTAGGGTCACATATCAAGTAATTATTTCTAAGCTCCTCCAGGATTGTAAATCATGGTTGAAACCCTCTGAACCAAGGGAAAGTCAGGGCTCCCTCATTGGGCATCTTCCCATTCAGAACTCTGGGTGAGCTTCTGAAAGCTGTCTGTATTGGACAGTTCTGAGATTATTGATCAGTGTAATGTAATGTTTCAAAAATTCTGAAAGAGAAAGACTTGGCAGAGAAAGAAGTTGTCTTACCAAAACTAGTCTCCATAACTGCGCGAGTCCTCCTGTTAAGTCAGGATCATGAGATGTACCCTCCTGAGCCCACCCTGTTGATAAGCCCAGACTTTATCCCTCCTGTCCCTCCTGACACTTACTCATCATATCCATGGGACCTGAGCACCACCTACTATGTGTTTATGCACAACGGTTATTGTCTTAGGTAGTAGAAGGTAGTGGTTAAAAGTCACACGATATGAAAACTGGCTTCCCACCCACTAGTTGTATAACCTTGGAAAAGTTGTCTAACCCCTCTGCCTCAGTTTCCTCATCTACCAAAAGGAGAGAATAATTATAAATATTTTATGAAGTGTAGTGAGGATTAAACCAGTAAATCCATGGAGAGGCCTAGAATAATGACGAGCACGTACTAAGTTTTCAACAAGCATTGGTTATTATTATTAGTTTTTATTATTGTCAAGTATAAGCTTTGCTCTGGGTGGCCAGGGGTATAGAGACGATGAAGGCTATGCCCCTGTCCCCAAGGAATTCACAACTGGGCATGGGAGGCAGACACACAGACATGAACTGTGATAGATGTGAGTAGGCTATCATACTATTGTGTGAGTAATGCTAGGAGGGCTTCCAAGATGCTATTAGAGGGGCAGGACAGGAAGGCTTCCCAGAGGAGGTGGCACTAGATCCTTAAAGAGGGGCCCTTGCAAGCTGAGACCTGTAGGCTCGGTCTTTTGTTTCTGAACTGACAAGGAAGATGAGAAAGGACAAGTTGAAAACCCACTGTTGATATCTGCAAAGAGACATTTCTTTGCAGTAGTTTGCCAACCACACTAGGTGAGGCCACCACTAATCCTCAAAGTCAAGGACGGGGGCTTCTGCAACATTCCCTCTAGGGGATTGTACCCATTTATGGGCACTCCCACAGGTACTGCCAGACAGCAAGCTTGAATTCAGCCAGAAAGGGCTGCAGTTTCCCACGGTGTGGTTGTGGGAATGTTGGTGGGTCTCTGGGTCCAGGAGTAGACAGGACCAGAGGCAGAATGGGCAGAGCCACAGGAGGCAGGGGCTTGTTCTCAGGAGTTTCACAAGGCACAAAAATTCCAGATCGTGTTTCTCCCTCAGCCCCTTCAGGATATCCTGTTATTCAGCCAGGGCATATATGTACGGTCGAGGTGGCCAGTGTCACTGCAACCCCTGGATTTGCCGTCTTTCCTGTATAGAGGCGGGTCCCACAGATCATCTGGTTCGGTCCAGGCAAAGGAGAGGGAAGAATTTTAAAACAGACACTGAAATGAGAAAGAATTCACTGGGAATTCATCAGACAAAGTTAAAATAGGACAATAGTTCTGACAGGTGCCTGGCACGGAGAAGGAGCAAATATTTTCTCGCTATGCTACAAAATTTAATACTTCTGTTTCTCGGATTGGTTGTACAAAATTTCTGCTCTCCACCGAAAACAACAGAGCAGGTAAGATGAGACTTCAGTCTTTTGATTTGTTAATTTTCAGGATGTATGCAAAAGCTTTTTGCTCTCCTATGTTGTCACGGGTAGAGGGTACTATCTAGGCTTCGTGGAGGAAAGAGAAAGCTTGTGGAGGACAGGGTCTAGTGTGATGCGCCATCTTTCTGAAGGCCTGCTGACCCAGCTGGTTACTTCTGTGCTAAGACGCTATTGTTGGCAATCTCTGATTTTAGTGCTCATATTCCTTGTCCCAAGGTGGATTTGGTTGTCCAGGGTTTTGTACGTTTGTGTATTTTTAATAGTCTCAACATTTCCCATTACACCATTCAAAATGTAGAATAACAATGGCTGTGGAGAAATGTTCTGGGGAATTCCAGGCTGGGTGATATCTGGCTGAGAGATGAAGTATTACAAAATGTATTAGGTATTCCCCCTTCCACTTTCCCAAATTGTAGTAAAAGTACCCTGGGCACTTTACACCAGCACGACAGCTTCTCAAGCTAGCTCACATGAGTTGTCATCATAAAGCAAGTTCAGTGTCAGATCTGCAACAAGGCCAGCCTAAAGGGGGTGTTGGGTGTGGAAGTCAATCTGAGGGATTTATTTAAAATGTATTTCCAAAGATATCCTTTCTGCTCTGTGAACAATAAATGTGATTCTGAGTCTGTTCCCAGCAAATGTTTACCAACCCCAATTTTACTTCAGTTGGTTGTAGTCTAATAATATTTTTCACAGAAACATGTTTTTAAATGCCATAATGGTTACTCACTCCAGCTGTGAGGTTAGATAGGGGTGAGTATGAATGATGGTTTCATTTGTTTAACAAATATTTCTGAGGATCAGTAATTTCTGCTCCACAGCTTACTAGCTGTTCAACCCTGAGCAAGTTACTTAGTCTCTCTAAGCCTCAGCTTCTCCCCTGACAGTGCTCCACAATCAGCAGTAATTATCTTCCTTGTTATCACCATCACTTATCAGCATCATGAGTGCCGGCTGTAGTGCAGAAATCAGGTGTCGACTGATGCTTAAAGATGAATTTACTCTTCCAGAAGGGATCATATGAGAAGTACAATGAGCTGTTCCATTTGAAAAGATCAGTTTGATGGCCAAGGGATTTTTGAGAAGAGAATATTAACTCTGGCCTACTAAGAAAGAAAAGGCAAAGTAATGTCATCCTTACCCACATGGGCAACCCTAATGTAAAGACCATTCTGCTTTTAAAAATATAGAAGTACATGACCATGAAAGGCAATTAATTGAAACTATATCTAAGGGTGGTTTTGTTATTATTCCATAAAGACCATCCCAGTGCTATTTTGGTTCATAGTGACCATTAAATGAAAGCCACCCAAAAAAAAAAACCAGAGGTTTTGTTTTTCTGCCCACCACTGTGGAATATGCAGGGAAGAGAAATGGCCAACCAAGGAATCAGAAGACCTCTAACTTACAGTGCGGCCTTGGGCAGGTCACTGAACCTCCCTCACCTCAGTGTGCTCCCCTCTAAAATGAGGATGATGCTATCTGCCCTACTGATATTCAGGGCAGTCAAATCAAACATGATGTTGCCTTTGGAAGTATGCATAACCGTAAGCTACTCTATAAACTCGAGGTTTCTTTTTGTGCAGCCTTCACAGATTTCAATGAACATAGAAGTATTTGTGATGTTCCCATGACCCCTAACATAGTGCTGGGCCCATAGGATGACAAAAAAAAACCCATAAAAGTGGTAGTGTTTAAGTGGAGAGCAATGACAACAAATGTGCTCTGTTGGCCAACCTCTGAGAAAAGAAAAAGAGATGAGTGAGGTTTTGTGCATGGGGTAGTGTTAAACCTTGAAAGATTAGAGGTTTGAGTAGCCAAGGGGAGAGGAAAGAACATTTCTATCAGGAGCAGCAACAAAGCGAAACACAGAGATAGGGATAGAGAAGTGGTACAGGAAGAAGCCCTTGCTGCCTATGAAATTCCAGTACTGAGCCAGGCAATTAGCTCATGTTACATCACTTAAATTTGTTAGTATCCTGGAGAGTGGTTATCAATATATTCCCCTTACAGAGAATGGTGGAGACTAAGGGATTCATTCCAGATTGTACAATTAACAAAATACTGAGCTTGAGTCCAAGCTTAAGTCTTTTGACTCACAAGTTCAGTCTCTTGTCATTGTACAGAGCTGCTTCTGTTTAAGATTGATGAGGAAATGGAGGAAACCTGAAAAAGGTGACGAAATCCATTTAGGAGGATCCACACCAGCAGCTTGGATAATAAGGGATCCTGAGACAGGGCCCAAATATGGCTGCATCATTCATTGTAACAGTTCTCTGCAATATTAGCAAACAGGTGCTAATATTTTCTAGCGTGTCTGATTTCCTACAATTCATTTGTTCAATCAACAAATAACTACTGTGCATTACTATGCACCAGACACTATTCTAGATGTTTCAGACAAAGCAGCAGAAAATAAAATAGGGAAAGACTGCTGCTCTCGTGGAACCTACATACTAGCTCGACTGTAATCAAAAGAATACAAAGATCTTTGGAGCAGAAACTGTATGCTCCATGGCATTTAACATCCAAACCAGCCTATGGTCCATCTATGACCAATCGACCTTGAATGACCTGCCTTAACAATTTCATTTGAAAAGTGTGTTCTACAATATATTTCTCCATTTAGAGAAGTGGTGTGTAGTGAGGTTACCTTGCCTTGCAGGACTCTCGGCTTCAGATCAGGGTGGTACAAGCAGCCTATACCACAGCCATGGCAGACATTTCTTGTAGATCCCAACACTATTTCCAAATAATATTGAAAGCCTCCTGCCAGTCATTACTAATCAACCTCATTGTCATCCTTGTCATTCCATTGACATAAAGTAGATGGAGAAGATTGGCCAAGCAAGGCTCTGCTAATGAAACTTGATTTTTCTTTTATGTTTTCATAGATGAACAGATGTGATAAGAAGTCTCTGCTCATCATTAGGACTGAGTGCCAATCTTGCTCACTCAACTCAAGAATGAAGTGCCCTGATGGTTACACCAAGGTTACCAATGGCTCCATAGGGGTTCGAGATTGCAGGTACTCATCATGAGAAAATAGAGGTGCTCGAGTTTTGAAACTCAAGGATGGTGAATCCAAATAGAAACCTCTTGTCTCAAAAATTGCAAAGCTATCCCTGGCTTGTGTAGCTCTGTGGATTGAGTGTGGGCCTGTGAACCAGAGGACTGCGGTTTGATTCCCAGTCAGGGCACATGCCTGGGTTGCAGGCTGCTTCCCTGCAGGCCAGTTCCCAGCAGGGAATGCACCAGAAGCAACCACACATTGATGTTTCTCTCCCTCTCTCCTTCCCCTCTAAAGATAAATAAATAAAATCTTTAAAAACCCTTAAAAAAACTGCAAAGCATTTCCATGATTTTTCTCTTTCTCTAAGACTGCATTGAGCCCAAACTTAGGTAATTCACAACTATGACCTTGAGTCTAAAAATGTTATTATTATTGATTCACCTTTTAATACAAAATGGGCTCTATTTCATGGTACGGAAACATTATTCCTTCATTTTTCCCTTCTTTAGTTTGAAAATTTGGGTTTTGTGTTACTGGAAAAGGGTTCTAGGCAGAACACGTCAAAAAGCCTTGTTGGATCCAATCTTACTAACTAGCTAGGACCCGGTACCAGTTAGAATCCAAAGAAGGGAGACAACTGAATTACAGCTGTGTTGCATTTTATGTGAGTACTGCATTCCTGAAATCCCCTTAAGATTCAAAACTCTCTGGATTCAAGGCTAATCCTGGCAAAGAATGGCAAGCCGTTCCACTCACCAGCTAGTGGATGCAGTCATGTAGTTCAAGTGCAAACACAATATTTTTTACTTACTCAGTCTACTAATTTAAAAATTAGGCAGCCCTCAGTGAATTTCATTTTTAAGTCAGGGACGAAGAGTAAGTATGATTTCTTACTTAGCACAAAATGAAACCTTGACACTGCCATATCACACGATTTTAAATTCATGTTTGCTTAATGCAGCTGCACCATATTCTAAACCCAAGTCATCATTTTTAATAGAGGTTTCCCAAAGCCAATTGGCCTAGAATTGGCAAGCATATGTGGCAGTTGACCACTCAGTTACCGAAGTGGGTGCACATTTGCCACTAATTTCTTTTAGAAAGCACATCAGAAAGACTTAGGGCTCAAGTTGAAAGTACATGGTGGCTTTAGTGAGAACTTTTTTGTACTGGTTACTTTTTTTCATGGCCAAGGTTGGCACTTGGTTACGTCCCACCCCACTCTACCCTAAACATATGCATGTGCACATACACAGAATTAGATTAGTGGGTTAGCGCACTCATGTTCTCTGTTTTAGCATTGAAGATTTTGATTTATCATTCACTTATACTGAAACAAACCCAAGAGTGGTTCTTGAGGGAATGTTTGGTTCTGCCCTTGGATCTCCCTTTTGCAATCTTTATAAAGAGGTGTCCCAGCTAGTGTTCTCAATCTTTCAAAGAAATTGTCCACTGTTTCTTCAACCTGACTGCCCATAAAGCCGGTAGCTATGTGATTCATCAGCTACATAACAGGCACTGGTTTAGGACTACAACCTTGAACTCACCAGAACACTATTAGTAACAGCCCAGTTGAAAGAAACAATATTTTTAGAGGATAATCTCTAGAAACACTGGAGTCAAATCCCTCAATAAGCCATCCATGCAGAGGTCCCTGTAAATAGACAATAATGTTTAGCCTCCATAGACGGGCTATTCCAGAGCTGTACCTCAGATGGTACAAAAACTGTTCTAAGGAACTCATCATTGGATTTCCCTCAAGAAAAATGTGGCAGATGTTGCTCACTATATCACACCACCTCTTATAGAAATTTCTACATCTATGGTATCCTGAGTAGTTGGTTTGATTTAAATTCACAGATCCTGTGCACCACACAACTCACGACTTTTCTCTTCTTGTATTGGCTGCTAAGACACTCGGTCACAAGAGTGAAGTCCACTTGTACCATGTACCTAGAACCTAACATCCCTTTTTTTATGTACTAACTTCACTTCTAACATTATTTTACATATTTCACCCCTATTTTCCTTGTGCCCTATTTTTTTTCATCTATTTTCTACAATTAAAGATTGTTTTTTTCTAACTTTTGTGTTCAATGTACATACATATTTTTAAATACAGGCGAGTGTAAAAAAAAAAGTAAGGCGATTCAACTGCCCAGAGTTAATGCATTGCTCTGATAATGGGTTATGTCTCCCTTTACCCTTCAAGGTACTCCTTTGAGATCAGGTCATACTCTCTGTCTATCCCTGGGTGCCGCCACATCTGCAGGAAGGACTACCTCCAGCCTCAGTGCTGCCCAGGCCACTGGGGCCCAGACTGCCTGGGTAAGTGGCAAATGCTTTTTCTTGGATTTGGAGACTTCCTTCTCAATGTCCTGTTTGACAGAAAATTGTAAGGAAGGAAACTTGATAAAAGGAAAGTGTCAGCATCTAGAAAGTCATAGTTCTGTCTGTATATAGAGAAAATCTTTCTTGCCCTCTCAGCTTTTCTAAAGAAATCTGTTTTCCTCCAGTTAGAGATTTGTCTTCAAGAGAATTCCTTTATGATTCAGCAAAAGGGACAATTGAAAGGCTATCCATTTTTACAACAAAAAATAACTGACGATAGAGAAGAAGTAAGAATGCTGGATTTTAATGATCCCAAACACAATTTTCTGTAAGAAGTTTTATGACAATATCTCAAAGGCTGTAGTTATTGTTTGGCAACCAAAATAATCATTCAAACTTCTAAAAGTTTAAGTTTTAAGGTGGAATGAAAAACTCTATAATGACCAATTTCCACCATAAGAAAAACTAGCCAAGTCTGAGTCAATAGTATAGTTAGAATCCTGTGGTCAAGCATAGCATTTTCTAGCTGAAATTGAACTTCTATCCTGACTATATATAGATGTTTACACTCAAGTAGTGACTGCGTCCTAGCTGTGACATGCAAATTGTGTGAGATCCCTCTTTTTTTCTCAAATAGTAAAAAAAATCGGTATTTTAATTCCTGAACTTACTCTTTGTTACATTTCATATTCTAAAATGTAATGAAATTATCTCAAGTATGCACTTAAGGGAAGAGATTAGGTCTCTTCAGCGTTTTTTCTGATTAAAATAATATAAGCAAATTGTACACAGCTTTTGAAGAAAAGTACAAAGAAAGAAAAATAGCAAACTTGTATTTTATCACACGTAGGAATATTTTGCTAAATAAATATTTTGCTTTATTTTCCTGATCTTTTATTCCGTATATGGCTTCTAAATCATTGAGCCTACAGTGTACGCATAATGTTGTCACTGGTTTCTCTGTGTAACTAATGATGAAATGAGTTACCTTCCATTTACTCAACAGGGCCGACATTAGTTACTAGAGAGGGCCATGGCCTGTGTTATCTGATTTAATTCTTAAAACAAATCTTTGAGTTAGACATTTCTGTCTCCATTTTGCATCTGAGGAATCAGATATTTGAAGGTTGTTTCTTGCCAGTTTCCATGCAAATTCAAGTTCAGGGCTGCTGGCACCAAACTTGCCATGGCAGAGGTGGGGTTAGTATCCTCCAAGTGGGTTTTTTTTTTAATTTCTCTTTTGATTGGTACTCCCTTCAGACCCCCAGCCAATGCCTGGATTATGCTCCTCACCTGGACCTGGCAAGGTCAAGGTTTGGGGTTTAGGATACCCTGGCCCTTCTCTCAGTTTACTGCTCTGCCCTGTGTCACCCCAGTGTATTGACACAGTGTGTTTCTACGAGTTTATTAGGTCAAAATCAAGTGATTAACCCAGACTTCCAGATTTTGAGAACTTTTTTAGTATCATTGTGGTTATATCACATCCCATTTTTATAGACACGCTGATATAATAGAAAGATATCTTAGATTTACTTTTCTCTTTCTAACCCACAAAAACTAATATGATACTAAGTTATTGATTAGACACACCGTAGAGACGAAAGGCTTTGTCCAAGATATAAAAGTCAGCATGTTCGACAGAATGAATGACAGGCAGACCAGAGCCAGGAGAGAAAAAGAAAAAGAGTCTGCTACCAAGTTTTAGGTTTCAACCTAATTCCATCATTACTGGTTTGGACAAGTTATTTCCTGCTCATGCCTCAGTCTCCTTAGCTGTCAATGGTGCTAAAAAGTCTTACTTTACAAAAATATAATAGAGATTCTAAAACACTGATGTAAGTAAATATACTAGGCAACACGTATGACACTAAGAAGATACTTTATTAAAATGTTATGAATAAATGAATGAGTGAACACAGTCAAAATAGACCTCTGATAATGAAAGGCAAACAAAATGACATCCTTTCCCCCAAAACCTTTTCTTTATTTTTAAATATATATTATTGATTATGCTATTACAGTTATCCCGTTTTCCCCCCTTTACTCCCCTCCACCCTGCACACCCCCTCCTACCCCCACCACCCCCCACTTCGTTCATGTCCATGGGTCATACATATAAGTTCTTTGGCTTCTACATTTCCCATACTATTCTTCACCTCCCCCTGTCTATTTTCTACCTACAGCGGTGGGTAACTCAGAAAATATGAGCAGGCAAGCAGGATTCAAAGTCTTTCATGCCATCACCGTGAGCTAGGGACAAATGTGACTCTAAGATCTCACACCTAAGACTGAAGGAGTCTTAGATGATTCCTTAAAGATTCAGTCACTTTCTTCTGATAGGTCTCAAAGCCATTGCAGCAAAACACGTGAAAACCAAGGCTTGGACATTCTTTCTGCTGTCTTCTTGTTGGTGCAAAAGTGTACTCCCCTTTATCTCTGTCTTCCAAACACACTAAATGTCTCAAGAGGCTTCCTTCCTTTGGTTCAGGAAAGAGATAAGTCTTCTATTGGGCTGTGTGTTTCAGTTCTCACTCACATTTTATGGTGATGACAGGAGAGACCTTGCCTATCTCATTACATTTCCTCCAGGATAAGGCCATTCAGAACTGCTGACATGTGTCCATCCTTCTTTCTGAGGAAGCACAAGCTCTGGAATGGCTTTCTTTCCAAGCAAGAGCAGCACCCACTTCTTTTTTAATGCGCTGTGATATACATTCATACTCTACACCTCTGGGTTATGTTTTAAATTCTCTTAATAGTACCTTATTCAAATTAGAAAATAACTCTCTGATCCATTTGGAAAACATAATGAAAAAAATGACTCATCATCTTCTAAAATTACTGCCTAGGGAATACAGTCAATAATGTTGCAATAACAGTGTACGGTGTCAGGTGGGTACTAGACTTATGGGGGTGATCACTTCCTGAGTTACAGAAATGTCTAATGACTGGGGTGTACACCTGAAACTAGTATTGCATATCAACTGTAATTGTTGAAAAATAAAACTTATTAAAATGTTTATTCTTCAGAAGCAAGATGTGTCTTCTAAAGGAAATTATGTAGCACCAATAAGTAAAATAAAATAAATAAATATCAATAAGCTTCCAAAGACATCTACTAAACTGTTGATCGGTTTGTAGAGTGATATACAGTTGTGGTGTGAAGGCACAGAAATCCAAATTTAATACCTGCTCAATGCTTTATAAGCTCCATTACTCTTGATCGATTAGCTTTACCAAACTCACTTTTACCATCTGCATAATGGCAATGCTAATTAGCATGTTTTTTGTGAAGACAAAAAAGAAAACACAGCTATTACTATTAACTGTTCTTATTATTACTATTGTTATCACCTTTTGCTATTACTTGTTTGAGGTGTAACAATTTGTAGACCTACACACTGCCTTTATTTAAAATACCATTCTTTTAATATACTTTGAGGTAATTTGTCACTTTCATTGAACTGTGTATTTTGAAAATTGTCTATGCCCATAGAAGTGGGTCAGGGACACTTTTTTGGATGACTCTGCAGTAAATGCTTCTTGACCTACATGTTCTATCATTTAGTTAGCAAATGGCTTATTTTGAACATTTAAGTTTTTTCCAATATTCCGTTTGTTAAATGAAATTCCAATAAACATCCTCCTAGCCAAAAAGAAAAAGAGGAAGAGGAAGGCATGAATTCTCACTTGAGGGAAAAAAAAATATTGTCCTGACGTAACAAAGGTGTTTCTACCCATTTTAAATGTGCTCACCCCTCATTAAAACTTGTTCTGCTTTATCGGCTGTGCATCTGGAAGCCTTTTCTCATTAGCACAAAAGCATACTTTTAACCCTGAGAATTAATACACTTAAACGACCAATTGCTATTTAAGATGAAACAGATTTCTTATTCGAACATGCCAGTTCTTTTCCCCCCACCATTAACACTCATGGATGTTACAGCTCAAAGTAATGGGAAAGGAATGTGGGAAAACAGTCTGACTGTTTCAAAAGAAAATGACCTTGATTCTACTTTTTGAGGTCAAGGCCATCAAACTATGCACACTTGTTTTTTGTATCGTGTTACTGGCATTTTCAGACCACTTTTTCTTTCCTGTTGTATGTTCCTGGCCATTCACTGCACAGCTTGCGAATAACAGACAATAAAGATCTGAAACCATGCTTTTAGGCAGGTCCTTTTTGGCTTTGAGTAACAAATAATGCTGAGCTTACATAAGGAACCTAATTTCACATCAGTTTCCTAGACAGACAGTTTCAACCAGAGATTTAAATGGAATGGCAGGACATACTCTCTGCCTAGCTGTGAGCCAAGCTTTTAAACCAAAGTGGTGACACAGAGCAGGCAGCTCCAGGGACCCTTGGGAGAGAAAGTTACAGGGAGGTCCTTGGCCTCTTGCTGGCCAGGAAGTTTATTATCTGCTTTTTAAAGAAACAGGCAGCTGATGATTTGCTGACTGTTTATAATGGGTAAGCCCCCTGCGTGCAGAAAGTCATGAGCAAGAGACCACCAGAGGAGCAGTGACCAAAGGGAAATGTGATAACAACCTAAAATAGCCTTATCAGCTCCTTGGGCCTGCAGTGTCTCAGAAACATGGCCTTGGAGCAAAGTCTGCAATTTCTCTTCCAAGTGTGGTTGCTGAGATGTGCCTTGTACCATCTTTTTTCTTCATGGGAACCTGAGGTGATAGATAGCAAATGATTTGAGAAGCAGGAAAGAAACTCACACTTTTGCATAAAAACCTTTACCTCCTCCCTGTCTGAGACAATCAACATTCATTGTTCCACATACCCAGTAGTTTACCGGTATTAATGTCCAGTAAAATTACTATCAGGCCTGTGAAAATGCATATTCTGGGGTTTCACACCCAGAAATCCCCATTCGATAGGTGTGAAAAGCTGAACCTGTCATAAAATTGTAATGAGTTATGATTGACCAATAGGGTGACTATGGGCTGAAATCCAGCCCGTCCTTGGCTCCCCAAGCCATACACTCTGGTGTGGCCTAGCCCACCCCAGGGAATGACCATCTCTTGATTCTAGTTGCATCTTCTTGCCAAGCTTAGTATCTGTGGGGATAAGCAGGAAAGGGCAGTAGGGTCAGGGAGCGCTTTCTAATTTGCACGAAGGCTGTCTATGCCCTGGTGGATTAGCCGAGGGCCCGAGAAAAGCAGATTCCCAGACACAGCTAGAGCTGCAAGAGATTGATGAAGAGAAGCGCCTGTGAGGGCAAGTGAGAAGGAAGCCAGGAGATGCAGGGGAGCCAGCAGACATGTATGAATATTGAGGGAGCCAAGGAAGGTTGGATGGAAGAGTCTCACACTACCTGTAGTTCTAAAATAATAATAATAATCAGGGAAGCTGATGGGGTTTCCCACAGCCAAAGTCACTCAACAGAGGAGTCCCCCATCTTGCAGGAAGAATCCCGCCTTGGTATCCCGGCCATGCTCAGTCACGGCTGGAGGCAGCCATGGGAATTGTGGTCTGGTGAGCAGAATGGTGTGTTTCAGGAAAATCATGCTCCTAGCACAGAGATCCGAGAGGTGACTTTCTGTGGCTACTATTCCTGCAGGGGAAGGCCTTCGGAGTCTGCCCTCGGGATATCCCCACTCTCAGAGGGTTAGACCCAGATGGTTCAGTGAATACCCTTAGAGGAACTCCTGCCTATATTTTTTTTTTAAGAAGAAAGGCTTGCTAACTGTCCCCTAAAGAAAAAGGACACAGGGTCACAATCTTGGAAGCTGGGAGTGGGGAAGCTCCCCAGTTTCTCAGGGACCAGCCCAGAATATGGTTATATTCTCAATAGACGACTTTGACCTATTTTCCTCTCTGTATATTAGCACAAGGCATGGGCCAAGTGTAAGGAACGCCCACATGATGGCCCCAGAGGAGGCATCTGGGAGAGCATCTTTGTGGGTGGGAAGGGCACAGGCAAGATGTGGAGGGAAGGGCATGTCTGGGGTAGTCTGCCGGGGTGGACAGAAAGGATGCGAGATAGGCTGCAGCACAGAGGAGACTGGCATTGCCTGCAAAAGTGAAAACGCCTGGAAGGGCATTTCTGCAAGGTGGTGCTGATGTCTGAGTGCCAGGGTGGAGGAGGCTCTGTGTCCCTCTGAGCCAGCCCAGAAGGCAGGCTGGGGGTCTCCCAAAGAGCCCCTTGCATGCCTAGCCCCAGGGAGAAGCACCAGGGCCAAGAGAAGCAACAATGGCATAAATGTCACCTCCCTATCTCTCTGCCCCGGCCCAGAGTTGGTCCTGGCTTCCAAAATACCATCTCAGCCCATGTAGAGCCTAACAGCAAAAGAAATGGGACAAGAGCCATTTGGTGGTCAATGATTTCTGGAAATGCTCTCTTGGCACCCCATGTCCTCCACTGAGAACTCAAGTGATGCTGTTGGTTTTCAGATGAACCTTAAAGTGCTACTGGTCCCTGCCTGATGAGGCCATTCCTTTCCTCTTCATCCTCACCTCCTCCTGCTCTTTTTAAGATAAAGACCACAGTCTTTAACACAGCCCTTCCTCAATGATCCGGCTGCTGCCCTCCGTAGAGACCAGCTCTAGGTCAGCCGGGCCATTCAGGATTAGGTTGTTTTTGGTAAATGTTGGTAACCTCCAGGAGATGGAATGATGAGAGCTCTTGGTCGCTTGCCCCCAACAACCCCTATCCCAGTTTTTAAACCAGTATTTATTTAATTGTCTATGAATCCATGACTCACTCCCCACTAGACTGGCAGGATCAATGGAAATAGAGACCAGGTCTGTGTGCTCACCTTGTATATCCAGGACCTTATTTGGTCCTGATTCAAACAGGTGCCTGATCATTTATTTTCTGAGTGCTGTTGCCTGTTATACTGCCAGTCTCAAAGAACAGAAACTGGAGAAGACTGAGAGTATCCACTCTAACAACTTTCTTTTCTTAAATGCCTGCTATTTCCAGTCCCTATTACAACCTGCCAGGACGAGCAACACTAGAACCGAATCCCAGGGACAGGCATTGACCTTCCCAAAGGATTGCCGCCAGCAAAGAGTTGGCCTGGGGTTCAAACCCAGGACATTCTGATTGCAAAGTCCCCATTCTCTCAGGACACCCTGGCATCTCATGTAGCCACTGCCCTAGCTGGGGAGAGCAGCCCAAACCAGCACGATGGTTTTCCAAGAGTGTCTGCTCCCTCAATCACTGCATACACATCCCTGTTATCTGCGCTGTGGCTCAGGTGCACAGTAGCTCCTGGCTGGTAGACAGCGTGGTGATGAACAGTGTGGAAGACTTGGAGCACCTGCCTGGGTTTGAAATCTGGCCCTGCCACTGTTGCGGAAAAAGACCAAAGACTCAAAAGTGCATGACTTAGACCCTGCAGTTGATGAATATTCTGCACACAGGAAAGAAACAGAGGACCAGAGAGAACCCAGTCTACAGGTGCCAGCTCGATTCTCTCACCTGCCTGTACCTGAGAGTTACACGTGTTCTTTTCAAGAACCAGCCTAGTAAAAATATTTTTTTTCATCTTGTTTGTTTTGCTTTGTTTCGCTTTTATTTTTTTTATTTATTTATTTTTATTTTTTTAAATTGATTATGCTGTTACAGTTGTTCTATTCCCCCCTTCATTCCCCCTCCCCCCTGCCCTCCCAACCCCACCATTACCCCCCTTTAGTTTATGTCCATGTGTCTCAAGTCCTTTAGGTTCTATATTTCCCATGCTATTCTTGCCCCCCCCCCATCTATTTTCTATCTACTGTCTATGCTACTTATTTTCTGTACCTTCTCCCCCCATCTCCTCCTCCCATTCCCCTGTTGCTAACCCTCCTTGAGATCTTCATTTCTATGTTTCCACTCCTGATCTAGCTGTCCTTGTAGTTTGCTTTTGTTTTAGGTGTGGTGGTTAATAACTGTGAGTTTGTTGTCCTTTCACTGTTCATGTTTCTTTAACTTCTTTTTCTTAGATAAGTCCCTTTAACATTTCATATAATAAGGGCTTGGTGATGATGAACTCCTTGAATTTGATCTTATCTGAGAAGCACCTTATCTGTCCTTCCATTCTAAATGAAAGTTTTGCTGGATAGAGCAATCTTGGTTGTAGGTCTTTAGATTTCATGACTTGGAATATTTCTTTCCAGCCCTCTCTTGCCTGTAAGGTCTCTTTTGAGAAATCTGCTGACAGTCTGATGGGGACTCCTTTGTAGGTGATTGTCCCCTTAGCTCTTGCTGCTTCTAGGATTCTCTCCTTCATTTTAATTTTGGCTAATGTAATTATGATGTGCCTTGGTGTGTTTCTTCTTGAGTCCAACTTTTTTGGTACTCTCTGAGCTTCTTGGATTTCCTGGAAGTCTATTTCCTTTGCCAGATTGGGGAAATTTTCTTTTATTATTTGTTCAAATAAGTTTTCCACTGGTGGCTGTGCCTTTCCCCCCTTCTGGTACCCCTATAATTCGGATATTGGAGCGTTTAAAGATGTCCTGGAGGTTCCTAAGACTCTCCTCATTTCTTTGAATTCTTGTTTCTTGACTCTTTTCTGTTTGGCCATTATTTGCTTTCTTCTGGTCCACTCCATTGATTTGAGTCCCAGTTTCCTTTTCATCGCTATTGGTTTTCTGTGGAATTCCATTCATTTCCATTAGTTTAGCCTTCATATGTTTCCCTAATTTGTGGCTATAATCAACCAGATCTGTGAGGATCCTGATGACCAGTGTTTTAAACTGTGCGTCTGAGAGTTTTGCTATTTCTTCATCGCTTAGATTTATCTCTGGGGCTTTGAGGTCTTCTTGTGACATTTTTGGTCTGTTCTGGCCCTTTAAGTGAGAGAAGCGGAGCCTTGGACTCCCAGGTCGCTGGGTTGTGACGCTGTATGTGGAGGCGTGGTCAGAGCGGGGAAATGGCGGCGCCCACTACCGCCACGGCCAGTCCAACCGCCCACTCCCTTGCCTGTCCGCTCTCGCGCAAATAGGCGACCGCAGTCAACACGCAGCACCGCCTCCCCACTGTCTCCTCTGCAGTGCTCACCTGGTGGGTTGCTCGGTCGCTCACTAGGTCCAATCCTGCATTTGGAACCCGTGCGTCTGGATTCGCGCGTCTGGATTCCGCGCCTGGGTCTGTCCAAACGAGTCCTCCTGTGCAACCCCTCACCAGATGCCGGTTTCGCCCCTTACCGGTTGGGCTGAAGAATTTGTTGTTAACGGACTTCCGAAAAGTTCAATTTTCCGTGTTCTGGTTGTGTTTTCTGATGCTAATATTTAGTTGTCCCTAAACTTGGTTGTGTGTGAAGGCACGGCACATCCACCTATACCTCCATCTTGGCGGAAGTCCAAAATATTTTTTTAATTAAAGAGCTAGCCTAGTCTCTCAATGGAGCCACCGAAGTATGTTGGAGAGAAAGGCTTCCCTCTGTGGTTTGTTTTTTAGAGATCTCTTTTTCCAAGAACTGTGGTTGGTTTGTTTGTTTGTTTGTTTCAGTTTCTATGGCTGATGACTTCTCAGAAGATATATGGGCTAGAAAGCTCGTGGCGTGAGAGAGATTTGAACAAAGATCTCTGTTGCTGGGATAGATGCAGAGGGTGGGTAGGGAGGTGGACTCTTGCAGTAGAAAAGGGGCCACTGGCCAGCTGGGTGACTTTGGGCAAGTCCCTGTACTACTCTGGGCCTCAGTTTCCTCATCTAGAATGTGGCACATGGGGTGTGCTGAGTGCGCCCTTGCAGGATGTGTGTGTGCCATCACAAATGAATGAATCTGAGCCCTTGGTTCCCTAGAGTGCCCGGGAGGCCCGCAGTCCCCCTGCAGCGGCAGGGGCCGCTGTGCCGAAGGCATGGAAGGGAACGGAAGCTGCTCATGCCAAGTAAGTTCAGAAATGTGTTCTTCTCCCTACCTCCGCTCCTCTCCTTACCTTTGTCCCTCCTTAAACATACACACACAGTAGATAAAGTTGCTAGGAAGCGATACTAATAGAAGAAAGAAAAAGTAGGCAATCTGCAACAAAATGACATGTCAGAGGCTGGGGGCTTTGGACTTAGTTAACTGCTCAGCCTTAAGTGTATCCATCTGTAAAATGGGTTTGATAATAACCCTGTGTGCTTACATTTGTTGAAAAGTGAAATGAGGTCACATATGTGAAAACACTTTGTGACGCCCTACTGGACTATAGAAACTCCTGCTGTTGAGGATGATAATTACAGCTGTTAGCTGACCGCTCTCTGTCCACGGCTCCTGCTGGCAAGCACTGGGCCTGCCAGTTGAAGGATTGCTTTGTTATCCCATGAAAGTGACTTTTTGCAAGTTTCTAGCCTTTGGTTAAAATACAAAGAAATCCTTCTGAAAAGGAGCTCACCTGTCTTCAGAAATGCAACACTGAGTTTTCATTTCCGCCTTGGGCAAAGTTCTGTTGTGGCTGTTACCACTCGCTCTGTATTTATATCTTTGGGTTGACAAAGCAGCTTTCTTATGAAGAGCTCTGAACTGACAGGAAAAAAATGATGCAGGGATTAAGGTACACATTGTAACAGAAAAACAGCAAAAAATACAGGAAATGATATAAAGAAGGAGCTTCAGGGTAGGCACAGAGGAAAGGCATGTTTGAGAAACAAACCCTGACCAGGCCACCAGTGAGAAAGAAACCCGTGGGCCTCCTGGGTGATGTCGGTCACTTGGGGTCTAATAGCACCTACCTGGGGTGTTTTGCAGGAAGGGTTTGGCGGAACAGCCTGTGAAACCTGTGCGGATGACAACTTATTTGGACCCAGCTGTGCAGAAGGTACGTCTGATGTTTGTGTGATCCAGGGCGTTTGGAGAGATTGAAAGTCAAACGTGGCTTACATAGCCGAAGACCCCAGAAAGACTATTCATCGGGGCGTGGGGGGCGGTAGACGCTGAGCAGTTATGTAAAACCATGTCTACAAAGAGGTGATGACAAATCTGATAAACGGCAGTTCTTGAAAAAAGAGACAGTGCTTCCTGAGGTTTTCAGTACGAGCAGTCAGCTCCGCGCCAATAACACTTCTGGGAAACCCAGGGGCAGGCAAGTCCCCCCTCCAGTCTCCAGGGTCCAACACCCCCCATTCTCTGCCTGTCCAGCTTCTCCCTGAGGTCTTTCCAGACCCTGGTCTCGGCAGTGATGCTCTCCCCAGGGGCCCGCCCCTCCACCACCTGTCACACCACATGCTACTCGGTCCCTCCCTTTGGGGAGTTCACAGATAAAGACCCGAGGTGATCAGTGGTTGCCGGCTCCATTCTGCAGGTTAAACAAACAAGCACAGCTGACACTGGTTTGTCTTTTATGTTTCGTTCCCCTGCCCCCTATAAGGAGACCCTGACACCAGATGCCAGTACAAGTCGCATGTTTGGGAGGTGACCCTGGGGACACTAAGGAAGGAAATAAGGGTATGCTGTCAAGTCAGAGACTGGAGTGACGACCAGAGCCTGGTGCCCCAGGGACTCTGCAGCCCGTGCGCAGCACACCTCAGAGTCTTCTCACCAGAGGGAACAGGCCATCACAGTGTGGCAGAGAGAATAAAGGACCCCCCAAAAAATATATATGTCCTCATCCTCATCCCTTGGACCTGAGAATGCATTACCTTACCTGGCAAGGGGAATTAAGGTTGCCTTCAGCTGACCTTGAAATGGAGTCCCATGGACTGTCCAGGTGGGCCCCACGTAATGACAAGGGTTCTGGAACATGGAGGAGGGAAGCGGAGGAAGAAGATGCAATGTTGGAGTGATGAGATGTGAGGAGGACCCCCCACCCCCACTGGCTTTGAAGATGAGAGGGGCCAGGCACCAAGCACTGCGGGCAGCCTCTCTCTAGAAACCAAAAAAGGCAAGCAAACATTTTTCTCCCTCCAGCAAGGAACATGACCCTGCCACCTTGATTTTAGGATAGGAATTTTGGATTTCTGACCGCCAGAAATGTAAGACAATACATCTGTGTTGTTTTAAGACATCAGGTCTGGGGTAATTTGTTACGGCAGCAATAGGAAGCTAATGTATGCAGTTGTGGGTGGGGGAGTTGTCCTTTCCCTGGCCCTTTCAGCCCCCAGTGCCCATTCAGGCAGCGCAGACTTCCTAGGAAGCACTCCCAGGCTAGAATCTGCAGGACTGGCAGGGCCTAGAAAACGTGGGTATGGTAGGGACCCTGTCAGCCAGGACCATAGTCCTCCAGAAAGGATATATCCGGTGGCCTTTCTTGAACACCAACTTGGTTTTGGATTTTATGGAAAAATCCAGTCCAATAGATACTGCATTGATTCAAATTTTCTTGAAGGAACCCTGCACACACACACAGACACCCCGCCCTCATAAGTGTGCACACTCCGTGATGAGTTTTATCTGCAAGAGCAGAGGTGTGGTCTCATTCTAATAGCCCTTGGGTTCTTTGAAGACAGACACTGCTATACTCCTTTATCTCCAGTGCCTCCCACAGTGCTACCTGTGGGTGCAGCAGATGCTCAGTCCACTTTTGTTGGCTAGATGAGTGAGTGAGTGAATAAAAGAATGAATGGTCCAGTTTGCTCCAGCCGTGTTGACCTGACTCCAAACCACGGTTCTGAGAGGCAGCCCACAGAGCCTCAGCTTTAGACTCTGAGCAGATTTCAGCCCCAAGACTGCTAACTGTGGGCACCTTAAGTTTACAAGCACATTCTATGTCTGTATTTTCATCTGCAAAAACAGAAATAATATTGTCTTCTTTAGGATTGCGGAGGGGATTTAATGAGATAATCAGTGCACGGTAAATGTTAGCAATTGCTAATATTACCTATTATTCCCCAGTGGCCCCCAGTCTTAGGAATTTTATTCATCCAGCACTCCATAAATGATTATTATTTTGTAAAAGTGTTAACAAAAGCAAATTCAAAAGAGATGTTGGTAGTCTGCATAGTTTTAAGATTATACATTATAGTAAAGGGTGTTAAAATATCAACTGTTTAGAAATTACGTGTTTCCTAAATTGGCCCTTCCCTACCATAATACTAGAATTTAAATCCCATATTTTAAATAAATTGAAAATTGAAGTTGAAAGGGAGAAAGATAGCATCTAGCATTGCTTACTTCCCAAGAATGCTAAGTCCTTGCTTTGGGATGAAAATTTAGAAAGAAGGTGAGTCCACGTTGCCCCAAAAAAATTGGAGTTGGCTGCCAGTGAGCACAGATGTACGTGGAGAATCCAAACATTTCTAAATGATGTGGCATTTATTCACACTTATTTGTGCCATGGACAAAGGAAAGGTGAAGGGGAGAGAGATGGTATAGAAACCTAAACTGAGAGTCGGGAGAAAATTCCAAACCCTAGTTCCCAGTACAACCTCATGCGGTGTGTGGCCTGGGCTGTCCCACAGTGCTCCAGGTCACCTGTGGCCGCTGGGGGCCTGAAATGTGGCTGGGGCACCTGAGGAACTGGATTTTAAATTGAGTTCAATATACTTCATTTAGGTTTAAATAGCCACACCTGGCTAGTGGCTGCCACATGGGATTGCTCAGCGCTAGAACAGGCTTTGAAATCAGACTGGCCTGAGTTTGAAATCAGCTGCTGTGTGCCCTGGGCAAGCTATTTAACCTCTCTCAGCCTTCCTCATCTATAAGATGGGAAGAGCAACACCTGCTCACAGGGCTGACACGGTAGCCAAGCTCTAGCACCATGGCATAAGCACTCAGCCAACAAAAGCAAGTGTTAAGTGAGGACAAAAGCAATCCAATGGTAAGGTGAACATTTATTCACCTATGAATGAATGAATGAATGGATGGATGGATGGATGTATGGATGGATGGATGGATGGATGGATGGCTCAGTGATGGCCGGTCATTGCCTATTGGCAAGCACTGGGGAACTCGCAAACCTTTTCAGCTGGGCATCCACTGGGTGCCAGTGTTGTTTCATTCAGTGGGGAGTTGGTCCCTCAGAGGTGGCCATTCTGCCTGTAAGTAGGACAGCTCTATTAGCTGCAGTTTATTTTTAACACTGGCTTGAACCTGCTGCTGGAGCATTCTCTTACCCGACCGGTGATTAATTTAGACATGAGTTAGAGCTGCATCTGCCAAGGGATTTTATCTCTGCTGCCAAGGCCTTAGCCCACTCAGGGCCTCACTCTTGGCTGGGGTGGAATGCAAAGCCCACTCCTCTGACGTGACCCCCAGATCAGACCCACAACCGTGTCTTGTTACTGCCAGTAGCTGCCATTTGCTGAGAACCTGCTGTGTGCCAGGCAGTATAGGAAGGTCCTCACAGTAACTCTTCAAGCTGGGTTTCTCATTTTATAGATGAAGACAGAGAGGGGTTTCTCAAGGTCTTGCAGATTTTACAGGGACAGAGCAGGGTTTGACCCCAAGTGTCTGATGCCTGGACCTGGGTGCCCAAGCATGGCGCCACTAGACCCCTGACAGGTAATGAGGATGCAAAGAGGGGAGGGATTAGGTGCCCAGCCTCAAGGTTCTGGGAACACAGGCGACAATTCTGTCCCAGTGGGCACGGTACCATGGGTGCCATGAAAACACGGGAGAGAGAGCAGCTCACTCTGCCAAGGGGCCCTGCACAGGGGCCTTTGTGCACTATCCCTCTGACCCAAATGGCCATGGCTTTGACCACTCCAAAGTCACACACCTCAAGTTCCAAGTATCTCTAGAGATTTGCAACAAATGCCAAAGGCTCTTTAAATGACATCTGGGAATCCTTCTGCTGCTCACTTCTCCTTCTCAAGGACACTTTCTTAACAGAGGCTGGCAGCCCTGCAATGCATGTCAGAAGCTCCCAAAAGCTGTTAATCCGGTCCAAGGCTGTGCTAAAGGACAGGACACAGGGAGAGGCTCGTGCCAAATTCTTGGCTTCAAGCTACATGGCCCGAGGAAAAACTCAGCGTCAAGAACAGCTGTTGCAGTGAGCTGGAAATAGGGAGCAGGGTCTGGGTCACATACAGCTCCCCCTTCTGCCCCCTCACCCTCTTCCATGGACCACATGACGACACTCAGATCACACCATGTCATTGTATCTATTAGGGTCCAGCTTCCGCACTGCCCAGTGAGCTCCTTGAATTAGGACATTGTAAATTACTCATGTTTGTATTCCCCATGCCTAATACAGTGCCTGCCACTAGGTAGGAGCTGAGTAGATATTCTTAAATTGAGTTGAATTGCGTCTTCTCTGCTGAGCTCATACTGCACCCCCTCCGCACCCCAGTTATCTCCGTAACCAATTTCACCTCCCTCCGGTACTCAACTCTTCCAAAAGCTACAGCCATCGGTGGATGTCAAAGTGCTTTGTTAAAATAGAAGCAGTAGCACATCGGTTTTGGAAGAAAAAATGACAAATGCAGATCTGATTTAATCTTTCACTCATGTGAATGAGTTGTGGAGCTAGTCATCTCCCATTTTTCATATGTGTTTTTCATACTTATAAATGAATGAATGAGTGATCCCTACCTCACAGGGTGCTGTCAGCATTAAATGAGATAATACATGTAAAGCCTGTGGCAGAATGCTTGGTAGATAATAAGTACTCAACAAAAACAGGCACAGGGCCAGTTCTAGGGTGAGGTGAGTGAGGGGTATGTCTCAGATGCAGAACTCAAGGAGACATCAAAGCCTCAATAATTAAGATACATCAGTTTATTAGTTATCTAGGGCTGGTGTGACAAAGTACAATACCACAAATGGGGTGGCTTAGAAAATAAGAATTCATTGTCTCAGAAATCCAAAATCAACATGTTAGCAGGCCAGTCTCCTTTCAAAGCCTCCAGCGGAAGCTCCTTCCTGGCTATGTCTGGCATCTGGGGGCAGCAGGCATTCCTTGGCCCATGGTGGCATCACCCAGTCATTGCTGCTGTCTTCACTTGGCCTTCTCATCCCTAAAATGACCTGTCATGTGGCCGAAAAGTCACCTATTTCAAATTGTAAAACACGGCCTAGTTTTTCTCTGCCCTTCTGAATTTCTTTTTCTCTCATTGCCTCATCATTCAGGAGGTAGGATTTACTCCCATAGATTCCCGTTACCAACAGTGATGGCATCAGAGGTAGCGTTTCTCTCTTAGACGTGACGGGTATAATATGTAAGACATCCAGCTTAATCTTTGGTTGAGCCGTCCAAGAATGATGTAACCAGTTTCAAAATAGAGAAAGGAATGCCAGTGCATGTGATATGCTACATATGCCTTATATACAGTGTCTCATTTCATTCTATAGAAACCTCATGATGCAGGTATCATTATCTATGTGTTATACATAAATACATCGAAGCTATTAAAGGAAACTGAAGTCAAGGTTGAAGCCAAGATCTCTAGGACTTCAAAGCCATGGTTCTCCCTGCCTCATCATACAGATTCTCCATAAACAGTATTTGAAAACATTATCCATCCAGGTAGTGAAAAATCCGCATTTTCTGTCTGCAGTGTGCAGCTGTGTGCATGGAGTGTGCAACAGTGGAATCGACGGCAATGGAACCTGCGAGTGCTACTCTGCATACACCGGCCCCAACTGTGACAAGCGTGAGTACCACCGGTTTCCTCAACGCCACACCAGTTCAAATGGGCACAGGCCTGGGCCCAGCCCAGGGTGTGCTGTTCTGCACACCCTCTCCTCAGCCCTGTGCCTGCCAATGGCTTTACAGGACTGGCCACCTGGGGGACTGGCCACCCTGGCTTCATCCCACACAGCTGGCCCCTGAAGCCACCTCGGCCCCAGTCACACACAGAAGTCCACTACACTTTTGAGAGAGTGTCTCTTAGCTCCTGGGCCCAGCAGCTTCTCCACACACCAAGTGGGTCCTGACCCTCAGCACCTCCCCATGGATGACCTTCCCTAGAGGGAAGGTTTCCAGCTAATCTTTCCATGAAGGCACCTCAGCACCTTCTTCCCCATCTGGTGACCATGGCCATGCCCTGTCCAGGGGCATCTGGACCCAACCGTGGACAGAGGAGGGCCTACCTTGAGTACTTACCTCAACCCTAGAGTAGTTGTATTTCAGCTATTCCTTTATTCCTCAGAGTTCTTTTTAACTCTCACAAGGAATTCCACATTGTTTTCATTCTCTGGTCATAATTCTTTACACTACAGTTTTCGCTGTACAAATTATCATGTGTTTTCTATCTCCTGCCTGAGCCCTAATACATTGCCTATTTCAAAAAAAAAACTTAGGTTCCCTTAGATCAGAGCTCCTCTCCTGTAATAAAATCCTTGCATGTTCAGTCTCCATGCAGGACTCTGCGTTGCCCCATGGGAATCGGGGCTTGGAGGGCTTGGAGCAATAACGCTGATGCACTGGCTACCGCTCTTTATATGAGTAATAAACTGCCCTCATCTCTGACCCAGGGTATCTTATATACCTCACACTTGTCTCATATCTTCTCATATCTTATATACGTCTTGTCTCATATCTTCTACCAGCACCCATGTAACTGAATCAGCCCAACTGGTTAGCTTTGCATGTTGGTTATTACGTCAAACTCTTTATAGTTTTTAACAATCATCTACGTTTCATTGATATTGTAAAATACTATACAGTTATTAGATATTAAAGTATATCCTTAAAGACCTCCATAGTATATTGCTAAATTAAAAAAACGAGTTTCTCGATATTTTAACAGGATCCTACGTTGTTTTAAAAATCATATAAATAAACTTATAAATATATTGGTTGTTGGCATTGGTCATGTTAGGGATAGTCAGAATAGGAAGACAGTTAATTTTCACTTTCTGTGTTCTGGGTTTTTTTGGAATTACTACAACAAGTCTGTGTTATCTTTTTAGTAATGGGGAATGTTGCATTTGCTGAGTTTTTTTAGAACTGGTTATTCTACTGATGCAGTGACCTCAACAACCTCCCTTTGCAGCCGTTCCGGAATGTGCAGCCTTGCTCTGCCCTGAAAATTCCAGATGCTCACTTTCCAGCGAAGATGAAAGGAGACTAGAATGCAAATGCCTCCCCAGTTACAAAGGCGACGGCAAACACTGCGAGCGTGAGTAGAATGTAGATCCTGCCGGTTTATTACTTGAGATGTTTAGGTTACTCAACAGAAAAAAAAACCCTCACAATCTCCCTAATTTTAATGCAATGACCACCTCTATTTCTCTCCATGTCAATGAATGAAATACATAAACAGTTCTAAGCAAAATGCTCATCATGAAACAGGAGCCAGACTGCCTGGGTCCAAATCCCAGATCTGCCTGTTACTGATTACAGGACCTTGGACAAATTCTTTAGCCTGAATGTGCCCCCGTTTTCCTATCTAACAAATGGGGATAATAACGGTACTTATGGAAGGTTGTAAAGATTAACTAAGTTAATGTATGACATGTGCTTACAACAGAGCTCAGTACATATTATAAATTCTGTAAGCCTCAGTGCTTTCTCTCATGCTCTTTTACATTCAGATTTGCATGTCACATGGCACAATAATATATTAGCACAATATTTATAGTTATAACCTTTGGTGGTCCTATGTAAGTCTGTTTGGTGGCAGGGGGGGTGGTGATCTGGTAGGGTAGGGTGAAATGTTTCCTACGCCTTTCAAAATCGTTGCACTGCCTTCGCAGTTTTGATGAGCTGTGACTGGCGGTGCCTTCACTGTTCAGTGTTCCCTCTCAGTCCCAGGGGTGGTAACTGCCTCTTGCCTTGTCATTGCTCCTCAAGCCATCAATCCATGTTTACAAAATGTCTGCCACCGTCACGCTCATTGCACATACCTGGGACCAAATCGGCACCGCTGCACATGCCAAGAAGGCTACCACGGGGATGGCCAAGTGTGCTTACCAGTTGACCCCTGCCAAACTAACTTTGGAAACTGCCCTACAAAGTCCACGGTGTGCAAATATGATGGACCTGGACAGGTGAGCGACTGCTGCACAGAACTGATGGAAATAGAATAGGACAACCCACTGAAGGTAAAACAAGCCATAGGTGTCATTTGTCTTCTGGGCCTTCCCAGTGCTCCCTTTCAATGTCCGGCTGGGCTTCCTCCCCAGACAGATCTGCGCATGCTCAGGGATGACCACAGCACGTCCCTTCCCCCGGGCACCCTCTACACCCACACTTTCCAAGCTCCCCAGTCAAAACTTAACTGTGCTACATTCTCTTCTATCCTAGTGCTATAGAATGATAGACAAATACAACATACACAACTCATATTAGATTAACAAATTAACTGTTAACCAAGTCTTGAGTGACTGTGTAAGTGACTTTCACCAGCAATCCTCTAGTCACTCTAGGATTTGTTTGTTTTTTTTTTTTCCAAAAACACTCTATGTCACAGGGATAAACACTGACAGAATGCCAGGCAGCACTGGCGCAGTGTAGGGAGCAGTGAAGAAATTCTGGGGTGAGACCCTGACCCTTCGAAATCACATCATGACCTAGACTGGCAAAATTCAGCCTGGTCAGGAGACCTTTGCTAAAGGGTCCAGTTGAAAGAACCATTTGCCTAATATCTCATTCATCCATCCAATATGTAGGGATGCATGCCTACTGAACCCAGACCTGTGCATTGAGTGTTTAGCAGAGGAAATCCATCCACACCCAAGGCTGTGGCTGCCTGGGCAGAAGGAAAGGCTTCCGTGCCTGACCCAGACACAGCCATGGGTCTCCAGCTGTCTGATCAGCACCCCACAGGAGCGCCCCTGGCATTCCCTGCACAGAACCTACCCAATCTTACCTCACAGGAAAAAGAATATATCACACAAGATTTCTGCTATCAATTTCTGAGGCAGATTTGCAAGAAATTTAAAGGGCTGAACTGTATCCTTTAAACAAGGTTCCCTGTGGGCAAAGTCATGTTACACCCTGAACCGAGGTCCCAGGACCTTGGGAGTGAGGTTAAAAATATATTTTGTCTCTTAAGATCTGCATCCCAAGGCAGACTTTCCAGTCTTAGAAACCCCTATTGCTCACACAGAAGCAGTGTGTTCATTATTTTCATTATTCTAGGGCAGGGGTCCTCAACCTTGGTATTGACATTTTGGACCACACATATTATTCTTTGTTGTGGGGCGCTGTCCTGAGCATTGTAGGATGTTTGGGAGCATCGCTGACCTCCTGTGACACCATCCCCATCCCGTCGTGAAAATCAAACATCTCCAGACATAGCCCAATGCCACCTAAGTTTAGTGGCTGAAAACCAGTATTCTAGAGCAACAATCCTTCCCATCTGAGCCCCATCTGCAGCCCATTTAAAATCAGGAATTATGGTGCCTGTGAGGGCCAGCGTCTGCAAACAAGAAAACTGAAGGGTAAACTACCCACAAGGTGTACAAGTTTCCAAACAGACAAAGTGTAGAGAGAGGGCTTCCAATTCTACACACTTTGACAAAGGTCTAGTTTCGGCCCACACTCTGGACCTGCCCTGAGTTCGTTTTTATGGCAGTATGAAGACATGAGTGTAAGAACATCAGCTTCAGTGACTGACTAGAGCCCTCTTTGTTCTTTCTCCTGCCCACTCAAGTCTCACTGTGAGTGTAAAGAACATTACCACAACTTTGTACCTGGCCTGGGGTGCAGTATGACCGACATCTGTGCATCTAATAACTCCTGTCACAGGAAAGCAAACTGCTCCACCGTCGCACCAGGTCAAACCAAGTAAGTCTGCAGTTCCACCACCTTCTTTGCAAGTGGTGACAGTGGCGGCCAGTCAATGCTGTAAGTTTCTCTGGGAAGAAAATGTCTTAGGTTGCCTATGTCCACCCTACCCCCACATAGCACAATGCAAAAAGCACAATAGTTACTCCAAGAATCTTTGTTTAATTGATGAATCATTCAGAAAGCGTTTCCTTTCTAATGACGGTTAGAAAAATCTGAAATACTGACAGGGCTGCTAATCTGGTATGAAGTGGCCAGAGGGTAAAGGAAGCCGCTGTCACTGGGAAAATGAATGTCTGTTGCGATTACAGGGGTTTGGCCTCGAATATACATGCCTGCTTCCTCATTTGTGAAATATGACTTGTTAGTGGTGCCAAACAAAAGCAGGGAAAGCGAGTAAATATTAATGGTGTTTCCTGGACTCCAGGACTTAAAAAGAGGGGTTTACTGTGAGTAGGAATATTTGCATGAAAATTCCTGAGGCAGAGGTAGCTGGCGAGGTGGGAAGGAGGCAGTATTTGAAGTCTAAAGACCTGGGTTTGACTGTCTTCCCTGGTATCTTTCAGTCGTATGACCTGGGCGAAGTGACACCATCCCTCTGGCCTTAGTTTCTCTATGTATGACATGAGCACGGTGATGTCTACTTCATAAGGTTGTTGTGAAGATTGCAGGAGAGAACCTTCTGGAAACTGCTGTACAGCTCTGTCTCATGTTGCTATTAGTAGATGAACTGAGGCCAGAACCCAAGTCTTTCCCAGACCAAGGCTTCCATCTCGGGGCCACTTTCAGTTCTTATTGTCATCAGCACCTGAGAAGGACTCAGATGCCATGTGAGCTCGATGTCATATGGAACTGTAAGGGTTTCTGTGGTTCCTGACCCCCTTCTACTTCCTTTCATGGTTGGGTTTTGAATGTGTGGATTTGTCCAGATAGTTTTTGTGGTCATCATATCCTGTCTATGCAAATAAGTAAATCCGCACTCAGCATGGATAAAGTGGAAAGAATTTGGGTATCAGAACATCTGGGTTCAAATCCCAGCTCTGCCACACACCTTAACCTCTCCGAACAAGGGATAGAGTGAGGCTATCATGAGATTATGTTCATCAATCTCTGAGCAGAACCTGGCACATGAAAATCACTCCACATGCGCGTACGCACACAAACACACCCTGCCTGTGTGTAGTATAGTCACATATGCACCCAACATGCATGGTTACAGGCACAACCTCTTTAAACACAGATTCTGGTAACATGGACAACCGAACAAGCCAGCTTACACACTTTCAACCATCCTCTGAGGAAGCCTGAGCAGAATACTCTAAGCACTTTCTTTCCTTTGTGTTTGAGAAGATAAAATTGAAAAAATAAAAATAGTGAACATTAGAATAATATAAACTGCATTACACTTTTGTTCGGAATGTCGGTGGGCCTGGCAATGGATATTGGGGGTCTGTGTGTCACTTATAACCCTCCTTGGCCCTCCCTGCCCCTCCCCAAATAATGGTCTATCTTCGGCAGGAAAGAAGCTCGGGTTAAAGGTTGGCTAAGTTACCTGGATAAAATATGGGACCATCAGCAATTCGGGCAGTTTAGTTCACCTCAGATAAAGATCTCTTTTGTTTATGCTTCCTCAATACGGTAATCAGTCTATGCAGAATATTCAAACTCACATTGTATTAGCACCGAAGAACACCCAATGAAGAAGAATGGGCTCAACAGGGACTCCACTATTCACCTGTGGGGTGACCTCAGACAAGGCATGGGCATTCTGACCCACAGTTATGGGTGGTTTTGTTTGTTTGGGGAGGAAGCTAAAACTCTCACAGTCTTCTTTTTTTCATTTTTAATTATGGTTTACATTCAATATTATTTTATATTAGTTTCAGGTAGATAGCATAGTGGTTAGACAATCACATGCTTTACAAACAAAGTGATCCCCCCAATATCTCCAGTACCCACCTGGCACCATACATAGTTATTACAATGTTGTTGACTATATTTCCTATGCTATGCTTCATGTCTCCTTGAATATTTTGTAACTGGTGGTTTGTACTCTCAATCCCTTTACCTTTTTCACCCAGCCCTGGGTCTGTTCTCTGTTTCTCTAAGTCTGTTCATGGGTTGTTTGCTTATTTATATTGTTCTTTAGATTTCACATATAAGTAGAACCATATGGTATTTGTCTCTCTCTCTGACTGGCTTATTTTACTTAGCATAATACCCTCTAGGTCCATCCATACTGTCACAAATAGCAAGATTTCACTCCTTTCATGGCCAAGTGATATTCCATTGTACACATGTACTATGGCTCTTTTATCCACTTGTCTATTGGGTTGCTTCCATATGTTGGCTATTGTTGTAAATAACACTGCAATGAACATACGGGTGACTATGTTCTTTCAAATTAGTGTTTTGGGTTTCTTTGAATATATACCCGAAGTGGAATCACTGAGTCATAAGACAGTACTATTTTTAATTTTTTGAGGCCCCTCCACCCTGTTTTCCATAACAGCTGCACCTACCAATGTTGGTGGGAATCTGCATTCCTACCAACAGTGCACAAGGGTTTAAAAACACGAGGGGTGTTTTTAAAGCTTCAAGACAGCAGTAGACCTTTACACCTAATAAGGAACCAATTTATAAAGAAGACAATGCTGTGAATGTGCTGTAGCCCAACCGAGAACCTTTAAGTCAGAAAATGATCTCATGAAGTCTCAGACTTTGGACCGAGATTTTAAATAAAAATTTAAAAATATTTATGTCTCATACATTCCATTCCACGCTGAGGCCATTAAAATATCATTCTTAGAAAAAACAAGTCAAGTCATTTTACACAAAACAGACCATTGGCCTAATAACAACTTAGGGAACTTTTAGAGAGAAATACACTTAGTGGTTTGCAAAGGTTACTTGTCCAACTATGAACAGTTGTCTTCAAATGAAACTTACATAATTTAGAGCAGGATTAATTTACAGCAATAATTATTGTATCCCTTCCAATCCCCCTCTTAGCCTTCTTAAATTCACCATCTTGTGGCACAGTTCTTGCAGAAAAAAGTTGATGTTTAAGTAAGAATCTGTTATTTGATTGTATTAAATAGACTGCCATCCCATGGTTAGGTCTACCTTAGCGATGTCCTATAACGAGGTCTTTCAACCTCGGCACTGTTGACCTTTGGGGCTGGGTAACTCTTTGTAGTAGGTGCTGTCCTGCGCATTGTAGGGTGTGTAGCAGCATCCCTGACCTCCACCCACTATTGAGAGTTGCCACTAACACCTTCTCCCTAGCTCTGACAACCAAAAATGTCTCCGGATGTTGCCAAATGTCTTCTGGGAGGCAAAATTGCTCCTGGTGGAGAGTGGCTGCTCTGTAAAAACTTTGAAAACTCAGTCACTAAATTGGTTTTGCTGGGAAACTCATATATACCCTTCTAGAATTATCTAGAATCCTGGGGCTACAACTGTGAATACATACATACAGTAAATACATACAGAGCCCTTGCCCTCACTCTCTTCTCAGATGAGGTGGGGTCAAATAACCACACGGTTGGGATAGAATTGCAACTGGCCCTGGTGGTACAGGGAGGAGCTATATGGTACCATGAGAGTACACACCAAGGGGGGCCTGATCCACGTTGGGAGTAGGGAAGGGCTGGACAATTGAGGAATACTCCCCCAAGGAAGGGAGCGTTGAGCAGAGATCTTGGCTAGGAAGAAAGTAGAAGGGAAGACTCTTCTAGGCAGATCAACAGCTCTGAGGCTGACATCAGTAGCTTATTCTGATCCACAGGCTCTATGGCGGGGCTCTATGATGCGGACTCTGACCAGTGGGGTCTGTGTGTTGTGGATGCATTGAACAAATTCGCATGGATTGCAGAAGTCCTGTAGAGAAAAGGGATGGCATGGCCGCTCTCTATGTGAAGAGAAAGGGCCCTGACCCTTGTCTGGACAGGCTTTTATTGCTTTTCTGGGCACATTACATCAAGGATGGTCCTCATTTACTATGCACAGGTTCACTTTAGATGATTACCTTTTACAGATAACCAAAAAAAAAAAAAGGATGTTGCTGATTACTTCAAAGAAAAAGATGTTGCAAATGCAAGGGGAAAAGCAGTCAAACTGGTTACACTCCATCCTTGGGAGGATTAGCACAGACTTTAGGAAGTGACTTTAAAGATATGCAGTAAATGTTTTCTGCCTCAATCCAGGGTGAGGGAGTTTTAGCAAAAGCAAGCCTCAAAGCAGCCTAGGTGCAATGCAGGCCTGGCTCCTGTGTGCCACCTCGTGACCGTCGGTTTTCCAAACCAGGGCTGAGCTGCATTTGCCACTGCCATGCAGATCAGTTCCCTATAGCTCCAAACTCTGAATTTATAGTAAGCACTCCAAGTGATTCTGATGTACATGGTCTCTTGATCACACTTTGAAAAATACTGAAAAAGAATACAAAGATATCTAGTGTTTATAGATACACATAATTTATTAAATATCCATTTCTGTGGGCTCACCCTATGTCCGGCACTGCTCTAAGAGGCCTCACTTGTGTACCACCTCTCCTCTCCTGGCCTCATTCCTGGCCAACCCTGGGCATTGCTCTCCCCATCATTGCAGACAAGGATCTGTTCTGCAGGATCTCACCACTCAATGACTCTGAGACCCTGAGAATGTGTTTTTACCCTCTCTGTAGATGCACTTGCCAAAAAGGTTATGTGGGTGATGGCTCAACGTGTTACGGAAACATCATGGAGAGACTCAGAGAATTAAACACTGAACCCGGAGGAAAATGGCAAGGAAGTCTGACTTCTTTCATCTCTCTCCTGGGTATGCATCTATGGGTACAGATTCCACATAAAGGGCAGCCGTCTTTCAGGCAACAGCAACTGCAAGACACAATTATTCAAAAAGGGTGGGCAGGCTAGGCAAGGCTGTGAATGGAGATCAGCCCTTTGAGGAAGGGCCATGCAAGTGGGAAGGAAAGGACAGGCAGCTGTGTCCAAAGAGAAAGGAGTTAGTGCCAGGAGACCTAGCAATGCCGGTTAGCCAGTTAGACCCAGGAGACAGGCAGCTGGGTCACCACAGGTCACCAGGTCTGCAACAACTCTGAGACAGGGCAGCCACTAGTATGAAGAGGGACGCCATCCTCTTTCCCTTGACCTTATGGCCCCTTCAGGTATGAAATGAGGTTGGCAGGTAATACTGGGCATAAAGAATGACTAAAGCCATGAGTCAGCATCTATGTTTCTCAGCAGAGGTGCTGTTTGAATTTTGGGAGTAGTCTTGATTGGATGTGACCATCTCAAATATTGCTGGACATTTAGCATCATTGGCATGCAACCACTAACCCCCAACCCCCAGGAAGGGTGACAGCCCCGAATACCCTCCTGCATTTCCAAATGCCCTCTAGGTCATTAAGAATCAAATCTGATAGCTGATTGCAGCCTTAGACAACACTTTCAATAAGACACAAATATGGCCAGCCACAGAAAATAAAATACAGGCTCAACCAATCAACAGAAGCTCTAAAATATAAGTATCTTGAGTTTTCCAGTCACCAAAAATGATTTCCCACAAAGAGCACAGGGAGAGAAATGTCCTGCCTGGGTCAGGGCTGTGTTCCTCACATACATCTTAACGTATGTTCTGCATAAATGTCCTGTTCCTTCCCAGGCATCTTAAGGGGGTTCAAGCATTACTGACATGCCTCAGGGCTCGGGGGCAATCTTCCAGGCTCCTCACAATCTCTTCAAAGGACTGTTGAAGTATCAGACGAGAGCAGACTGGAGTGGCAGTGTCCCTTGCAGGCTGGGCCCTCGAACATTTCCCTGGACAGAGCCTGGTGGCCCTCTCACCTGCCCCGTCTGTAAAGTGCTGGTACACATGTTGCCTCCTGTGTGAGAGCACAGCTTCCCCAGCAGCATGGAGACACAACCAGCCTCAGGCCTTTCAGGGCCCCTGCAGAATGAAAAGGCGGAGTCCTGCGATTTAAAAAAAATTAACCTCTTCAAGATGGCAAGATCAGAGCAATAACCAAGCATGGGGCTTTTCTGAGCTGGCTCCAGATGGAACAAGGGCTTTACTCACTGAAATGGTGGCAGCTCAGAGAGTCAGGGACCTGCTGGCTGGGGCTGTCTGAGGATTTAGTCATTTGACCCACACAGAACCTCTTATTTCATCCCATGGTTTCTTTACAGCCAAAATTGTGGCTGTAGAGAAAAATCACATCATTATGAGAATATCTGGGGGGCCATGCATTCTAAAACAGCTTCCCAGTTTACAAAGGGCCTGCATGTGACACTTAGGACAGAGGAGCCCTGAGTCAAGGGTGCACATGGACCACAGGGGCATTGCCTGATTGTGTCCCACATGTGCCACTGACCCACTCGTGTTTTCTTTGTGTGTTTCAACCGCTAAGGCAAAGCCTACGCCTGGCCACTCAGTAACCTGGGACCCTTCACTGTGCTGCTGACCACAGACAAGGGGCTGAAAGGACTCAATGTGAGTATTTACAAGAAATCTACACCAAGAGACTGAAGTAAAAAAATAATAACAACAGACATCTTAGTAGGCACTACCTGCTTTTACATAGAGCAAGAAACCCCCATTAAATTCAAACCTGCTGATAATAAGGATGGTGATGGTTTGGTAAACTTTTAGTGGAACATAACACCCTGACAGAAAGTATGCCAAGGGTTAAGTGCACAGCTCAGTGAATTGTCACGAAGTGAATGTACTTGTGTGTCCAGGAAGACCATTACCAGCCCCCGTCAAGACCCCGGATGCCCCTTCCAGTCACTATCCCTTCAAGGGCAATCGCTGAGGGCTCTTAGCTACAGTCATGTGGTAGATAAGATTTGAATAGTGCAAAGCTGCTCACTTCCTACAGGAAGAGTAAAACTCATGCATTAGCTAGGTATTTGTTTCTTTAAAATCCTAAGTGGCCACTGTGATGGAAGAAACTAGAAAATTGTCATCGCCCTTGTGAGCAGCTGTTGTCTGAGATGACAATGTCATCCACTGGGAAGGAAACACGTGGTGCCTAGTGTCCCATCACAATGGTGTCAGATAGTTAGATTTGGTTTAATGTGTATAGTGGACACACTGATTTGTATGAAACTGGTTTGTCTTACTGTACTTACTGTACGATGTTTTGTGATCATTGTCGCTGCATGGGAGAAAAACCCAGTAAGTCCCAGACTCACTGGCCCTCATATGCCCCCACCTTTAATCTGTCTGAGATGAATCTGTCACTGACCTTCAGAGGTGCCCTCTCTTCTCTCCTGCTGGAGAGAACTGGTAAAGATCGCATGTCCCCGGGCTGGGTACTTTGCATGTGGTCTCTTGTTTAATAAACAGATTCAGTTTACAGGAAGTTAATTTTTTAAAACTCTGTGTCAGTTGTTGATGATACCCTAAAAAAGTGTAGATTTGGTCCAATGGATTCCAAAAATCTTAATATTACCATTCAAAAGCTCCATTGGTCCACTCTACCTGCTCTTTCCACCTGACTTTATATTTCATTTTCATCTGCTTCCTGAGCTCAAGATGATTCCTCGGTGCCCGCCCCCCTCCATTCCCAGCCCAGATGCTGTGCTCTCTCCACTGTGTCAGTTTCCAGGCTAGAGCACCCCCCTGGTTGGAGAGTATAATCTGCATCACCTTCCACTCTCCAGCTTTTCACTCCCTTTAAGGCCTGGCCAGGGCAGCTGCGCTCAGGGAAAGGCGTCTGTATCTGTGAGCCCAGTGAAAGCACAATGACTTCGATGTCAGTGATGAACAAATCAATGGTAGAGTCATAAACCTCACTTGCTCCCTCCAACAATGGAGACTTCTAAAGGAACGGGCTCTCTTTTCATAGGTAAAGGGGCTTTTGATGGATAATAAGGCTACTCAGTACTTCGTGAAACTTCACATAATTGCTGGGCAGATGAGCACCGAGAGTATGAATAACACAGACACATTCTACACCTTGACGGGAAGGTCAGGGGAAATCTTCAGTGGTGATAAGGTAAGGGTTTCTCTGAAGTCCACTCCCAGAACAAAACTGTCCACTGAGTCAGCACCCACAGCTGGCTCTCTCTGTTTGTCAAAGAACTTCCCTATGTAGGAAGAAGTGGGGAGCAACACCAGAAAGGGTCATATAGGAGACTGGCAGACTTATAAAAAGGGGGTCATAAAGTGTTTGATTCTCAAGGTAACCATTGCACTGCAAGCAGGAAGGAGAAACTTTGCAGCCAATCTGCTCCCTGGACATATCCACGCAAAGCCAGATCAGCCTTCTTCTTAAAAGGAAATGGATTATGTTTGTTTTAGATCGCCGGAGTTTGTTCATCCTCTCCTGCGTAATGTTACATCTTTCCTAATGCCATTAGCTCTGTTTTGTTTTTTAAGTAAAACTATTCCTATCTTTCATAAATAGCTATTTTTGTGACTTTGCTAAGGTACACAGGACTAATCAACAGAATGTGTGTGTATATTATGGACTATACAGTTATGTTTCACCAAATGCCAATAGTTGATGGGTTATTGAGCACTTACTCTATGCAAGGTACTGGGGTAAATCTTTATTTATGTTGGATAAGATTCACAGAAACCCTATAAAGGGACATTTTGCCAGAGTCAGGATTCAAATGCAGGTCTGCCTGACTCCAAAACCTGATTCCTCAACCAGTATGTTGCACTGTGGGTGTGAGGATGGATAGGTGAGTGGGTAGATGGAAGGAAGGAAGGAAGGAAGGAAGGAAGGAAGGAAGGAAGGAAGGAAGGAAGGAAGGAAGGAAGGAAGGAAGGAAGGAAGGAAGGAAGGAAGGAAAAATAGATGAAGATGTGGCCTTCTTTCTCCCAAGGACATACATGCATTCTTTCATCCATTCATTCAACAAATATTTACTAAGTCTGTAACTTATAGGAGTCACATGGAAGAAGGAATTAGCTTTTGTTATTCACTCAACAAATATTTTTTATTGTGTGACCTCTCTGTACAAGATACTAAAATACAATAAGTGATGTGCCTTGGCCGGGTGGCTCAGTTGGTTGGAGCATTGTCCCATACACCAAAAGGATTTCATTCCTGGTCAGGGCACATACCTAGGATTCATGTTTGATCCTGTTTGAGTTGTGTATGGGAGACAACTGAACAATATATCTCCCTCTCTCTCCAATAAATATATCCTTGGTGAGAAATAAATAAATAAATAAATAAAATTATGTATTTATTGTAAATTGAATAGTTTCGTCTCTTTTGGAGGTTGCAGGTTATTAGGGGAGACTCGTAATGCCTTACTCACATTTAGCATGATAGTCATTAGTGATTTCACAAGCTATGTCATTTGATCGTAACGAAAACCCCATGAAGCCAATCTGGCAGATACCATCCTCCACATTTTAGGTTAAGTGACTTATTCAAGATCACACAGCCAATAAATGGCTGAACCCGAGGATTTCTGACTTCTAGTCCAGTACTCACTCCTTCAAGGCCACCCCACTAATTTTATTTTATTTTCCCTTGGTGCTGTAGGATAATCAACTAAAGCTTAAACTCTATGGAGGTAAAAAGAAGGTAAAAATTATAGAGGGGAACATAATTGCTTCCAACGGGCTCCTACACATTCTTGACAGAGCCATGGACAAGATGGCACCCACATTTAAGAGCAACACGGAGGTGAGATATTTCAGCTAATAGTGACATCAACCCAAGTTCACCTTCCTTTGTTCCACAGAGGGTCACATCCCAAAAGAAAATGCAAGCCAGCAGTATATACTTGACTTTCATTTGTTGTGCTAGGACCCCAACCATGGGAAAGATGGGCTCATTTGTCTATTTTCTGTAACAGAACAACATTTCTGTTGTCTGTTACAGAACTCCAGGTACGTCTACAGAGAGAAAGGCGTGCAGTAAGTGTAGGAAAGACATTGTTTTTTTTTACCTCTTTTAGGGCTGCCTCTGACAGTTCAGTCCAGTGACCAGTGAAAACTTATCCCTCATGCTTTATGGTGGAGGGCAATCTCATTTCAATAACATTTATTCCCTCTGACCTATTTGATGATGGCTGAAGGCTATTTCAGAATGTGCAGGTCTAACCTACTATTTCAAAAACAAAAGAATACATTTGTTTCTATTCACACACATAAACTCTGTCTTTTAATGTTATGGTTTCTATTTTCTGAGCTACCTTTTTTGACTATTTGTTCTAAATGTCTCTTTTTAGCAAACCATAATGACAATGTTACAACCAAGATACAACAAGTTCAGAGCTTTGTTAGAGGTATGTACTTTTCATGAATTTCTGGAAAATTTTTGATGCTCAGCCTTTGTAAAATTAGCAAATGTGTTGATTATCAACATTTTGAGGACTTAAATATTTATCTGAGTTAGTTGCAGATATTAAATTTTATGTCTTAAATGCAGAAAACCAACATGGGGCGTGCCTATGATGGGGATGGAGCTGGTGAACCATACACCATTTTTGTTCCAAGTAATGAAGCATTGAATAACATGGAGGATGGCGCTCTTGATTACCTCCTCTCTCCAGAGGTATTGTTTTCTACCTAACTCTGATGGTATCGTGCCAGCACCACTGCCTCAGTCTGTGTCCATACAGGCTTTTTCTAAACTAGGCATGACAAAAAAAGTTGCATAAATATCACTATCTACCCTCCCACACCCAAGGCAGACATCATTAATCAATCACAGTTCTCTGGAACTAAGCCTGATGTTTTAGTGGCTTACTTCAAGTTCTCTACAACTCTAAAACTATCTAGAAAGTGAAGTCTATAAATGAGGCCATTCTGGGCCAGGTCTAGGCTAAATTTAAAAGGCACAAATGTTTTTTTTTTCTTTTAGATAATTCAGCCTTTCCTTTGGATTGCTTTCATCTCTCTCCACTGTAATCCTCTCTTTGTAAACCATACACCTTCAATTTTCTCACAATCTTCTGTAGGAAAGGAGTTTTTTTGATTCCTTCAAGTTAAGGTGTAAATGACTAAAGGCATGTAAAGTGTTTCCTCCCCCGGAAACAACAGCCTTAAAATGAAGAGAAGAAGAGCTAACTATGGAGTTTTATTCGTTAGAATGTCAAATGGTGGAAGACCCACTTTCTTCCAGTGTCCTAGAATCATGCTTCCATCTTGGCAATGAGCAAGACTACCTATAACCTTACGTAGCTTAGTGCCAATTATACAGAAGGGAGGGATCCAGATATTTTATGTTAATGATTCCCAAACTTTCATATGCTTAGGAATCACTGATGGGATTTGTTAAACTAGGCATATTCCAGAACTTTCCCCCAAGCATTCTGATCCAATGGTACTAGAAGGGGGGTCAGAAATAGACATTTTGGTAAACACCAGCTTTAACTCAGGTAGCCCAGGCCACCCTCCTTCTGGAACCCTGAAACTTGTTTGTGTGTAGCTTAGAGGTTCACATGGATACATCCATTTTTAGAATACTTTCCAGTACTACAAAAATATCTTACTTTCAGAAAACTATGGATTAAAAAGATACCCATCGAGGAGATAAATAAGCAGGTAAACTCCCTTACATTGAAAATGGATGTTCAACATATTAAAGGATTTGCTATGGGTTTTCATTAAAAATGCTATATTTCCCAGTGTCTTAAAAATAGGATCTTATTTTAAACATATGATTCACACTCAAATTTTCTGAAGCTTAGCCATTGGGGAAAAAAACGGTTATATCTCTCTTTAGAATTCAAACTTATACCTACCTAATTTTAAAGCTGAAAAAGTAATGTTGCTCCCCTGGAAAATTATTAAAATCCTGAGCTTCTATGTCCTCTCTGAGTGCATGAGCTTCTGATACAGAATTTTTTTAAATAATAAAGGTGTTCTCAGACATGTGATCAGGTACACTTAAAGAATGGAAAACAAATCAACCTCCCTGCGTTTGTGTCAAGCACCTTTGCTTGGAAAGCTGTTCTCTTTCTCCTCCCTCATAATCCCTTCCAATGGTGCCTGGAGCCGGCACCCTCAGGCTCCCCCAAGTAGACTGTGAGTACCTCTTCCCAGCTCTATTCCCTGAGATCACACATTGGTAGCTTGAAATCAGCCCATGGTGATTTAGACCATAGAAACTGGCCAACACTATAAATCATGGCTTATTTTTTCCCCATAAAAATGACCACTGCTCCTGGCTCTCAATCTCTTTCCTCTCAAAGGCAGCATTTTTCTTCCTGCGAAGAATATAACCCTTCAAGTCTCTTTGTGCTCCGTCATAAACTGTTTTTCCACTTCAATTTCTAGGTAAGGGATGAAACAACCACTTTGCCTCTTTCTCAAGTACAGAGCCTACGTGGGTTAAAATTTCTCAACCTATTGGAAGTGACTTCTGTCTCCATTCATCTTAATAGCACCCTTTAGTTGTTTCTTCCAAGAAGAACCTCAGCTGGAGACAGTGAAATTTCCATCAGCCACACCAATAAAATGGAAAAGAAACCAATCTCATTAGAAGAGTGCTTTCAATTTTTCATTTGGAATGCCATGTTCCCTTTTTAGTGTATTTCTTTATTTCTCCCTGAAAAAAAAATGTTTCGGTCTCAAAATCATCCCATCCCCACAAAGACCACAGCTGCTGATTATAAGCCCCAGTTTATGACTTTGTCCCTGAACTAGACAGAAATAAAAGCAAAGGGGGGCCAGGTGGGAGGAGATTGGCCCTTGCCAATTCTCGAATGCCTTGAAACTTAAATGAGACAAAAGGAAGTGGATTTACAGAATGCAAGGTCATGCAGTTGGGGAGAAAACACTCTCTTTCTGTCTCTGGCACCAAAAGGTTTGGTTTTTGTTGTTATTATTATTGTTGTTACCTAAAACAGCTGGGGGGAAGTAGATGCCTTCATAAGGGAAAGAATACACTTCCCCAAAAGAATTTTCTACAACAGCAGCACCTGGAAGCATATCCTGTCACTATGAGCCGCAATGGACTGAATTCTACTGGGATGGTGGCCCTCAGCCAGATAAGGCAGCGGGCATGCACAGTGCCAGGGGTGATGCTGATCTATGCCTTTGTTCCTCTCATTCTCCTGTTTCTTGGAAAAAAGGATCCAACACCAATAAACTATTGAGGCTTTAGAAGTGGGTGACGCAACCAGTAAAGTCCTCCATATAGAATTAGGGAGCTGGAAGGAATCCTTACCAGTCCCTTTATTTTCAGGTGAAGCTGTGCCTGGAGGAATTAAGTGGTTTGCTCAGCGTCACACAGAAGCAGAACTCAGGATCCTGAGGTCCAGCCCAGTGCTCTTCCCAGGAACCTCCCTCCTCTTAATTTATTGTCATAAATGTTGATGCAGGGCTTTCCATGTGCCCCATGCTGTGTTGGATGGGGAAATAGTGATTAATAAGATAGACCCAGTTCCTGCCTCCTGGAAGTTTGCAGTCCATTTTGGTCTGACTTTTTCCCCAGTGGTTCCCATTTTTTCTCACCTCTTCTGCCCCTGAGCATCCACGTTCGTAATAGCATTGTTTTTGCCTGCAAGTCTCACTTCTGGGTACCATAAAATAGCATAAAGAGGAAGGTAAAACCCAGTGGCTAAGTGACTTGCTCAAGGTCATATAGTAGCAGAACCAGTACTATAGGTGGTAGTCAACTTCAACACTCTTTTTGGCTACTGTGCCCTGGACCTAATGCTATTGACTTACAGATATGGTAGCCATATAACTTATCATTTACACCAGGACAACTCTGAGAGCAATTGGGGCTGCCAGGACAATGAGAGTTGTACCAGAAAAACCAGGATATGCTGTCACCTTACTTATAGGTAACTGCTCTGCATAGGAACCAGGGCCAAATGCAGAGAGGAGTCTGGGTGAGCGGAACTCAGATTCAGCAGGGCTTTCTTTTGATCTGGGACTTTGCAGTGTTATAATATGTCCCTAGAATGGTCAGCCACTTGGGCATTACTATGATCTTGATTTGCAATTGTTCACCTAGTCACTATGTCTGTGCTATTTAAGAAGCAGACTCAAAAGCTGTGAATCTTGCAACTCCCAGCTCTGGCTCAGCTGGGAGATTGTGACATCCTGCAACAGACCACCACCACTGCCACCAGCTTCTTCCCCCAAAGAGAGTGGTTCCTGAGCTCCTCAACTCTGTGTGCTCTCTCCAGGACACCCTTATGGGGACTGCTCATCCTGTTTATAGTCCCAAGACTATTTTTCCTCCACTGTTGCCTTTGTTTTATGAAGCATGAGAAATCTTGGTAAGGGCTTTGCAAGAGAAATGCCCATGTACCGAGGGAGCTCAGAAAAGAAAGCATCCTGACCAAGTGGTTCAAACAAGGACTGAATACTCCTCAGTAATCTGTATGTGGTTATTGCAAAAGTGAAATGGAATCATAAACTAAGACTGTAGTAGAAAATCCAGAAGATAGCCTTGGACATTCAAAGAGGTCATGGAGAAGAGTGACTGAGAGCTTGGGCTAAGTCTTAGACTTACGTGCTAAGTTAGCTTTGTGACCTTGGACATGTCTTTAAAATTCAGTGTTATCATACATAGAATGACTTGATAGTAGTCCCTACCTCACAGAGCTGTTGAGGGGAATAAAGGAAATGTGCACATAATGTTTTCAGCACAGACTCTGCCAGAGCAGGAATTTGGTAAATATTAGCTATTGAGGGGATGGGATTTTTCTCAACCTGGACTTCCCAATAAAGTGAGTATGGGTTACTTACTTTTCTTGACTAAGTCATTTGAGGAGGTTCCCACAAGAGGAGGGTGGTGTTTTGTTTTCTTCATTGACTAAAGAAGTATTTTAATTCCTTCGTAGGGATCTCAGAAGCTTCTGGAACTCATCAGACACCACATTGTCCCCTTTACCCAGGTAGGCCCCATTTTTCCTACTATCTTTTTTCCCCTGCTTTGAAGATATCTGACCTAGTCTTAAGTTGCAATATCTCATGCTAAAAAAAATAGGGGACAGTTGTCCTTTTTCTGTAGTTTCAAGTGTACCCTTAGCTATGAATGATGAGCCTTCTATCAAAGACATCTTCAAAGCCCCAAAACCCATGACATCAAAGCTCCCATTATTATTCCATAAACTTGCAGGCTGTTTTTTTCTAGTGAAGACTGTATGAAAGCAGTGCTCTGTGTGTTGCTCCAAATGTTTCTGTCTGTTGTTCTCGTTGCAGCTTGAAGTGGCCACCCTCGTTTCGACCTTTCACATACGGAGCATGGCCAACCAGATCATACAATTTAACATAACCAATAATGTAGGTGAAAATTCTACCACTGGTTTCATGACTTATTTTTTGCTCTTCTTATAATTATTTTTTAGGTTATACTATCTCTATACTAACTCAAAGGCTTAAAATCTTTATGATTATTTCATTTATTTTTTACCTTTTCTACCAAATGCCTGCTAAACAGCTACATTTGTGAGAGTCTGACCTAGATGTCAAGGGTAAAGCAGTGAAAGAGACAGGCTTCCATACCAAAAAGGAAAAGAGACTTTAAATAACTAATTAGCAACCAGTGAATTATTTAATCACAATTGTAATAAGTGCCACCAAGTGGAAGTTGAGAGGTCCATGAGAACATGCAACAGGAGGAGTCTGAGGAAGTCTGGGGGTCCAGAGGTCCTTAGTGAGAAGGTGAGGATTTGGCCAAGATTTGAAAGATGAGTAGAGTGAACTTGGGCAAAGAAAACTAGAAGAGTGTTCTAGACAGAAGTAAGAGCATGGTCAAAGCCCCTGAGATGGCAGACAACGTGACTGGTTTCAGAAACTCAAAGAAGACAGCATTATTCAGCTAACTCCCTGGGGTTGTAATATCAGCAAAAGTCTGGCAGCATAGAGATTATGTCTCTTGTTGATTCATTGTTGATGGTGTTGATGAATGGTCACTACACCTTTCAACAAATATATATTGGGTGCCTACTTTGTGCCAGACACCATTTTAGGTCCTGAATGTAGATCAGTGATCATACAAATGCTCTTATTATGTGGAATTTTTATTCTACTAAATAGGAAGACAAACAATAAATAAAGAGTAAAATATGCCACATATTAGGGAATTGGAAGTGAAAAGATAGAAAGCAACAAAGCAAGGAAGGGTACAAGAAAGCAGGAAGGGGGCTGACATTTTGGATAAATTGCCCAAGAAATCCTCAGGGAGAAGAAAATGCATCAGCAAAGACCTGAAAGAAATGGCGGGAGAAGCAGTGTGACTATTTGAAAGAGCACTCCAGTCAGGCATTGAAAGACAAATACCATGATTACTTTGACAAGGAAAAAGAGAAGGGGAGGGAGAGGGGGGGGGGGGGAAATTTAAAATTGAAATAAAGGGGGAGCTCAGGAGAGGAACAGTAAGTACAAAGGCAAAGAGCATGCCTGACCTGTTTGAGGAATTGGGAAGGTCAGTGTGGCTAGATCAGAGAGAGTAGAAGAGAGAGAGTTTAGAGAGGATGTCAAGACAGTAGGAGGGAGAAGGAAAGGTGGGGTCAGGGCATGCAGGGCCTAAGAATTCAAGGTAAGGACATAAGCTCTTAGCTTTGAATGAGATGAAAAGCCATCGGAGGATTTTGAGCAGTGGGATAATGTGATCAGACACATTTTGGGAGACTGATCAGCAGGCAATTGAGAAGAATGATGGTGACTCAGATTAGGGTGGCTGCAGGGATGTAATGAAAAGTGGTTGAATTCTGAAGATATTTTGAAGGTAGATGTAACAAAATGTGCTGATGGGTTGGGGAATAAAGAGAGAGGAAGCCAAGGATGAGTACCAAGCTTTCGACTTGCACAACCACAAAGATGAGTTGCCATTAGTACTGCAGGTGGAGCAGATTTGGGGGAAGAGTGGAGGTCAGAATTTCTCACCAATTTGTCCATTTTCTGCTCCCTTTCCTACAACATAAGCAGGAACATGTCTTAGTTTGTTTACTGATATATCACAAGGTCAATAAATGCATCTGAATGAATGTGAATGGATCACCACTGAGAGATAAACTAATTTGCCCGAAGTGTCATAGCAAATATATTGTGGAGCTAAAATTGTTATAAGTCTTTCCTAGTATGGCACCTGCAAGGTCCATTTCTGCAAGAACATCCCTGCCTGGCATTGGTCAAAAATTCATTTAACAGATTCATCTCTTCCTGTCTGCCAAGCCCTCCTAGTAGCAAATCTTCCACTTACTGAAAAGTTAGGTGAAGTTGAAGTTCTCCAGTGAGGTCACCACCGTGCAGATCTACCAGAGGACCACTGGTGTTCCTGAAGGACAGAATGAAAGATGTCATTGCTTCTTTCCAGGGGCAGATTCTGGCAAATGACGTGGCAATGGAAGAACTTGAGGTCACTGCCAAAAATGGCCAAATTTACACGCTGACTGGAGTTCTGATTCCTCCCTCCATCATCCCAATTCTGCCCCACAGATGCGATGAAGCAAAGAGAGAACTGAAACTGGTAAGAAAACTAGGGAGTAAATTAGGGTCCCTAAACAGCCCCACAAAGCAGACAATGTTTCCAGCTCTCACAGTTCTGAGGACCCTCCTCCCAGAAGGTTTCTGTCTTCATGGAGAGGCAGGCATGAACTAAGGTTCCTTTGGGGGTTTGGGGGGGGTCCACAATGATACATGCTGCCTGAGTATGTTAAGTTTTCTAAAGCTGTTATAACGAATTACCACAAACTTAATGGCTTAAAGCAACAGAGACTTATTCTCTTACACCTCTGGAGGACAGAAGTCAGAAATCAAAGTATTAGCAGAGCCATGCTCTCTCTAAAGGTTTGGGTAGATAGGTGGAGGGGGTTCTTCCTTGCCTCTGCCAGCTGCTGGTGCCTACCAAAGATCCTTGGTGTTCCCTGGCTTGTAACTGCAACACTTTAATCTCTTTCTCCACCTTTGCATGGCTTTCTTCTCTGTATGCATCACTGTGTGTCTCCTACTATTCCTCTAAGGACATGAGTCATTAGATTTAGAGCCCATCTTAGTTCAGTATGGCCTCATCTTAACTAATTACATCCATGAAGACTCAGTTTCCAAATAAGATCACATTCTGAGATTTGTGCAAACATAAATTGGGGGGTGGGGCGGGGAACACTATTCAACCCACTGTACTTCAAAATACCTTACGAGGGATTGAAAGTAGAATTTCTTCTCAGGTGGATGCTCTGGTCTAGCCAATCAACCATCTTTCTGTACTTCTTTTCAAATATGAAACTTACAGTTTCCCTATGAGTTTGTGTACCTTCTAATGGCCTTTCTTATTTCCATAGCAACTTTTTTGGCTCACCTGCTTTTAACCAGAGCACCCCAATTTTTAACATTGCTGTTGCATAGGATATTTCAGTTCCCATGGAAACCACAACCCCAAAGTCACAGCAATAATAAGTCTGGGTATTTCTACTCAGGACACTTCAATATTACATCAATAATTGTCCTCAGAATGTTCTTGGAACATGTGCACTGAACAAGGAATAATGACCTCTTTTTATAGATTTTATTTTATTGATCCCTCTTCTTGTCATGAAGGCTGTAAATGCATAGTTGAATAACTGGCACAGGCTCATGGCTCATTGCTTTGATTTCAGATTTCTTAATTAATATAATTACTCTGATATGTTTTAGGCACTGTGATGGTACTGGTCCCCTGTGCCAGTTACATACCATTGAGGGATTTGATTCAACTCTGAGAACCACTTTTTAGGAGGCAGAAACTTGGTCACTTTCCCAGCCAGTCCCTGGCAGTGATTTGAGTTTGGTTCAATCCTTTAAATGAGTACTGGCAGCTGTATCACCCAGCTTCAGCCAGGACGAAGATCAGAACAGGCCAGAGGAAAATAGTCTCAACTTCTGGCCCAAAGACTAGGAAAATATGGCCTCTTCAGAGAAGAGTCCAAAGAAATCAGTAATTAGACTCCTTCAGAGCTCCTCCACCTCGAGTAGCTGCCATTCAAGTTCAGGGAAAAAAGTCTGTGGGGTCACAAGGGCAGCCCTGGGTTCAAGGTCGCCTAACTCCAGGAAGTTCAAAAGTTTGTTCTCCATCTCCCGAAAGGGTAGAATCCAGATGTGGCTTTGAACCTCAACCCAAAGAATTTGGGGAGAGGAGAAAGACCTTTGCAATAGCTGTCTTAGAATGGAATCTTCAACCATTTTCTCTGGGTTTAAAGTCAAATCTATGTGCTCCATATGGTTTAGGGTGGTTGTGATTGTCTAGTGAAAGCACAAATGCATTCTCTGGAAAGTATTTTGGGCTAGCAAAGAACAGAAGTTCCTGGCACCTTCTAAAAGTCTCGGTTTTCACCAGGCTAAATCCATAGCTGCCTTTGGCCATGTATGTTTGGATTGGGGGGCATGTATTTTAAATTTTGGAGGTTTAATAAATAGCATCTTGTGCTCGTTAAGGTCTAGGGTCCCTGCAGGAAACAGAATTTATCCCAAAGGTTCAAATGGAGAGACTTGAATGAAGAATCTAATGCAGAGAGATGGGCAGGGCTAAGGGAACAAACATGTTATGTTAGGGCATCCAGAAAGAGGCAATGGCAGGAAATCACTACCACCTCAGGACCAAAGAGTCATGGTGGGGGGTCAAGAAGGGGAGTAGAGTTACCTGGTGGGAAGAGTGGAAGAAGTGATACCATCAGGAGCTGTAGGGATGGTACCTCAAGCATACAGAGACCAGGGAAGAAATACCTTGACCTGTTCTCCTTCTACTCATCAATATCCTGCTGGTGCCTCCCATTGATCAAGACCAATCAGCAGTGGGCAAGGAAACCCAGGAGACTATCCTTCAAGGTCTGCCTGCTGGAGCACAGAGCCCAATAGAGAAGGTCGGAGAATGGATATGGACAGATCTGGAGGCGTACACCCCTTTCCTTGCTCCTGAATTCAGAACCACTGGAGCAAGAAGCCCAGGAGACTGAAAGGGGGAGCTTCAATGTTCAGCCTCATTACTGCTGGGCTAATTGGAGAACAAGAACTTCACCCTAACACTTTATCCTTGGCACAGGTGGACAACCAAAGTGTCCCCTGAGGGTCAGGAGCCTCTCTAGTTGGCAGAGTTTATCTGTCTGACCCTTAAAGAGGGAGAGGAAGGGGCTGAGCAGATTCAGTTCCTTCTCCCAGAACCTGCCTGCATTGTCTTCACTCCTTTTCTCTGAGTCAGTAGGGGATGGGGAGAGAGACCAAGGGTTACTCTATAGAATCCCTTTTGCAGGGAGGAAGTGTGAAGCCAGACAGGGCGGTCCCCTGCTCCCTCCTAAAGGGGCACCTGTGTTGATCCACTGTCTTTCCTTCCAGGGCACTTGTGTTAGCTGTTCCCTGATACATTGGAGCAAATGTCCTGCCAACTCTGAGCCCACAGTAAGTGTGACAGCTTCACGAAAACACACATCACCCAAGCACCCCACTGGTGTGGTTTCTCATCCTTTCTACTTTCCTCTTAAAAGATGTTAACTCCAACTGGGATACTATAAGATTAGCTCTTAGCCTACCAGCTGGGAGATGGTAGAAAGACAGCCCACAGATCCGTGCTTGAATCCTTGCATAGTAGCCCTATGTAAGCTGCTTAACCTTTTTACTATAATTTTTTTCACCTGTGTATAATAAGAATAATAACCACAACAACAGGATTCGCATAAATTAAATACCCAAGCACAATGCCTCAATCAAGTATCCATTCAGTAAAAGTTTATTCCTTCTCTACTTTTCCCTCTTAAATAAAACACAGAGTTTGTGTTAGGAAGGCAATACCTCACGTCCAACTTCTTAGGGTCTCCAGCTGGGCTTCAGAATTAAGCTGACATAAAACAGATCAACAGGAGAAAAGCTCACAGATTTTTATACCCACAGTGAGAGGCTCCATAGGAGAATGAAGAGTCAGACAGGTGATAAAAACCCAAATGCTTATTTAGTAATTTGAATAAAGAATGGCAATTTGGGGAAAGCAACTAAAATATATGGGGAGGCTAATGGAAGATCAGTCATTTTAACAAAGTCTGTGTGTACAGATTTTTCTTGGCTTCAAATCCCTGTTCCTAGTGACAAGATATTTCTTCTCTCTTGGTGCAGTGAGGGCATCTTTTGTATAGGAGTTTTATCTCCTATTTTCAGAAAGAAAAAAAAAAACCAGAGAGGACTTTTGTATCTCCTTCCTATTTTTCAGGTACCTTTAGCTCAAAATATCCTTGTCAAAGTGGCATACTTTGGGATGGCATATTCTACCATCCTTCATTTGTATTTGCTCTTCCAAAGCATTATTCTGGAGGGAAACATAAAAAAAAGACACTGGAACTAACAAAATTTTTTCAGGTTTGATTGAATTCTATACCCATCTATTGAGGAATATAGAGCTGGTTCTGGGGGCAAGAAGATGAGTAAGATAGTTTGTTTTATCTTGTTTTTGTCTTGAGAGCTCTAATCTAAGAGGAAAACAGACAATGGTACAATTCATAATTCACATGCCATGTACTCTCTTGGTGGCCAAAACAAAGTGTTCTAAGGTTAAGTTGATGATAGAAATGTCTGCCTGTGAGTTCATCCTAAGAAAGAACTTTCTCCAGCCAGAAGTTTCATTCAACACTAGAATAAATCATTAAGGAGGGTGATGAGCTTTTAATGAGATCTTGTTGTGAAGCATTTCATAAAGAAAACATTAAAATTAAGTAGGCACAGGTGTCTGGGTATGTATTTTGCTTAATGAAGCCATCGTCCCTGAGCCCTTCAGCCTGCGGTCCACCAGGAAACATGGAGAGGGAAGGGAAGGAGGAAATCGCGCTGGCTGGTATCACAGTGGCTGCTGTGCGCCAGGCATTGTTCTAAATGCTTTATGCAGCAAATCCATGAGGTAGGTAGATTATTATCATAACCACTGTGTCATCAAGAAACTAAGGCAAAGAAATATATAAAGTGCCTCCCACAAGGTCACCCAGCTGACATGTGACAGAAGCTTGATCCCACATTGCCTCAGCGCAAAGACGGAGGAGGCAGAGAAGCGAGATGAGGCACTTGGGTTGGAGCCAAAAGAGCCTCAAAACTGCCCTTCCCGGGCTTCCATGATTGACACTTAGTTATTGATCCTGAGATCCACCTAGAGGACTGAATATTCCTTCCTCAGTAAATGTATCTAAGACTTTAGGATTTTATAGTCAGTGAAGTTCTCAATGCTTTCTTCTTGAGCAAGAGCCTAAGATGAAGAAGCTCAACACAACATTTATGTAACATAAAATCTGAGCCTGGGACTAATGCTTCTGACAAAATTTGAGGTGCATGATTGTCCCACTTCATGGATTAGGCAGTTGAGGCCCATGGAGATGCCATGACTTGCCTCTGGTATCCTAAAGTTAGTATGTGGTAAGGATGGTCCCATTCTCTGGAGCTGCTACTCACTGGCAGAGTTCCTTAGAAAAATGACAACCTACTTGGGCCTCAGCTTCCTCACCTATAAAAAGGGATAAAAACAAACCCACATGGGGTAGAAGATGGATAACCTCACATGTGTACTGCGTCCAACCCTCGTAAGTTCTCACTAAATTGTAGTTCTAGAGAATTATGAGTGGGCATTGGGGTTAGAGAATGGAAGGAAGCGATTACATCTGCCCCCATCCCCAAAAGAAAATTCAGACTATCACTATTTGGGCAGGGGGTGGGTATCTTTCTAAAATTAAAGATAGGCTCTTTACTGACTCCAAAATTTCTACATAGGAGGAGTTTAGGGATGGCCATTGACTGGGAGGGGAAGCCAAGACAGATCCAGGAGGAACAGGAAAGTGTTCCCTGACGTCTGCCGTCACTTGAGCAGGGGCACAAAGTTACACGTGTCCTGGTGCGAACCCTGGTCTGTAGTCTACCAGGCTCTGACGGGGACCCACTGTGCCAGCGTGGCCTAGAGCAGCTCCTTGATGTCACTGGTGAAATGGAAGTAGACTGTCTAGTGTATGTAAACGCTGACAAATGCCCAGAGGACCCCAAAAGGCAGACAGCGACGCTTTTTCTCATTGGCTTTTCTCCAGGCACTCTTCACACACAACTGTGTCTATGCTGGCAGAACAAGGACCCTGAAGAGTGGCTGTGCCCGGTACTGCAACGCCACTGTGCAGGTGAGGAGTGTGCACTGCCAGGCCCTCATCCTGGCCACCAGGGCTCACACAGAAGCCACCAGGGCTGGGAGGCCCTTGGGCCTCAGGTTCTGTGCAGTCACAGGCTGCCTGGGTAGCCTTGGCAATATCTTCCTACAGGGGAACTGAAGGGTGGATTCTCTCAAGATAGCCAGGTCACCCCCTTCCCTGCATGCACCTCACCAAGGGTGCCTTCTCGCTCTTAATGAAGAGCACACACTCTCCATGCCTGCCTCCCACACCCCGCCCCCCCCCTCCATCTCTCACCTGCCTCTTACCCTTATTCCCACCTGAGAGCATGCACAACGGCCCTTCCCAGCCTCAGGATGCTCTTCCAGCTTCTCTTGGGGCTGGGTTATCTTTCAAGTCTCCATTTTTTCACTCTCACCTCCTCCATCGCCACCCAGTCCACAGGGGCCTCCCCAGTCTCCCCCACCTCTGCCTCGACCTGCTGCTGCTTTATTATAGTACTTTGTTTTCCCACCTCTGAAATTTCCTCATTGTTCTCCTTCTTCTCCTCCTCCCCTCTTCCTTCTCTTCCTCTCCTCCCTCCCCTCTCCTCCTCCTCTTTGTTCTTTCTTATGTAGTATCTCTTCCTGATTAGACAGAACATAGACCCCTGACCACAAGCCTTCATCTGTCTTGCTCACGTGGGGCCAGAGCCAGGCAGACCCCCACAGTCAGCCCTCAGTAGACTTGTGGTGAACAGATAGATGCCTGAGCACCGGCCGTGACACGGTATGCAAAAGAAAAGTCCAGCTCATGATGAGGGAGGGGGATCATGCTGTTTGTGATAATAATAGAAATTGAGGAATCGGCACTCTGCTTTGGGTTTTAAAAAGGCAACAACGTGTTCTGTTTCTCAGACACCACAGTGCTGCAAAGGCTTCTACGGGCCGGGCTGCAACCAGTGTCCAGGAGGCTTCACCAGGCCGTGCTCCGGAAACGGACAGGTGATAAGGACAGTCCCTGACGCATACTTTTTTATGAAGGCTGAGGTTGACCTTTCTGAAGTAGAAAAGTGATGTTTAAAACCACTGAACCAAGAAATGATACAATGCCAACCACCATCCCGGGGGAAGTAAGAATAATACAGATCAGTTACTGAAAGAACAGGCGTCTCAGTGAATGTTGACTGGGGAGAGGGAGTGGGGGTGGGGTACAGCACAGGTGGCCCACATAAGGCCCCTCCGCTTTGTTTTATCTGGCCTGGCACCTTGTTTCTACTCGGAGGCAGTGCCGAGCTCTGGCTTAACTGTTAAGAAGTAGTTACATTCATACAGTCCTCAAATTACATTGGGCCCTTTGAAGGCAACCGCAAGGCTGATATGGCCCCTGGAGAAAATGAGTTTGACAGCCCTGGGGCACAGAGAGGTCACATCTAGTCTTTGCTTTTCTTCTGCTGCCCACATGACCTTGGGCAATTTGACAAAGGCTCTCTGGACTCCACTTCCTCCGGTGGGAGATAGTAGGATTGGCCGAATCTTTAAGATTCTTTCCAGGACTAAGCTTTTATGATACCTTTTAAAAAATAGCACTGCCCAGTGATTGCTTTTTTCAAACCTATCTGCAAAACCCAGTGAAACATACAGGACAACATTTAATTCACTTACCTTGGAGGCCAGAGCTAAATAGACAAAGGTTAAAGATAAAAGTAGCAGGGATTCATATGGAAAAAGCATAGTTCTGTGCATTTGAGACATCCATATTTTTTAAATGTGCCACTTAGAAGGAGAAGGAAAAACTGCACAACCACAAGTGGGGACACCATGCAGGCACAGAGACGCCGCGGGCAGAGCTGGTACCAATTAATTACTGTAGCCGGGTGGTCGGGAAGGCACTCATGCCCAATTCTAATGAATGTCGATCATTAGACATCTCACCTTAAAATGGCTCGATAGGTGGGAAGGGAAAGTGTTTCCCACTGAAGGGAGAAACATCGCAGTGTGAAGTCGCAGATCTGAGCAAGCGAGGGTCTGATAAGAAAAGCCAGTCTTGATTCTGGGGGTCTGTGTGTTGTCACTCATTGTTTGGAGATTTCCAGTTCCCTGCTAGGATTCCCTAAATCCATCCCCCACTTGAATGACTTCCCTTAAAGTTCTAAATCCTGGCTTGGGACCCCAAGCTTTTCACCAGAGCTTCCTACCTGATACCAACATGAGTCCCAACGAGTCCCATAGAGTCATTTCAAGCAGGCTTGAATCTGAGCTCCAAGAAGTCAGGTCACGCAACGAAAGGGTCCGAGACTCCTTCGGGGATGGGAATGTGTTGTCCTGACAGCCCACGGGGCCTGTCTTTGCTCTCAGTGCGCAGACGGCCTTGGTGGCAATGGAACATGCATCTGCCAGGATGGCTTCCAGGGTTCCCAGTGTCAGTTCTGCTCGGACCCCAACAAATATGGACCTCGATGTGACAAAAGTAAGTGACACTTCCAGAGCTTCCCCCTGCCCCCCAGCCAGGCTCCCCACTGCACTGCAGCAAGCTGATGGAGGGGCCAGTGTCCTATGCCCCTTTGCTTGGTGAATGCCCTCCCCACAGGGCTTTCCTGAAGCACTCAGTTCTGAAACTGTAGCACAAGCCCCACTGCTGGGCCCCACCCACAGAGCTTCTGAGAGGTGGGCCTCGGTGGTATTTGAGAATTTGCATTTCCAACAAGTTCCCCAGGAAAGCTGCCAATGGCTGGTCCAAGCACTGCACTTTCAAAACCAGTCTCTTCAAGTTTCTCCACACCCTTGAAGTGAGAGCGGGTCCATATCAAGGAACAGACTCGCTCCCTGTCTTTCAAGCAGTCTGCTTCCATTGGCTCCTCCCTTTGTCAAATGCGGGAGCTTGGGCAAGTCAGTAGGCCTGTCTAGGGCTCTGTTTCCCCGTCTATGAATGGAGAGAGACTAACTACCTCGCACTGCAAGTACCAGTTATAGATGGAAAGCCCTTGCCTTAGGACAATGCCTCGCACGCAGTACGCACTACAACGTGCTAGCGCTTATTATTAGCTATTGTGTTGTATTACCATCTATTACCTGTTGCCACTGTTACAATTATTCTCAGTTCAGTGACATAAATGTCAAGAAGCTTATAAAAACTGCAGAAAGTTCCACAACAATAGACAATGCAAAATGCAATTACATAACCTTAGAAAACGCACTGCGTTCTTTCAAATGACAGTATGTATAAATTTATGTATATAAATACATTTAAATGCATACTTCTAAACTAAGATTAGAATGTAACAAGAATAAAGGGAGTGGATCAGAGCTGGCTGTGAAGTCAAACCCAGCCGAAGTTAAATCCCCACTGTGCTACTTACTGGCCGCACCACCTTAGAGAAAATCTCTCGCAGAGTCTCAGTTTTCCGATCCATAAAATGAAGCTAACACTGGTACCCACAGCACGAACCACTGATTAAGTCAGACCATAATTTAGGGATTTATCACAGAGCTTGTACCCAGCAAATAATAAAAAATAAAAAAAAAGAAGCCATTCTTACCACTGTTACTACTAACTTCACTCATTTGTTACAAAATGCACAGCCCTTCCCCCCTGACCTTGCTTTGATCTTCACAACTACCTCGGAAAATGGACAGGAAGCCAGAGCCCAGGCAGGCAGTCGGGGCTGCTGGTCCTAGCTCAGTGCTGTTTTTGCCAAATGAGTTTTCTCAGAAAAGAAAAATGGGGTTTATTCCAAAGCCTGCCAACGCTGACATTGTTAGGAGGCCAGCGGGGCAGAGGTGCGGGCTTGCCTTGTGGCCGCCTCTCGTCCCAGGTCTGGGGCTGCCCACCCTCTCAGGCAGGGGACCCTCCTTTCCGGGGTCTTGTTTCTAGCAAATTAAGCCTTGACTTGCTTAAAAGTTCATGAAAAGTCTTTTTTGTTTTAAATCCAGCCATGCTGTTCCAGCCCCTTCGCCATGTCTCTCTCCCCTCTCCTGGATGTGGGCTCCAAACACGCAAACTAATTTCTCCCCCATCAGTCCCTTCAGGGGCAAAACCACAGGTTCCTTCATTTCCGATGAGTTCTGAGCCCCCAAATCTTTGCCTCCTGCCTCTGAGAACCACTCCCTCCTCCACGTGTTGGAGTCTGAGTCTGATGAGCTGGCTCACACTGCAGTTCTTAAATATCTACAACCAAACGCAAAGTAAGCAGCTCAAGTTTAAAATGACAATGGGCATGTGGCCATGCCAGTGAATATACTGACCTATTGTGTTGACACATGGTCACTAACAGAAACGGACTTTGAAGGCCTGAGTTCAAGTCTGCACTTGGGAACTGAGCAGCAAGTTAGGCAATTTGCTTCGCCTCTCTGGGCCTCAGTTGTCTCATCTGGAAAATGGGGATAATAAAATACCTACCTCCTGAGGCTAGTGGCTGTTAATGAGATAGTACTGGTTAAATGCTGGCTCCATCCCTGGAAGGCCAGTGCGCAAATATTGGCCACCATTACCACTGGTTTGCTGTGATGGAGGGTGAAGAAATATGTAAGCTGGAATCAGAGGCTGGGCTGCCATGAGAAATCACTTCTATTTGTTCCAGAAGGTCCTCACAGAAAGGTGAGGCATTTCCAGGCTAAACTCTCCAACCATGAAGTAGGTAAAAATGGAGTTCCTTGGTGGCTGTTACACCATAGCAACCCTCCCTGGGTACCCCCACACGTACATACAGAGCAGCTCTGAGTCCAAGTGTTTCTCATCCTTGATGGGACAGTCAGCCTCACCAAGAGACCCTAAGAAGCAGCATCCAAGCATCCCCCTGCTCTGCCTCAGGTTCTCCTCTGACAGGAGTGAATGGAGCACCAGGGGAGCTGGCCCCTGTCTTTCATGACCCATGTGCCCCAAGGCTAAGCTTGCCCTCCAAGCCCTGAATGTCGCTCTTCCTTCTCTTTCAGAATGTCTGTGCATTCACGGGACCTGTGATAACCGGGTAGACAGCGACGGGGCCTGCCTCGCTGGCACATGCAAAGAAGGCTCCGCGGGGACATTCTGCCACAAGCAGACCTCAGCCTGTGGGCCCTACATGCAGTTCTGTCACATCCACGCCACCTGCGAATACAGCAATGGCATGGCAAGGTAAGTCTTAGGGGAGGGGGATCTACCGGTGGCCACTGTGTTACCTGTAGACAGACACAACCCATACACTGAGGCCTGTTCTCTCCAACTGCCAGTGTGGCTTTTGTGGAGAAAACCTCAAAGTAAGTTGGGTTTGAATTGCTGTTCTCCCTCCTTGGAAACCTATCAGCTGTGTGACCTTGGGCAAGTTACTTAACCTCTGAGTCCTGCTTTCCTCAACAGTGCAATAAGGGTGATGCCACCTATCTGGCAGGGCAGTTGCAGAAATTCTAAGTGCACCCAGTACCAGGGCTAGCACATCATAGATGTTCAGTCGTGGAAACTACAATTATTATCATCACTTACATGAAGGAAGTAAAGAGTTGTCCACCAACATTCCAAACCTTTAGAAACATCTTCGCTTCCTAAGGCCCTCGGTAATAGCTCCCCTGTTAAAGGAATCTTACAAGAAAGTGGGTCCTTGGTCGTTGGGTCATTATTTGTTTCCTTAGTGGTAACATCCTGAGTGGGCCTGGAGAGAAAACTTCCTCCCCAGGCCTGTTTGGGTTAAAGTCAGTAACCACCCCCAAAATATTCTGGGAAATGCAGAGCATGTCTGGGTTCTCGGCCTTATTTTTACAGCACTTTTCCTGATTCCTAATGACATAGCCATGTGCTCGCCTGTTGTGGCCTGTGTCCCCCACCAGACTGTGGGCAGCCTGGGGCCAGTGACTGTCTTTTCTCTCCCACAGTTTGTGACAGAAATGCACCCTCCTGGGGGTGAGGATCTGTCTAAGTGCACGAGGCAAAAACCACAAGTAATGAAAGTTACCCTTAAAGCCTCCTAATCAGCCCTGGCTAGTGTAGCTCAGTGGATTGAGTGCAGGACTGTGAACCAAAGAATCATGGTTCGATTCTTAGTCAGGGCACATGCCTGGGTTGCAGACCAGTCCCCAGCAGGGGACGCATGAGAGGCAACCATACATTGATATTTCTCTCCCTCTCTCCTTCCCTTCCCCTCTAAAGATAAATAAATAAAATATTAAAGAAAAAAACCCTGCCAATCACCCACAAAGGACTGTGGACGTGGGTCTGTATAGACTATATAAACTTAAGTTTAAATCAGCGTTGGAACTGTTCTACCTACATCTTCACTGAGGCACCAGATAAAATACTTAGTTTCTGTAGGGGCCTTGACACATGAAAAATATTATTTTTATTTTTTTGTGAGCACACAATCTGCAACAGGAACATGGGCATATAACAGACCCACAGGGAGTCCCAGCACCTATCAAAAAGCCCCCAATAAATATTGGTTGACCAAATGGCCCCGCATTTAGTAGTCGAAGTACCATGGTGGGACATTTTGAGAGGAGTGTCTGAGAGGATAAGGGGTCAGGAAACCAATCCCATTCACGGAATGAGGCACCTGAGAATGTTGTGTTTGTGGGGGGAGAAACGGAGGGACTAGAAGAGGGAAAGGGGAAGTCTCACGGGACTGTCTTTGCACAGAGTTTAAGGGCCGTCGTATAGAAAAAGGGTAGAGTAGTTTTCTGCCAAATCAGAGATAGTAACTAGAATTACAAAGAGGCAGATTCCAGTTCTGTATGAGCAGAAAAGCTGGCAGGTGCTGAGCCTTATAAGGTGCTAACTGCTCCACATGCATTAGCTCATTCTTAGGAGGGAGGTGGGATGATTAGGGCCTCTTCCCAGATGAGGAAACAAAGTCTCCCAGAGGGTAAGGGACGCCCCAGGGTCACACAACTGCTGAGAGATGAGGCCTGGGTTCCCACCTAGGTCTGTCTGGCTACAGACCCCAGAAATTCCTACAAACACCATGGTGCATAGGTCATGCCCTGAACCACTGGCTGGCTGGCCGTCTTCTGGGTGGTTGGTGCTTATATTTCTGGGGCTGACTGTGTGCATTCCCCTTCTTGCAGCTGTGTTTGCAAACCAGGATATGAAGGGGACGGAAGCCTCTGTTCAGAGATGGACCCTTGCATGGGATTAACCCCAGGGGGCTGCAGCCACAATGTAAGTGTTGGTTTGTATTTCTAAACTGCCTGGTTTGGGGGTGAAATCCTGACGGAAGGACTTCCGAAAGGCAGGGTCATCATATGAAGCACATTTGTTCAAACTTTGCATTTTAAAGACGGTGCCAGGCACCTTCTATGAGGGTCCACTTCCTAAGTGCACATGTGCACCAGGGTGGGGCTCTTAAAAAACACGGCCTGAGAATCAGCTATTGGGATCATTAGTATGAAACTCGTGCCCTGACTGGTGTGGCTCAGTGGATTGAGTGCCGGCCTGCAAACCAAAGGGTCACTGGTTCAATTCCTTGTCAGAGCATATGTCTGGGTTGCAGGCCAGGTCCCCAGTTGGGGGCACACAAGAGGCAACCACATACTGATGTTTCTGTCCTTCTCTTTCTCCCTCCTTTCTCTTCTTTCTAAGAGTAAATAAATAAAATCTTTTAAAATAAATAAATAAATTATTTATTCGGATGCTACAGCTTCCAAGCAACTCTACTGTACGCAATCTCACTTACACCCCCACCAACCCAATGAAGCAGATTTCACAGCCCCCATCCTACTGGTTAGGAAACTGGAGCTTGGAGACATTAAGTGACCGGCCCTGAGTTCTATTATTGTCAGGGTGTAGCCCAACCCAGCACTGCTGTCACGGATACCTTCATCCCTCACCACCAATTGCTTTCATTAATGCTTTTTTAATAGCACCACCACCACCTGGCCATCATCACCTTCGTCCCTTACCCACAGTTTAATAACTGGTCTCCCTGCTGCCTCTCTTGCCAACCCACATTACATTCACTGTCCACCCACAGCCAGAGTGGCCTGAAGTTGATCAGATCATGTTTCTCCCATGCTGAGAGTTTTTCAGTTACCCCCCTGGCTCTGAGGATGAAATCAAATGCAAATCCCTCACCCCAGCCCAGGAGACTCCCCTTGGGCTACTTCCACCCCCTCAGACAGCCTCATCTCAACAACCTACCTTGCACTTCTCCCCCCACCACCATGTTTTTGACCTCCTGGTGTGGTCATCCTAAGAAAAGGTACAGTGATTAGAAGCTTGGTCTTCAGCGTCATATAGACCTGGGTTTGTGCCTCCTTGTAGCTGTGTGACCTCAGGCAGTTTACTTAGCTCCTCTGAGCCTTAGTTTGCTTATCTACAATAATAATACTTTCCTCAAAAGTGGCATACACCTACAAAATATTGAGAAGAGTCCCTGGCTCAGTAAAATGACAGTAATGTTAGTGGTGGCCATTAGCTGGCCAACCCCAAGCAATTTTGCTCTTTAAACCATCTCATCTTTTCCATTGATCTCAATGCAAATGTGTGCTTTAATTATTTCCACTGGATTCCATGCAAATATGTGTTTCTAGAATGTACCTCAGAAAATCCTTTTTTGCTTTTGGAATCACGTGGCTGGCCTGAGTTTTCCAAAGTCTCGCTTCCTTATTTCCTCCTGCAGGCAGAATGCATCAGAACCGGTGTGGGGACCCACACCTGCGTGTGCCAGCAGGGATGGACCGGGGACGGACGAGATTGCTCAGAGATCAACAACTGCCAGCTGCCCAGCACTGGCGGCTGCCATGACAACGCAACCTGTCTGTACCTGGGCCCCGGTCAGGTAGGTGCACAATAGCAGAGAGCAAAGGAGACTCTCTTCCCTCTAGACATAGAAGTGCCTCTGGAAACCGCCAACCTGTTCTTTGTTTCTGTGACCTTGGTTTGGGGAGGGTTTTATTATTATTTTTTTAGATTCCACATTTAAGTGAGATCATTCAGTATTTGTCTTTCTTTCTCTGACTTAGTTCATTTAACATAATGCCCTCAAGGTCCATTCATATTGTCACAAATGGCAAGATTTTATTCCTTTTTGTGGTTGAATAATATTTCTCTTTGTACACACATGTGTCTCTCATTTTCTTTGTTGTCCATCTGTCGCTGGTTTCCATATCTTGGCTGATATAAATAAATAAGGCTGCAGGGAACATGGGCGTGCATGTAGCTTTTCTAGTTAGTGTTTTGATTTCTTCAGGTAAATACCCAGAAGTGGAATTGGTGGGTCATTGGGTAGTTTTACTTTTAATTTCTTAGTAACCTCCATACTTTTTTCATAGCAGGTGCAACGATTTACATTCCCATCAACAGAGCACAAGGGTCCCTTTTCTGCACATCATCACCAACACCTGTCATTTCTTGTCTTTCTGGTGATAGCCGCTCTCATTTATGTGTAGTGACTACTCACGTGGCTTTGATTTGCATTTTCCTAGTGATCGGTGACGTTGAACATCTCTTCATGTGCCCATTGGCCATCTCTGTGTCTTCTCTGAAAAATGACTGTTCAGATCCTCTATGCATGTTTCATTGAGATTGTTCAGGGTTTTGCCATTGAGTTGTATGAGTTCTTTATATTTTTTATATTAACCCCTTATCAGACATGGCTTACAAATATTTTCTCCTACTCAATAGGTTGTCTTTTCATTTTGTTGATGGTTTCCTTTGCTGTATGAAGATTTTTAGTTCAGTGTTGTCACACATTTATTTTTGCTTTGGGTGCCCCATAGGGACAATTATTCATATTTCTTATGAAAGAAGCACAAAGAGACTAAATACTTTGCTTGCATCACCCAGAAAATAAACCGTGGTGTGGGATTCGCACTTGATCTGACTCCGGGGCTTCCCGCTTCATCCCGCCCATGGCCACGCTTTACATCTCCGTGGCACTGCCGTCTGTCAGTCACTTTCACTTGGCCTCATCTAAGGGAGACTGAGGCAGAAAAAGCGACTGCTTAGGAATTTATCCAGTCCAGGAGAGGCGGTGACAACTACGCCAGGATTGCACCTATGGGAAAGTACTCATCACGCCCTGCCCAGGTGGCTCAGTTGGTTGGAGCATCGTCCCACCAAAAGGTTGCAGGTTCGATTCCTAGTCAGGACACATACCTAGATTGTGGATTCAATCCCTAGTTGGGTACATATGAGAGGCAACTAATCAATGCTTTCTCTCTCCCTTTCCCTTCCTCTCTCTCTAAAATATCAACAAACATATCCTCAGTGAGTTTAAAAACAACAAAAAAGTACTAATCATGGAAGAGCTCATTGCAGTCTCCTGTCTCACCAAGCATTTAGCAAAAAAAAAAAAAAAAAGCACTTCCTTTTGACTCACCTGAGTTGCCAAGTTGTATTTGAGAAAGAAAAAAGATTTCTCAGTATATATATTAGTTTGCTAAGGCTGTCATAACAAAGCGTCACTAACTGGGTGGCACTGAAGAACCAAACTCTATGGTGTCACAGCTCTGGAGGCTAGAAGTCCAAGATCAAGGTGTTGGCAGGTTGGTTCCTTCTAAGGGCTGTGAAGAAGAATCTGTTTCATGCCTGTGTCTTAGCTCTGGATGGTTTGCAGGCAATCTCCAGTGTTCCTTGGCTTATGCACACACCAGCGTGATCTCTGTCCCCACATTCACATGGTGTCCCCCCTTTGTGTCTGTCTGCATCCAAATCTCCTCTTTTTATAAGGACACAAGTCATGTTGGATTAGGGACCAACTTTAGTCCAGTATGACCTCATCTTAATGGAACTAATTACATAATAACAATCCTCTTTCCAAACAAGTTCACGTTCAGAGGTACTGGTTGTCCATGTAGAGGTGGCGCCTCACTCAGATTCGCCTGCTCAGAGGGGATGTCTATCTTCAACTGCACAAAGTGCCGTCTAGTCTAGCAACGGCCCTGGGCATGGAGCTCCGCCAAGTGTATACCTCATGGCTCACCTAATCTTCCCCTCTTAAACGGAGGGGCCAACTTTTCCAATGTGATGTTCCTTGGAGTCTTTTTTCTGAGGCTCTCCACATGGTCCTCTTTGGGTAATAAATTCAAAATGATCCCTGGCTGGTATGGCTCAGGGCACATGTCTGGATTGCAGGTTCAGTCCCCAGTCAGGGCTTATGCAAGAGGCAACTGATTGATGTTTCTCTCTCAGATCGATGTTTCTCTTCTTCCTTTCTTCTCTCTCTAAAGTCAATATACATGTCTTCCAGTGAGGACAAAAAATAATTAGAGTACCAAAAAGTGATCAGACTGAGAAATTCAATGTGGAATATGGATGATCAACAGCTCCAGAATCTGAAGTACAACAGAGCTGTGGTTTCCATAGTTCATTTCTCAGTAACCGCATGAGGTCATGACATGGAAGGCAGTTGTTTTCCGTAACACCCTTGGGCTCTGTTCTTGGAATTACAGAATGAGTGTGAGTGCAAGAAAGGATTCCGAGGCAATGGAATCGAGTGTGAACCGATAACTTCATGCTTGGAACAAACTGGGCAATGTCATCCCCTGGTGAGTTTCTTGATTTCTTTTATTCCTATAAAAAAATTACTTGAGAAAGAAAGTTAGGTTATTTCTTATGTGAGCCTATAGATAAGAACAGAATCTTAGTCCCAAAGGCTGTCCCTAAGCAGAATGGGAGTAATTATTGTAGCTTTCACTCCATTCCAAAGCTTAGAAGAACCAAAATATGATTTCCAGATAAAATACAGGACTCCCAGTTAAATACGAATTTTAGATACATAATGAATCTTTTTGCAGCCACAAGTAATGCCCCCAAGTATTACATGGGACATACTTATACTAAAATGCATGTGATTAAGTAAGAGCTGCCCCAAGCATACAGACCAGAGCCTTTCATTGCAACCTGGAAGGGTCTGCAGGTTACTTCCACCATCTTTCAACCCCAAATTCATAGTTCTCAGATGGATCCTGGTGTCTCTTAGATGTAACTCATATTGAACTCTTTGGTCAGAAAATTAGGCCATTATTTTCCATCTCTGTTTTATCAGGCAACCTGTCAGGTTATTTCTGGCATCTGGAGCTGTGTTTGTCGAGAGGGCTATGAAGGAGATGGCTTTCTGTGCTATGGAAATGCAGCAATGGTAAGTCCTTGGAGATGAACTCCAGCACAGAATGATGAAGACAGGGCTCATTTTTACAATGCTCTGAGCTCGGATGCCTTAAAAGTGCTGTACAAACCAGGTGCTCTAGGAGACTTTATATGAAATTCGCTGCTTCTCCCAGATGGTATATATGGCCCATGGGTCACATGTTTTATACAGGCTGATAGGAGCGAACTTTTATTTGGCACCTGCTATGTACCCAGCAGTCCTGGCTTCCTGTTCTGGTCATTCTACCTCTTTCCATTCCCAAACTTCCTAAATGGACAACTCACTGGCCCCCCGAGCTCTTGGTGTGCTCCTGTCTGGGTTATGTGCCCCCTTTGGTACCCAGAACATCCTGTGCTCACCACCTCTGGGGGGGGGGGGGGGTGTGTGAACACCTTCTATATACCAGGCATCTTACTAAGTCCTTAACATGCAGGAACCCCATTTAAACTTCATGGCAACCTCTGAGGTGAATGCTATGATTAGGCCCATTTTATAGATGAGGAAACCAAGAGGCTGAGAAAACTTGCCTGAGGCCCCTCGGATGCAAAGTGCAGAGCCCCAGCACTTCACCGCATGGAGGGTATTCTAGCAGTGTGGCCCCTGTCATGTCGAATTGTCATTGCTCATGGATCTCTCTGCCCCCCCTCTAGTGGGCTCTAAACTGTTCAGGGTACGGCTTTGCCTTGGTTCCTACATCACTACCATGGTTTATAAAGATTTGTTGAAAAGAGAAATAAAGCAAATTAACAAATTTTCTCATCACTTATTTTTTATCAATTCACCACAGTTTGGTTCCTGTCCCTCCTCTCAGCTGAAACCACTGGTCTGGCAAACCAGGACCTGCACCCCACCCAGATTAAGAGCCTCCCTCAGGCTCGGGTCCTTGTTCCCCCGGGCTGGCTGTGGCCTCACGCCCTTGGCCTTTCTGCCCCTTCCACCCTTCACTTCCTACTGCTCCTTCTATTTGCCCCGCTGGACCCAGGAGCTATCTCCTAATTCCTAGACCATGGAGCATAGACCTGACATTTTTTCTGCACCGTCCATGGGCATCATTTCCTAAAACCTTAAAACCTTAACATCCTGCATTCACAGTGTCCCTCTCCTCCCACAGAACATGAGGTGATGTCCAAATCCTCAGCCCAATGATCTGCACATCTACAGGCTCAACTCACTTTTCCTGCGAGTAACTGAGCTCAGTGTGGCTGTTCCCAGCTGCATGCCAGCTCTGTTCCCTCTCCCAGGGACCAGCCTCTGGTCTTCCTGCCATCAGTTCAGGTCCAACTCGTGCTGATTTTTCCCTTACAGCTGCCCCTTGGTGGAATTACATGAGCACCTCAGCTCTTGTACTTATCTGTTCACTAATTTACTTTTTAACAGGTATTAACTGACTGACTTAATAACCTCAACTACTATCAAAAAGAAATTGAGACCGCCCTGAGATTTATTGTCTTTCTGAAATTTGTATATTATAATTATTACTGCCAGTTTCGTGGTGTTTAAGGGTTTAAAAATGCTTTTTCAAACATTAACGCATAAAATATTTATAGTCCCAGGTCAAGGCACCATGCTGGTCATTGCTCAGATTAGTCACTTGAGTTTTCAGAGCAGTTCAGTGACTTGGCCAAGATCACACCGCTAGTAAATGGCAGGCTTGGGAAAAGAAACTGGCCTTTTTTGACTCAAAGTCCAGAGCTTTCTTTCCTCTAACACGTTCAGTGTCACTGATCCACTGGCACTGTTGATGATCTTTTTAAGTCCTCAAGTTCTCACTTCCCTAGAACAACTGTAAGCTGTACAACAGCAGAAGCCACCGCTTCCCTTTCATCTCTCATACCCTCCCTGCAGTCCAGCCTGGTACCAATTGTACATTCAGTTTATATGTTCATGAATAAATGCCATGGGATAAATCAAAAATAAGCCTGTCCTTCATGCCAGCCTCTTTCTAAGCACTTTAAAAACACTAACTCCTCCAGTTCGCACACCAACCCTCTGAGTTAGAGCTTTTATTATCCCTAATTTACAGATGAGAAAACTGAGACCCAGATAAATTAAGTCACTTACATAGGGAACTTTGGCTCCGTGTTCTAAGCCAATGCTCAACATTGACTCTGAAAGGGGGGTCTCTACTGAGCTCTGTGGCCCTCTCTAGGGTTGGGTGGCCATGTCCTTACAACCTAAATTCTGATTTGGAAGACCTTCAGGTGCTTGTTCCATGTGACCTTCCTGGAATTACTGCTTTACCTCAAATACAGAGAACAATGGAGCCACTGGGCCTGAAAGAAACGAGCGGCTCTGGCAACAAGGAAATCTGAAGTAGCTGGGGCGCCCATTCATGTCGGATCAAGGAGGCTGGCAAGGAAAATGAGCCTCGCACAGGCAGGCTAAGTGCAGGCTACCCAGAAATGTGCTGCTATTATATTTCTCATTGTTCCTTCGCTCACGTTCTCTCTCCTCTCTCCCTCCCTCCCTTGCACGATGAATAAGGAATTGTCATTTCTCTCTGCGGCAGCTATATTTAACCAGTGGATAAATGTGAGTACCTTTGTTGGAGTTTAACATTGGGAATGTATATAATTTTAGAAATTTGGAATGCATGTAATGGAAAACTGAAAACGCAGCTGGAATGAGGAGGGAGGGCCATTGTCCAGAGCAGAGTTTCTCAACCCCAGGTGCACTGTAGAATCACGTGGAACAGGTCTTTGAAAGAGCCATCCCTAGACACCCCTTCAGACACTGATTTGACAGGTCAGAGGTTTGCCCTGTAGGTCAGGGGATTCTCGGGGGATCCTAATGTGAACCAGGGCTAAGAACTTCCGGTCTATGATAAGCTGGGGTGGTCAACTTTTCAACCAATTCAAATATACATGCATAGCTTCATTCATGACTGAGGTCTCTTTTAAAAAGTCAACAACATAATTCATCACAGTAACTCACTGGGTTAGAGCTGAGATTTATTGTTGCAATCTGGAAAGCTTTGTGGGTGCTATGCTCTCAGCCCAACATGCCTGGAAATTTCTGTAACAAAGAACTTAGTCCCCACCTAACCCAGTTGTCTGAATCTCTATCATTTTTTTCCTGAGGGGACCAAGGTCGGCCGGCCAGCACCCAGGTGGTTACCCCCTTTAAATAGGCTTATGCAAAGACAGGAAGCTGTCCTGTCAGCACCTTCCCATTGCTTCTTTGTGGGGCCTCGCTGGCCCCATCACAAGGAAAAGCAGGGACTGAGAGTCCTGTTGTGCCTGCTGATTTCTTCACAGACCAACCTCACACACATAAGCCTGCCTGGTGCTGTCCTGGACCCAGCTCCTCCCCGCTCACGAGAGCACACCTTTCCCATCTCCACTGTCCTGTTGGTAGCTTGAATTCAGCCATGGTGGGAATGTGGACCCCATGGAAATCAGCAGACACTATAAACCAGGGATTTTTGTTCGCTTGTTTATCTTGGAGAGCCAGTTGTTAAACATAAGTGCACCATTGCTTTTATCCACAACTAGCTCGAGGAAAGAATGGAAAGTAGATAAAGTTTGATCTCAGTCCTTCAGCCTCCCCTGGGCTAAAATTGTTCCTGTAGTCTTTCCACCATACTATTCCAAAATTGCCAAGGATTATGCATGCACACACATGCACACACATGCACAATCCTGTCAAGAATCTTCTCTGACTCTTCATTTAGACTAAAGGGTAAAGGACTGATAAGGGCTCAAAGTGTGACTTGATCAAAAAAATTTGCCTTTTGACAATGCTCACACAATTAAATAAAAGGAAGGATTTGGGAAAGCAGTCCTTCGGACATTTCCAGTAGCCCTGAAATTACATTAAAGGGAAACTGTCATCTCTGTGAAACATGAAGACAGCCGAGGTCTGTCCCCTGATATGAGTCAGGCCACTGTGTTTTCCTTCTGTGATTCAGAACGCTTCTCTACATCCCATGCTGGCAGCTGCCTCCAACCTCACTGTCCTTGTGCCTTCCCAACAAGCTATTGAGGACATGGACCAAGATGAGAAAGACTTTTGGTTGTCCAAGAGCAATATGCCCGCCCTGATAAAGTAAGTATTATGTACTATATTCTTCATGATATCTTACTGGTGTCACTGTGACAAGTTCCACGGAGGGAAGCCACATGGTCCTGCAGACTCGCAGCACTGAGCGTGTTCTAGGACGCCTCTCCCCTTCCCTAAGGGTGGCAACAGTTAGCATCACTGACACACTCTGCTAACTGCTTTGCATATAACTCAGTTAATCTTCCTAACGACCCTATGAGATAGGCATTATCATTGTTCCCCTTTTACAGATGTGGAAACTGAGGCACAGGGTGATTGAGTAACTAACCCAAGGGTGCCATGGCTGATAATGGCAGTCTGGCTCCAGAACCAGTTTCTTAAAATTACTCGATGATACTGCCTCATGCACTGGTACTTCATCACAGCCCTTACGGGCTGTCGTTTTAGAAACCACATGCTGCAGGGCACATACGGAGCGGCGGACCTGCAGGCTCTGTCATCTTCAGACACGCTGGCAACGTCGCTGCAGGGCAACTTCCTTCACCTGGCGAAGGCAGATGGGGTAAGAGCGCTGTCATCCGTCTGGTTGGTGGAGACACGCCAACTCTCTTCATATCATGCTTTTCAAATTTTTATGTTGTGGAAATTTCCGAACATGAGTAAAAATAAAACCTCTAATGTCCACGTAAGCCTTGCCCAGCTTCAACAGTCATCCACCTGGGCTGATACTCACACAAACACACACACAGGGACTCTATAGTCGTGGCCCTATAAAACGTGGTCCTCCACCCAGTGGTTAGCCACAGGGCCCTTCGGGACAGACCACAGACTGACCCAGAAAGTCACATCTTTCCATTCTTCTGGATGAAGGTTGTACAATTTCACCACTTTGATTTTTATATATGGTTAACCAAGAGCTGGTCAGTGTAACCTGCTGACTGAGTCATTACAGGTTGCTAAAATTTTATATTAAGTTTGGGTCAGTCAGCCAACAAGTATTTATTGAGCACCTGCTATGCTCCAGGAACTGATCAAAGTGCTGGAGTTAGGGCGGAGCCCAGAAAAGAACCAAACCCTATAGATACTCACCTTCTGGCACCTACTACAGTGTGTCAAGGGCTTGGAGTTAGTCTTCCCCAAGGAAGTCTGGCTGCCCTACTGCACATGGTGATGTCTTAAAACTCTTTCTGTGAATCTCAGGAGATGAGAATGAAGATTCTACTGGAGAGCAAGAACCATCAGTGCACCATGGGACACAGTCAAAATGTTCCAGAATCACTGCTCTAAAGCATTTCTACCTTCCTATTCATCAGTGTGAGCACTATGAAAAGGCTCTATCACTAGTATCACCTAAATGTATGTGCTTCATCAGAGAAGTCCTTTTAAAAAACAGAAAAGAGTTGCCTATGGCCCCATGGATTCCTTATGTACTATTATAATTCTTGTGCGTTATATACATATATCAGATTATTTTCTACCAGTGCTTTAAATCACTAATTCTCTTAGCAAGCATTAAGTGAATATCCAGCCTGGTCATGCATATCCCAGACTATAGATTCAAAGATAAATCAATCAGGACCTCTGATCAGGAGAAACTCACCATCAAAGACACATCTTAATGAGTTTATCCCTGTATCTGATGTCGATGTCTCCCTTTAACCAAAAGAGTTGTGCTTGGTGGCCAGAAATGTTTTCTTCCGGGCCTCTGCAGATGTGACTCAGGGTGAGACAAGTCCCCTCTGCGTCCAAAATGCCCAGGAGGAATTTCTAATAAAGGGTCATGGTCAGGAGATGAGGAGAGGAAACCAGAGAAACCAGAGAGGGTGGAGCCCACTTGTCATGGTCTGTTGGTGGCTAGGTAGGTAGGTAGGTTGGGTTTTATTTAGCTCCATTCTCCTTGTAATTATTATTCTTGAAAAATAGTTGAATTCTGACCAGGAAAGTCAGTTACTATCTGTGTAAGTTTGCTAGGACTGCGATGACAAAGTACCACAGACAGGGTGGCTCAAATAACAGAAATTTTTATCTCACATCTCTGGAGGCTACAAGTCCAAGATCAAGGGGTGGGGAGAATTGACTCCTCCTGAGGGCTGTGGAAGGAGCCATTCCAGGCTGTCTTGCAGATGACCGTCTTCATGTTCACATGACATTCTCCCCACGTGGCTGTGTCCAAATTTCCTCCTCTTATAAGGACACCAGTCATACCATTCTAATGGGTCCATTCTAATGACCTCATCTTAACCTGATTGCCTCAGTTAAGATCCTGCCTCCAAATAAGGTCACACTCTGATGTACTGGGGGTTAGGACTTCTACACACAAATTTTGGGGAGGAAGGAAAGATGGTCCAAGCCACAACATTGTCTACAGTGTTTTTCAAACACCAAGGTCACTTTAGTGCCCAGTCAGCACTTTTTAATGAAACAGAATGGAGTGGAATAAAATCAATGATCAACTGCCTCCCACAGAGTAAAGAAAAGTACTGTTTCATTTTGATTGTGTGTTTGTATGTGTGTGTGATGTGTAATGGGTCCCAATTAAAGGTACTTCTAACTGTGGGTCATGGTCCAAAAGGGAGAAGGTCACTGCTTCTCAGGAAGTGGAAAACCCAGAAATAATGTCGATCCCTAGGTGTACTCAATGGAGACTCACCTTCCCACTGTGGTTTGCATTTGCAGAACATCACAATTGAAGGGGCATCTATCCTTGACAGTGACAATGCAGCCACAAATGGGGTGATACACATCATCAACAAGGTGCGAAATTCCATCCTCTCTCATAGGTAGCTTCTCTTCCCCTTTTATTCATCCTCCTGGACAGTGTCTTTGGCAGTGGGGCAGGGGGTGGCAGGTGGTAAATACTTATCCTTAAAAGTAACCTGCAATGTGCTTAAGTACTTTTATTTTAAAACCATTTCAAGGTTCTATTCACTCAGTCAGACTCAGTTACTACCTACTCAGCCCATGTTCTGCAATGGGCCCCCTGTGAAGTGTGGCCACACAGAGTATATTTCTTATGAATGGGAACATCTTACGAGGCACACAGAGCCTTGGTATTGGGAAGTCCACTCATCCAGATGGGATGTAGTCAAGAACTGGAGGAGAAGCAAGTGCTTACTTATCACTTTTCCAGTCCCCTCTCTGTATGAAAACAATGGGGTGGGTAAAAGCCCTAGAAAAATGGAAAAGGGTAGTCCTGGCCAGGTTGGCTTACTTGGTTGGAAAGTCATCCTGTAAATTGAAAGGTCTCAGGTTCAATTCCCAGTAATGGTACGTGCCTAGGTTGCGGGTTCGGTCTCCAGTTGGGGCACTTACGAGAGGTTCCTGGTCAGGGCGCATAAGAAAAGAAATCAATCAGTGCTTCTCACTTATATCAGTAAGTGTGTCCTCAGGTGGGGATTTAAAAAAATGCAAAAGGGTAGAAAAGGTATTATGAAATTTTCTTTTTCTTCTAAGGTATAATTCAACAATATTCAGGTATAAAATAGAAAATAAAGTATAATGCAAAATAGGGTTTGAAGCTATACTACAATTCTTGGTTATTATATTGGAATCTTTATTTAAAATTAAAGTTAGAATTTAGGATATATTGGGAGCTTTTGAAAAGTGGGAGATTAAGGAAAACAATGAACTGCACTTTAACTAAAATTATTCTCACTTGGCACTTGCATACTCATTTTCTTATTTTAGGTTAGAGAAAAGGTCAACTATTTGCATTCAGAAAAGAGAGGCTCTTTATGAGACTCCTGGGTGCATTGTCCTGGGGTGGGGGTGGTGCTGAATGTTCTCTGTGGTTCTCATCGGTGTGAGCACCTCGCCTTGTATACAGTCATAACTGGGACCATTAACAGCCCACTAGAGGCTGGGCATTGTGACAAGTATCACGTGCCACATTATCACATTTGATGTTGACAACACCTGAGAAAGCAGGTGTTCTATTGTTCTCACTCCCCAAATGAGGCAGCTGAGCATCCTCATGGTTAAGTAATGAGATTGAGGAAGACATTATATGAACATAAAAGTTTCAGGGGTGCATGTCCACCCATTTCAGGTTCTCTGCCCAGCCTCTAGGATTCACTGGCTCCCTAAGGACCTCCTTCAACATCTATTCACTGGACATTGTGGTCACCTTTGTCAAAGCCACCATGAACAGCTGTGCAGGTTGTGCCCTGCATAAGGGTTTCTGGCCTAACGGCGGAGTGAGGCTGAAATCCAGCCCAGTTCATGCCCCAAACCATGTGTCCTATTGGTATTGCAAACTATCAGAGCAAAGGGTGACTTTTCTTAAGCTTATAGAGGCATTTGAGGGACTGGCAGTAGCCCTGAAAATGGAATAGTGTTTTGTGACATGAACACATGTACTGGAGAGTTGTAGTCCGACCAATACCTGCTAACAGAATTTTGGGGCTTCCTTTCCCAGGTTCTGGTTCCCCAAAGAGGTCTAAGTGACTCCTTACCAAACCTGCTCACCCGGCTGGACCAGATGCCTGACTACTCCATCTTCCGGGGCTACATCATTGCAAGTACCATGTTCTCTGCATGACCCGCTTGCTCGGGTTCCTGGGAACAGAAATCCTTCATGTGCTCTTATCTCTTTCCATCACAGCATTACAATCTGGTGAACACAATAGAGGCTTCTGATGCTTACACAGTGTTTGCACCCAACAATGATGCCATTGAGAATTACATTCGGGAAAAGAAGGTCACAAGTCTAGTAGGTATTGGGAACGATAACCAGGGAAATCACTTTCAGGAAATTCAGACGCTCGACATTTTACAATTCATCAATCATGTACCCTTTTGCTCTTCTACCAAAACTTCCTTTTCATAACCAGGTACTTCACATAAAGTCACAAGGAGATGCTGTAATACCCACACCTCCCCATATGTGTGCCAGAGAAGCCCATGTACTGTATTTTGGTTCTGCTCACGGAAGCAAACATTTGGGCCCATATACACAAGAATACTGGAGTTCCAGGAACCTGGATATGTGTCCACAAGACACAGGTGTCCATTCTCCCAGCCAACACTGGGAGTGCAGGGGTCCCAGGGCAGTGACAACCCTTCTCACTTCCCTGTGGATCAGCCAGCCTGCCAGCAGTGCCTGGCATGAGGTCGCTCAGGCCTGAGTGAGACCCCAGGCCCTCAGGCCAGCATCTCTGCAGGGGAAACACAGCAAGCTCTTTCACACACCCCATCACACCTCCTCTCGGGGCTCGTAATGGGAAAGGCAGGCTGGGGTGTGGCGACTCTCTCTCTTTACAGTAGTTCTTTCCAAAGAAATCTTTAAAACTTTCCCCCAAACTTTCATGCCCTCAGTCTGGGTTTTAGGATCCCCTAATGAGTTCTGGAATATCTCGTATAGAAAATGTGCACATTCTCCAAGGTGATCTGCCTCAGATTTAGTGTTTAAAGTCTATTGTGCCCTGGTGTCTCAGTATCAAAACCTCTGGTTCAACAAGCTGTTGCTCCTGTAATGACCCACAGTGGCCGACACATGAGAGCAGCCTAGTAAGTGACTGGGGACTGGCTGGCCTGTGGGTTGATTTTCAATTCCGTGTGTTGTCCAGGAGGAAGACATACTCAGGTATCACGTGGTCTTGGAGGAGAAACTCCTGAAGAATGACCTGCACAACGGCATGCACCGGGAGACCATGCTGGGCTTCTCCTACCTCCTTGGCTTCTTTGTCCACAATGACCAGGTGCAGTCCTTTCACTCCAAACCCAGGAATGGGTGTCTCAGCTCCTGTCACCCAACATCACTTCCATACTGGAGTCATCTCACCAGGGCTTCCTAAACCTTGTCAACTAGGCAGTTGTCTGTGTTTTGCCATAAAGTAATGACTAAGCCAGAGTGTCTGCCACCAGCCTTCAGATAACCAATGTAGCTCTGCTAATCATGGTATTTGAATCCCAGCACTAACAGGTGCTCCTCAAGGCTGATTCCTATCAAATCCAGCAGATAGTCCCCAAGTGGTCCCTAAGAGGGAAGGGAACCGCCAGCAAAACCTTACCCCCAGAAAGCGGCATGGGCAGCCTAATGACGTAAGTAGGACACAGCAGCCAGATAGATGAACATTATCACTGCTCGACTGTGGACACTGCGGTCCTAGGACCCACTGACCTCCACCCCAGCTCACCAGTATTCACCTCACACAACCCCCAAATATTCAAATGTTTAGAATTCATTAAAAGAAGAATTAGTGAGACTACATATTTAATATATTGCAAATAGGGAATTTTATTCCCACATTTCATTTCAAACATCAAGAGAGAAGATCAATCTATGAAAATTCAATGAGAAACTCAGAGTGACTTAAGTATAGATTCTCATAAGAAAAAATGCTAAAAACAAATTATTAAGACAAACTAAGCTCTATATTAAAATAAAGGAAGCTTAATCACAGGAAACTTTTAAAGGAAACTTTTAAACAATGATGTCATTTGGCTCTTTTTAAGAAGGACAGTTTTACAAACAGTTTTCCCAGTGGTATCATCATTGAGTTCCAAGGGGATTTCGTGTGCATGGATTTTAAACTGCTTGGGTAAAATAAAGTCGTTCTGACTCTTCACTACTTAGGGAATAATGGAACTCCAAAGATTTTTCTCTGACTCCTACAACTATCTCACCTATTTTATAATAACTTTGAAGGGATTCTTTTAAATATATGTTCTTAAATTTTCAGGAAAAACAATTTATATTAAGAACTCACATTTTTATTTTTAATTTATGTCGTCTTTTACTTGATCACATAGAAATGAATGTTCCAGTGTAGTTAGTTGAGTCGATTTTAATCACGTCATGTCTATTTTCCATCTGCTCAGAAATGCTTTGATCTAGAACAGTCTTAAAAGAGAGGCTTCGTCTCACAACAAATAAATGGTTCTATCTTACAATAAAGGTTTTTCTTTTATCAATAACTCACTTTCTCTTAGGACAATAGAGATGTAGAAAAATGTTCTCTGCATAAATAGATTTGTGTCCAAATCAAAATTTTAATGCAACACAAAATTCTCTGGATATGTCTCACAATGAAAATTAATCACATTTTAAGGTCAAATCAACAGTATTATAGCATCAGAAGTTCTGCCATTTTGATATTTCAAATTAGCTCAGCATCTTGAAATTCTGGAAATTTTTGTGTTGTAATCACCATTTGACACCACCCAGAAGGTTCACTGCGAGTCATTCACATTTACACAGACCCTGCACTACCTCTGGAGAGCTCAGCCACTGGCAACTCACCTGAGTCCAAGTAAATCATCCGAAGGGACTCTAACATTTAGTGGAAGTTCAAGTTTAAGCACTTAGCAGAGTCATTTTAATATTGCTGCTGTGGGGACTTTGGGGGAAGTCATTAATCATTTGTTAACACTTACTGAATATGAACTTGACATTTGCTTAAAGGTCAAGTAAAAACTAAAAAATTCTCCCAACCTCAGTCCTACCACACCCACACACAGAGACACACACACCACCCTGATTTTTCAAAGAACCATTTATTTCCAATCATATTACTTATGTTAATGAATGAATTAATAGATTATCTTGTACTAGTAAATCATTAAGGCCTTCTCCTTAAAAAAGTCAGAACAAAACAAATTTGAACTTAAAGTTGAATTTGAGCCGACCTCATATAGATACTGACCTAGTGCCCACGTCTTGGATGCTAATGGACACACTAGGCAAAGACGGATACAAACATACCATACACCCCAAGGGAAACATGGGAAAATGCTGACCTCAGAGCAGTGGTCACACGCTGGGACACGATGCTATCTGGTGGGACACTTTACAAACTCTAAAAAAAGTTACTTACTTTTATTCTTATACAAGTGTCACCTTGCCTGTCTGAGAGTTCATTGCAAATTAACCACGAAGCAGAGATGTGTGGAAAGGACAGTGAATCTCATTGTGCACATCCTGGTTGGGGAAAGCACGCCCCCTGCAGGGCCACTAGTCCGCAGCACAGCTGAGTCCATCCACGGAGCCATATTGCCAATGGTCACTAACATAATGATCACGCTTCAAGATTCTTCAATCATAAACCAGTTAGCTCAAAGGGCGGAGAGAAACCTCAAAGGTTATGTAGAACAACCTGCTTCTTTTACAAAAGAGACCATTGAGATTCAGAGAGGAAAAGCAAGGGGCCCAAGGTCACACAGCTGGATGCTGCCAGATGCAGGACTGCTACTCAGACTCCCCTCTCCGAGGCCAGCTGCGGCGTGCTACCCTCTGGGCGAATGTCGGACTATCTCTTAGGCTGTTGTCATATTGACAGCCTCCGATCCCCATTTCCCTACTTCCCTTGAAATCACTACAATAAAAATTTACATCGAACCCTCTCGTTCACAGCTCTACGTAAATGAAGCTCCAATTAACTACACCAATGTAGCCACTGACAAGGGAGTGATCCATGGCTTGGGGAAAGTTCTGGAAATTCAGAAGAATAGATGTGATATGAACTACACTGCTATTATACGAGTAAGTTATATCCAAGGCCAACAGTGCATCTGAATGTTGATTTATTTCTTCACATTTTAAGCATTAGATTCATCTATTAGGATATTTCAATTTAGTTCAAAAAACACTGGGCGAGCATCTCTGATATGCAAAGGGACATCACAACCACCCAGCTGTGGCTCCACAAACATAAATAAGACATGACCTCCACCGTCAATGGGCTCACAGTCTAGCGTAGTAAGTTGTACCTTGGATGCCTGGGAGAGCCTGTGTGGAGGATTGTGCTGAGCAAGATTTTGAAGCCAGGTCTTTCTCAAAGGGAAGATGTGCAATGCCCACCACGGGCACAGAGAGGGGACTATGGTATTTGGCAGATATTGGCCAAGCCTGAGCTACTAGGAGAGAAAATATGGAAATAGAGACTTTCACTCCAGTCCATGACTATTATTGCAGTAATAGTAATAGCTGCTGACATTTATTGGGCACTTACTATGTACCAAACACTGTTCTAAACCTTTTACATGTACTAACCCACATAATTTTCACAGCACCCTACAAAGTAGGGACTATTACTATCCACATGCCATCAGTGGGGGAAATGAGCCACAGAGAAGTGAACTAATAATGCACCTGGGTTCGCAGAGCTGACAAGTGGCAGAGGAAGAGTTCCAATCCCAGCAGTGTGAGCCCCAGAGCCAGGACTCTGAACAACCAACCTCACCATACTCTCCAGAAGATGCTGAGTTAAGATCTAGATGCATTGACCTGTTCTTGTTTTAGGAACATGTCACACTCAAGAGTTTCTGTCATTCTTAACTTGTGTTCTTTGTTTCATGATAGTGTATATATTATCCCCACCCTGACTGCTCAGCTGGACTACGAGCTCCCAGGACTGGGCACTGAATCTGGCCCAATCCACTAAATAATGGCTTACCAACAAGTGAAGGCTGTTGATAAAGAAATTTGGACTTAAATGAGATAAGACCTCCTCACATTAAATGATTATCCGCATCAGAAGCAATGCTCAAATATCCAAGACCTGAAGTAATGACAGTTAAAGTGCTTGTCTCAAAAAATATTAAAGAGGTTGACCAGATGAGCTTCCCTAATATCTTCCTGATTTTCAGTTCTATAACCTAAAACCTTCAGCTCTAAAGTCTGGAAACATATTTACAGCCTCATTTTGCACAGAAATCAATAACCATGAAACGTTCTCTTTGCCTCTGTGTTTTGTCAAGGGAAGGTGTGGGAAGTGTCCCCAGCAACCAGTCTGCCCGTTTGGAGGTAAACCACTGGTAAGTATTTGTCCCGCTTTGATCAAATAGTTTCCGGATCCCAGGGAGGTCCGAACCTCAAAGACCCCTCCTTTTCACTTCCTTCACTTCTTCACTGGTTTTACTTTTGTTTTACCTTTTTAGGTAGTATGCATCTTTCTAAAGTCTTGAATCCATTTCTTTTGGACTAAGTCAAAATTTTAATAAATAAATAATAGAAACTGGGGCTCATCTCAACCCCAGAAAGAGATTGTTCTCTTTACACATATTCTGGGAGCCGGTTGAGGCCAGAAGCAAGACAACTTATCAGGAAGGTAGTAGCTTCCATATCCCAAACCTTATCCAGCCTGGACGAGCTCCACTGGCCTGATTTCCTTCTACAGTTGAAGATACAACTGATTTTCTCTAAGAAACAGATGGCAGCCTTGTGGGGGGGGGGGAGTGGATTTGTCTTTGAATTAATTACCAACCTGTGTTTCTTGTAGCTATTTATTATATAATAAAAAAAACTAATTCTGACAATGCTCCAACCATTAGGAAGAGTAAATACTTGCGCACCTTCCAGACTATGATAATAATCATTTATAAGAGGCCCCAGCTAGGTAGCTCAGTTGGTTGGAGCATCATCCCATATACCAAAAGGTTGTGGGTTCAATTCCTGGTCAGGACACGTATGGAAGGCAACTGGTTGATGTTTCTCACATCTCTCTTACTCTGTCCTCCCCTCCTTCTCCCCCCACCCTTCCTCTTTCTCTAAAATCAATAAACACATATCTTCAGGTGAAGATTTAAAATAATAATAATTATTATTATTACTATTTATAACAGCCACAATGCTGACTCTCACTTGAGTTTTAATTTAACCGTGTGTGTCATAGTTCTTTGTAAGTAGCCTTAATCCTTTCTCTGATCAGGGCAGAATAGAAGTCAGTACATAGAAATCCAGGCTCGGACCAGCTGGTGTACAGTGCTGGAAGGACATTTTTGTCTAGTTTACGCTATGATTCTTCCCAACTCGAGTTAGTGTTCTAGAGAACGGTTCTTTTTACAGACTACTTTACAGTAGAATCCCTTGGATTTTCCCACCTGGGCCTCTAGCTGCCAACACTGTTTCTATGTTTTCTCTCCTACGAAGCAGCTCTAAGAAACCATCCCTGTCCCTTTCCAAAGCATTTCAGTCGGAGAGACTGCCCTGTGTCACCCGCCAATATGCTTTTAGAGGGTAGAAAACGCTTTCCTAACTGAAAAGCTGATATAATCATTACTATTTCACAGACTGACGAGTCGAAGAGATGTATCTATACCATTTATTTCATGGGCAAACGATCCGTGTTCATTGGATGCCAATCAGTCTGTGTGAAAACTACCATTGTGAGTATCACAATTTAATCATTTCCCTAATCATAGAGGTGGCACTGGGAAATGTAATCATATGTCATATTTCTCGATGTTAATCATATGTCATATTTTTAATGTGCCTTTACACATATGCCTTATGCCATCTCATCTTCCACTTTATTATCTTCATTATCATTGTCATTCAAAGTAGTGGTGACAGCCAGAAAGCTCAGGACAGCCCGGTAAGTCAGCAAACGGATAAACACTGCAATATCCAATTAGATGATGAAGAAATTGAGGGGCTGAAAAGTTGAGAGGTGAACTGCCCTCTGAGCACGCTTGTAAGCCAAAGAGACCGAAGACCTGGCCAACTGCCTGAGGAATGAGAAGATGCACCTGGGCATTTAGGAAACAGGACCCCAGAGCTCAGTACCTGTGAGGTCCTGCTGCTTGGGAATCTGCAGGAAAATTCTTTATAACTTCCTGTCTTGCTGCTTTACCAGAAGGCCTCACAAGATCGTGTGTTTTCATGTCCTTAAGAATAAAGTCAGGCCAAGCCATGCAATGTCACACAGGGTTTCCATGAACTGTCAGAGATTTGTTTTGAGAGTGACTAAAGCCTTACTGGCATGGGCCTCCCACCTTTGGTACCAAGTGAAATGACATACGATGGGAAGGGGCCAGGTTTGGGTTGGGGAGAGCCCTCGACATCCCTCCCCTTCCATACCACTTGCATTATGTTTTACTTAGTCCCTGCTCGCCCTCTTTCCCTCTCGCTTTGCTTCATTTTATTCTCTTCGTTGCCTATTTCCCTTCCCTCTTTCCTAACTCCTTGGCAGAGACCTCCGCCCATTCCTGGCACACCTGGAAGTTGCTCAGCCTCCCTGGTTCTCAGGGGTTCCTGCAACCCCTTCACCGTGGGGTCACAGCCCAGGGCACACAGCCAGTCCGGCCAGTGGGATTTCTGCACTGCAGCTGGACAAAACCAGGAGGGGGGAGTGCAGGCCCAGCCTCGGCCTTTCATTTCAGAGACGAGAATGCTGTGCGGGCTTCTTTGGCCCCCAGTGCCAGCCCTGCCCCAGGCAAGCTGACAACGTCTGCTTTGGAAATGGCATCTGCTTGGACGGAGTGAACGGCACCGGTGTGTGTGAGTGTGGAGAGGGCTTCAATGGGACAGCCTGCGAGACCTGCACGGAGGGCAAGTACGGCATCCACTGTGACCAAGGTACGCACCCCTCCCCTCCCTGCCCGCGTCCAGAGGAGAAAAGGAACTCGGCCTTGGTTCCAGGCAGGCCGTTACCCTACCTCCACGACCATGTGAATTACAACATCATTTGTGTTATGTGATTTGCATAGGACGGAGTTGCCCAACATTCTCCATCCCTAACCTAGACCCACCAACCCACCACCCCATTTGCTCATTGGCACTTTGCATCCTACGCACATTTGTGTATTTGCCTGCATAGCTGGTCCTCATAGTCACACTCTCAGTTTTGGACAGTGCTTGTTAGTTTGTAAAGCAGATTTGTGCATCTTGTCTCATTTAATCCACATAGGAACCTTATAGGGGCGGGTATGTAAGATCATGCCCATTTTACAGATGAAAATATTAAGGCAAAGAGGTTAGATGCCTTCCCCAAGGTCACACCTGAAAGAGGCAGAACTGAGACTTGAATGCACACTTTGCCTGACTCCAAAGCTTGGCTCTTGCAGGATGTTGTCTTTTATATGAAGATCACTCTAGAGATTCACCCTCAGGAAACCACGCACTTTCATTTGTTTTTGCCCCCCCCTTCAAAAAGTGCTCTATTTGAGCCAAGTCATTTGCATTCTCTTACCCTGAACTTTCTTGTCCCCAGGGACACAACCTAATTGACTTCAGAGGGGGGATTTCCTAATTCGTGATAAGAAAACAAAGCATTTCTTCTACTTTGTACTAAAAACCATAAGTTTAACCTGGCTATCACTGCTTCATCATCCACTGGTCCAAGCAAGGCAAAATCAATATACAGTTGACACATAATAATGGGGCTGTATCATATATAATGGGCATTATAGTGCTGATTTTTTCTGTTACATGGAAGATCGCCCATTTGTATTTGTGCAGGAGTTCCCGACCTGGGACCCATAGTCCTCTATGGTCCTCCTGAGCTGAAGGCTTTTTCCTTGGGCAGGCATCCCTAGCTTTCATCCAGTTCTCAAAGGGGCTCGTGATACTGGTGCACGACAAAGGAATTGACATTTCTGTGGGGTGGAAGAGGGCAGTGCCACACCAGGTTTATATAAACCCAGTAGCAAATGGGCTTCTTTTAAAGTCCACTCTTAAGGATTCCAAGGGGTCCCACATAACCTTGGATCCTCCAATAACCTTAGCTGAGGACACTCTCACTTCCAGGGTGGCCGCCCCACAGTGCTACACAGTCCCAAAACCATGGTCCTTCTAGAGGCATGACCTGATTCACCTGTGAGCCTGCTCAACTCTACCTCCCAGGCCCCTGCCCCTCCTGTGAATCCAGCTCTCCCTTAAAGACAGCTAGTCTCTGAAACCGGGTTGGAGAATAAAGTGCACGGAAATGAACCTTCGTAGTAAATGATCCATGAGTTATGGAACAGAGCTCAGATGTCTGACAACGCATGGGCACTTTTTCATTTAGTGTGCACTTGTGTCCATGGGAGATGCAACCAAGGACCCTCTGGTGACGGCTCCTGTGAATGTGACGCTGGCTGGCGAGGAGTGAAATGTGACAGCGGTAAGAGCCAGCCCCTCGGGCCTCCCTTCTCGGCAGACACATTTTGTTTCCCCCTTCTGAAACAGAAGTGGCATCTTTATTTCTTCCTTGAGCAATAAAAGTAACTCTACTTGCAGCAAAAAGTTTGTAAAATAAACAAAAGCAGAATGAAGAAAGTAAAAATTATTCATACTCCCGAGGCAGGAAAAAGCTATCCTTAATATTTTATATTAGCCTTCCAAAATTTTTATAGGCATATAAACATAGGTGTATGGGGCCATAGTCTACAGACTATTGTCTAGTCTCCTTTTTCACTTATATGATGGATATGTTTCTGTGTGAGTAAATATGGGTCGACATCACTATTTTCTTAACTTCTCTATAATATGCTATTATATAACTGTACCAAGCTTTATGAAAACAATTTTCTGCTATCATATACAGTGCTACAGTGAGCATATCTCATACATACATCCTTATGCATTTGTTTTATTTCTCCTTTCTGCTCCTTCTCTCACCAGTAGCCTGATGATACATCTCGTTGTCTCTTGTTATATTTCCCTCCATTCCATTCTCCACATTGCTGCCAGAGAGAGCTTTCCAAAACATAGAAGTCAGAGTCTGTTCAGGCTGCTGTAACAAAGTATCATATACTGGATGGCTTATAAACAATAGAAATTAATATGTCCAGTTCGGGAGGCCGTAAGTCCAGTTCAAGGTCAGGTTCTGGTGAAAGCCCTCTTTTGGTTGCAGACTGTCATCTTCTTGTGTTAGAGCTCAAGAGGCAAAGATGCTCTCTGGGGTCACTTTTCAAAGGCACTAATCCCATTCATGAGGGCCCCACCCTCAGGACCTAATCACCTCCCAAAAACATACCTCCAAATACCATTGCATTGGGGATTATTTTCAACATATAGATTGGGGCAGGGCACTAACATTCAGTCTATAGCAATAGATAAGATCATGTTCCTCACCTCCTACCTGCTATAGCTTTTCATTGTCCTCAGGACACAGTTCAGTGCCCCCAAGAGAAACACCTTAGCTGGGTAGAGTTCAAAGCTATTTACCAATAGGCATTTGCCGTGTTTTCCAGTCTTGCCTCCAGTGCACAGTCTGCACAGGAGCTTCCAGTCTAGGAAAGGAAATGAATGTTCAACCGTGTTCAGAAATGGTGGTACGGGAGTGGGGAGCACAGGACCTCTAGGCTACAGCAAGGAAGACAGCCCCTGTGTCTGTGTGCAGACTCCTCACTCTGCAGCCCATGACAGACATCCCGAATTAGTCACTGCACTCCTCTCTGAGGCCAGGTGGGGATTGAGGTCATGTCAAAAGAGCACACCGTGTAGTCACTACCAATTAATTGAAGTTGGCTCAAAGGTTTAGTGCAGGTTTCAGAAAGGAGGACCTAAAAGATTATTGGGATTTCAATAGACAGTGAATAGAAAGAAGCAGATTTATAGGCTTGGGGGATAGAGCACATCAAAGCACAAAAGTGCACTGTATCCGCACGGTTCCATGTGAGGCTGTAAATGTCCCCTCTGGCACAAAGCAGCCACTGCAGCAGCCAGGTCCTCTTCAGGGCCTTCTGTGCGACTTGCCAGGCCTATGGAGGTTTTTCTTCCAAAAGCTCTTAGCATGAGCATCCTGCCCAAAGGGTACTCTTTTCTCATCTCTACCTCTTTCTGGACCTTCCCCTGCCAGGAGCATCCGGAAAAAAAAAAAAAAAAAAAACTAAGCATTCAAGAGCAAAAACCTACACTGTTCCAGGAAATTAGGAATTAATTCAATGAATAGATAGTGAGTACCTCTTGCATGGCAGACCCTGAGCTATTTCTGCACATACCCCCCCAAAACTCACCTTTAATACCTGTTATAATTAGGTGTTTGCTTATTTATACCACTTCATAAGAAAGTGATGAAAAACTAGAAAGAATAAGAAACATGGAAAATATAAATACATTAGAAAATAAAGCTCCAGGAAGGGACTTGGCTCCACACCCAGCCCTGAGGGAGGACACTGAGTGTTACCCACCCTGCATCCCACCCCCTAGCACAGGGCCCGGCACACGGGAGACACCCCACCAGTATATTTGACCTTCAGATTTGGCTCTGAGCTTCCTGGCAGCCACTGAAAAAGCGATCTACATGATCTATACAACATTACCAGCTGGGACAGGGGTTGAGGGATGGATGAAAAGGGTAAAGGGATTAGGAAGCACAAATTGATAGTTTCAAAATAGTCATGGGCATGTAAAATACAGCGTCATAGGGAATGTAGTCAATGTTATAATATATAAATGGTGTCAGATGGGTACGAGATTCACTGGGGCAATCACTTCATAAGTCCTATAACATCTAATCACCAGGATGTACACCTGAAACTAATACAATATTGGACATCAACTGTAATTGAAAATTAAAAATTGTTTTTTAAAAAATCAACATGAACCCATAGTTTTACACACAGTACACTTGATGTGTATAGTTTTCAACAGGAAAAGTAGATTTTTCCTAGCACCAATTACTAAAAATTGGTCTTGAGGGAATGTTGATAAAAGGGGTCTGACGGAGCAATTTTTTTTTCAGCAATCACAAAAGACAACTGCAATGGGACATGCCACACCAGCGCCAAGTAGGTACCCTCTGGGCCACCTCTGGGGACAACGCAGAGGGGGTCCTTGCCTAATACTGTGCACCCCAGGCCCTGTCCTCACGAGAGTATCTAGGATTTAGGATAAATTTAATATAAAACTGGAAGGATTTCTGCAGAGACTGCCATCGGCTTGCCAGATCCAGCTTTTTGAACAAGCTGCCCCCTGAGTTACCTGGGATGCTGGCACAATGCCGGTCATTGTCCGCACTTCACTTCACGCCCCAGAGACCCCTTCACAGAGGCAGGGGGAGCCCAGCGGGCCTCTGCTTTCATCAGAGCTTCCTCCTGACTCACAGCCAAGCCTGCTTCACTCTCCAGCTTCATGCCCCTAAGTCCCAGCAGGGCTTAATGGGTTAATCAATGAGGAGCCTCTTGGCTGGAGTTAGAGGTGAATTCAAATGAGCCTCTGTCTTGTCATTGGCTGCATGACCTTGACTCAATGTTTTAATGTCTCTAAGCCTTGGTTTCTTCACCTGCAAATGGAAATAATAATAATAATACCCACCTGTCAGGGCTATTGGGTAAGTTACAGGCAGCAATGCGTGAAGCACAGCCCCTAACACACAGGTGACTCTCTGATGGGTAGCTTAACCCCTTAACCCCGAGCTCACGCCCACATATACACCCTCTAGTTTGCCTGATAATGACTGCAATTTTAGGTGCCTGTGGCCAAACTAGGAAGGGACTGTTCTCCTGAGCCTGTAGGCAGGACCTTTGAGTGCCGCCTGGGGCAGGAGCTGGACCGCTGGCCATAGGCAGGGTGGGTGTTGTGTGCTTATCTACAAAGTCTTATCTACAAAGTCTACAAATGCTTTTGCCCTTTCTCCTGGCAGCTGCCTTCTCAATCCAGATGGCACAGCCTTGTGCAAATGTGCGGCGGGATTCCAAGGGAATGGGACAGTCTGCACAGGCAAGTGAAGCAGAATTTGCTCTGGGCGGGAAAGACTAGCATGAGCTGTGGGGAAACCTGTGCTCCTGCTGGTTGAGTGGGCAGCCGCTACCAACCGTTGCTGGGGAGCTGGGTGGAACAAGGCAGCTGACTATGCCCAGGAAAGGGAAACCACTTTTGAGGGGCTGCACCCATTCTCTCCAAGCAGTGGTGCACACCCTTGACCTCAGTTGAAGAGCTTTTGAAAACACTGATTTGATTGACCTAGTACATGACCTGGGCATGGGAACTCTGGAGTGAGGAAGAGAGAGACATGAGCCCTCACAACCTTGTTGAACTTGTTTCAATAAATGTTTTGCTCCTTCTATCGAGATGACCATGTAATTTTTGTCTTTAATTCTACTGAAATGCTGCATTACATTAATTGATTTTTTTTTACACTAAACCACATTGTGTTCCCGTGTAGATCCCACCTGGTCATGGTGTAGGGTCATTCCCCTTTGTATGGTTTCAGTGGCCTATAGTCAACCACAGTCTGAAAATATTAAATAGAAAATTCCAGGTACTTTGAGAGAGAGAGAGAGAGATAGAGAGAAAGAGAGAGACCACATCCACATAACTTTTATCATAGTACATTGTTATAATTGTTTTATTACTAGTTATTGTCAATCTCCTACTGTACCTAATTTATAAGTTAAACTTTATCCTAGGCATCTATGTATAGGAAAAAACAGTATACATAAGGCGTGATATTATCCAGTGGATTTCCATCCACAGCAAGTCTCGGCATGTGCCCCCTCATGGATAACAGGGAATACTGTATATAATCCTTTTTATATATTGCTGAATTTGACCAGCAAGTATTTTTTTAGGATTTTTGTGTCTATGTTCAAAAAGATATTGGTTTATATTTTTCTTGCAATGACTTTGGTTTTGATATCAGGGGAATGCTGGCTTCATAACATAAATTAGGAAGTCTTCCCTTCTCTTCCAGTTTTTAGAAAAATTCGTGAAAACTTGGTATGTATTCTTCTTTTACTGTTTGGTAGGCATCATCGATGGAAAAATCTGACCCTTTGCATTCTTTGGAATTATTCTTCCTTAACCCAACACCTGCCATTCAGAAGCACTTCCATTTCTTGGTGACAAGTAGAATGTGTCCATGTCCCCACCCCCTTCTCTGCTCTGTGTCATCTGTATCCCGCAGCAATCGATGCCTGTGCGGTCCGCAATGGGGGCTGCTCTGCCAAGGCTACCTGTAAGAGAACCGCCCCAGGAAGCCGGGTGTGCGTGTGCAAGGCAGGCTATGCTGGCGACGGCATCGTATGCATAGGTACGTGCCATCCCATTGTGCCGTGGCAATGGTTTGAGAGTCGGGGCCCTGTTGTACAAGCCTAGTGTGTGGACGCTGTTGGGCCGTCTTTCAGTTTGCCTGGGCAGGAAGGTGTGAGGGTGTGGAAATGCGACCACGAAGGTATGAACATGCGTGATGGCTTTGAAAGCGGAAGGGGGAAATACTTTTTACAGTTAAACATTACTGGTGGTAACTGAATTTTAAAACATTTATTGGTTCTTTTTTTGTATAAGTAGCTCATCCTCAATATAAAAAAATTAGAGGATGCATATAGGCTGGGGAGGGTGGGGCATCTGGAGATGACCGCTCTTGCTACTATTAAGTGGCCCCATTTTGCTGTGTATACATGTATTTTTTAAGATTTTTACTTATCTATTGTTTAGAGAGAGAGGAAGGGAAGGAAAGAGAGAGAAACATTGATGTGAAAGAGAAACATCGATCATTCACCTCTTGTACAGTGAGCCCGAAACCCAGGCATGTGCCCTGAGTGGGAATTGAACCCACAACCTTTCACCTTGTGGAACGATGCCCAACCAACTGAGCCACACTGGTCAGGGCTGTGTGCGTGTATTTTTTAAAGACAAAGAAATGTGTCTTGTGACATACAATGTTTACTCTGCTGAGCAACATGATGAAACAACCCGCCCAGAAAATAAGTATACCTCCAAATCATTACTTTAATGGCTGCATATTGTTCTTCTCTAAAGATATGCTATTGTTAAGTTATCTAAACTTTAACTTTTTAGCTGTAAAAAAAATCATATGCAAGAGTTGCAAAAACAGTGCCAAAAGAAGACCTATTTCCTCTTTACTTAGGTTGACTTATTGTTACTATTTTGCCCCATTTGCTTTATCTTTTGTTCTCCCTCTCTCTCCATCTATATACTTACATTTATATTTTAACCATTTGAGAATAAGCTCTATATTTCACATTGCCTTTATCCTTTAACACCTGACTCTACTTAAGAATAAGGACAGACTCTTACAGAACCACAGCAGTTACCAACTGCAGTACACTTATTATTGATCTAATACTTTTGTCTAATTATCATTTGTACTCCAATTCCATCAAATGACCCAATAATGGTCTTTTTTGGACAAGTTTTTTCCTCTAGTGCAGAATCCAGTCCAGGGGTGGGTATTGCCTTTTGTTATCCTGTGTCTTTATTCTCCTTTGACCTGGGAAGTTTCCTCAGCCTTGCTTTCTCTTTTATCACATGGACGTTTTGGAATAATACCACTCACCACCCCAACTTTCTTCTTCTAACATGTCCTTCATTTGAGATTTGTCTGATGTTCTTTCATCATTATATTCAGATTTTGGCCTTCCAGGCCCAATATCACACTGGAAGCTTGTGGCTCCCAGCTGCCTCTCATTTGTGGGGTTAATTTTGACCCCAAGGTCAAGGTGCTGTCTGATTTCTCCACTGGTACTAATAAGCAATCCGTGGGAAGACACTTTAACACCAAGCAAATATTTGGCTCCTCATCAAAAATTTCACCTAAAATTAGCATCTACTAATGATTCTTCCCTGAATCAATTATATTCTGAAGGTTGGAACACATTTTTTTTTTTTAGATTTTATTTATTTATTTATCTTTAGAGGGGAAGGAGAAAGGGAGAGAAACATCAATGTATGGTTGCCTCTAGTGCATCCCCTGCAGGGAACTGGCCTGCAGGGAACCTGCTGGCAACCCAGGCATGTGCCCTGACTGGGAATCGAACCACGATCCTCTGGTTCACAGGCCCGTGCTCAATCCACTGAGCTATACCAGCCAGGGCTGCAACACATTTTTTAATTCCTAAATCTCATCATTCATAATGTGTTGGGTTGAACTCCAAGATTCTATTATTTCAAGTCCTTGGCTGCAAACGCTTACACTCATTCAACAGAGGACAGATTCAAGCCCACAGATGGCGGCTCTGCTGGCGCAGCCCATCCCAGAGAGTCAACTTTGAGAAACCATACCTGGTCCTGCCCCCCCACACCCCGCATTGAGTTACTTCTGCCTAGGGCTGCCAGAAAAACGAATCACACTTTGACACCTGCTCAATTAGCCAGTTAGCTGTCTCTCAAGATGCCTTTACTTGAAAATGAGGTGTGATTCTCACGCCAGGGGTTGGCTTTTTGCTTTACAGAGATCAACCCGTGTTTGGAGAACAATGGTGGCTGTCACAGGCACGCTGAGTGCACACAGACAGGACCCAACCAGGTGAGCTCTGCCTCCCTGGGGGTGAGGCTAAAGGTCTTTAGACCCAGGCCTGAGAGAAGAGGGCAGAGAAGAGACCTCAGCAGAAAATAAACACTTTAGGGGAAATTTTGACAGCATTCCCAATGAGGCCATTCTGTGGGAATGAGGAGAAATGGGAGGGGAGACAAGGGGTCCCCAGGAGAAGGGGTTTTCCTAGAGTGGGAAGAAGTAGTCTTCTCCAAACACCCCGTGGCTCCGGAAGTACCTAGAAGATCTTCAACAATATTCCCCCGTCTTTCAGCTCCCTGATTCCCAGAAGCCCACAGGTATTTTTGGCTCGAGGCTGAAATGCATGTGCCTCAGCAGAGATGACATTTTTAGGCCCACTGTCTATTCCCTAACACAGTAGCCTTGCAAGGGCCTCCCTATTGCATAGATTTGGGCAGGTGAAAAAATCTGAGGGTTCCAAAGGAGGGGAAATCCACCCCTTAGGGGGACACTCTAGCAGCAGGTACCCCTTCTAGACACCGCTTGGTGAATAGAGCATAGCTGGCTTTTAGCCCCACTCACCCCCGTGCCTGGGTCCTCCTGAGCATGGCACAAGGGACATGGGGACGAACCAGGCAGTCCCCAGCTTCCTGTAGACAGTGTCTCCTCCCTCAACTTGAAACATCCAGCTGACTTCCTTGGTCAAACAGTGGGTTTGACTGATTATTTTCACATGTGCAACTGATATGCCTGCAAAGCCATCACCCGGTGTTCATGCCAGGGGGCAGAGCCTGGGTGGAGATGAGCAAGAACTGATTATAAATGGGAGTGGGCGAGAGCTTAGCTTCCTTGCAAACTGAACCTTTACAAACCTAAGAGAGAAAACAGCTGAGTGCCCAAAAGGCAGGGGACCAAATAAGGTAACAAAGCTTTGTTTTTTTAAATAAACTATCTTGGTAGCAAAGGTAGAATAGTTAGGAGATCCCAGTACTAGAGTGAGGTAGGCCCAAGGTGCTAAAATGTAAGATAACAGTTATGATTTTAAAATAAATATCACCAATGTAAAATCTGTGAACATCACCAGTAATGTTATGGAATTCGAGTGTGAGAGCCAGCAGAATCTATCTGTGAACTGACCCGTGGCCCTCTCCTCCCGGACAGGCCGTCTGCAACTGTCTACCGAGATACACAGGAGACGGGAAGGTCTGCTCGCTCATCAACATCTGCTTAACCGTGAGTACAACTCTAGGACCGAGGCCCCCTCAGGTCAGGCATGGGGCGCCTGGTACCCTCTTCTAGGAGATGGGGTGTTGGGGTGATCGCCTCAGAGCTGCTTTGGGCATGAGGCTCATTTCTCCCTCACGTTCCAGTGCTAATGTGGGGAAACTCCAGTCTCTGCCTCTGTCTCCTCGTGGCCTTCACCTCTGTGGTCTTCTTTCCTAGTAAGGATGCTGGTGGACCGCAGGCCCACCTGCTTAATCTAAGACGATCTTATCTCGAGATCTTTAATGACATCTGCAAAGACTCTCTAAGCAAGGACACGCTCACAAGTACCAGGGCTTAGGAGGTGGACATACCTTTCAGAGGGCCAAAATTCAGCCCCCTGCAAATGGGAGGAGTGGAGGTCCTTGCCTGAGATCACAGAGCAAGCAAAAGCACAGCCAGAACTTGAAGTCACATCTCTCTGACTCAAAGGCCAGTCTCGACCACTTCTTGAGGTACTTGTTCCTCCCACAAGGCAGTGACCCCAGTGGGGCCCCATCGAAACACCTTACTTTTCTTATTCATACACATCGCCCGCCTGAGAGCCTCCAGCTATAGGCATGAGAACAGCGCAGACACACCGTGATGAAAGCCCTTCCTTTCCAAGGGAGGTCCCTACTGTCGCCTGGTGTTGGTGTGGCAAGCTCATCTGGAGAACAGCGTCCCCACATGAAATGACCGTGTAGGGACAATAGGGAAGAACCTGCAGAGAGCTGGGGTGTGGAACTATCACAACTAATACTAAGGCCAGATTTCTTTTAGCCTCACCCGAGAACATGCTTATGGATTTTAGAGAGAGGGAAAAAAGAGAGAGAGGGAGAGAAATATTAGTGAGAGAGAGAAACTTGGATAGATTGCCTCTTGGATGTGCCCCAACTGGGACCAAACCCTCAACCTGGGCATGTGCCCTGACTGGGAATTGAACCCCAACTGTTTGGTTTATGGGATGACACTCCAACCCACTGAGCCACACCAGCCAGGACTGCCCAGATTTATTTTAACAGTGGTTCTTCCAGCAGCAATTTTCACCTGTTCCCAAAAATGGCCACCTTATCTTGGCAATTAATGCAATGAAGCCACTTGTGCCTGACATTCTGGTACTAGAGTCACTAGCTCACGGCCTCACTCCTTTCATCTGTGCCCATGACTGCTGCCACCCCCTGGATTCTTTTCATGGAGAGAGAAAGTTTGTTTTCTCTCAAGATGAGTAATACTAAGGCATGTGTTTATCCTGATGAGTATCAAAATGCCCTAGAGAGAAGGAAATTGATACTGGAGGAGAGAAGGAGGAAAGTACATGAGTCAGTAAGGGGAATGGAACCAGATCCCATAGGTGGAGAGGAGAGCCTCACACAGGAGCATGGGCAGGGGCAGGTAGGCAGGTAGGCAGGTAGGCAGGTAGGTAGGTGGTCAGTCAGTCCATTAGTTGGTCAGTCAGGCAGTTAGTTGATCAGGTAGTTACTCAACCAGTCAGTCAAGTCAATGAGTCACTCACGGGCATCTACTTCAGAGGCCCCTTTACTGTGAATTAACTTTAAAATGTCTATGCCTGACCATTCTGAACAAATAGTTCCGTGAAGACAGAGGCTGTCTGCATGGTGTGTATCCCGTGGAGAGCCTTGCACAGCAGGGAGCACAGGCGGTTGAGGAGCATTCACTGGACACCAGGCACGGTTTCAGGGACTGGGAGGGAAGCCGCTGTGACTCTGGGCTCAGAGAGGTGGTGTACTTTAGGACAGGACGTTGAGGAGGTTCTTGTCTATTATGTCTCTTTTCTCCATGAGATATGAGTTGAGCTTATCAACTGAGAGTAGGGGGACAGTGTTGAGAGTTGAGAGTTGAGGACAGAGGTGACAGAGTGAAATGTCTTCTTGGAACTGAAGGGCTGGTGCACAGGGCAAACAGGGTTTGCAGGATACAGAGACACCTCTCCAGTAAAAGGTTACGAGAGCTTGTGGGGAACAGGTGGAGACTGCTGGGAGTTTGCTAACAGTGGTGAGTTTCTGAGGGCACGGAGAGGGGTTTGCGAGGGCAGGAAGTGGGAGGATACAGAGTCAGATCCCTGGTAGACAAAGCAACATTGTAAGGAGTGTCCCTGTAGTAGGAGGTGACTTTGGGCACCTAGACCTTATAGAGATAAACAGGAAGGTGGAACAAGGGGGGGGCTTCTTCTTAGTGGTCTCAGAACACGCAGAGCATTGAGACAAGTAAATCCAGGGTATTTAGCTGGAAGACCCAGGGTCCCCAGGAGGTGGTCCATGATCTTTCAGGAGTCAACTTTCTTGAAAAGCTCACTGACTTGTGTCAGCTTGATGCAAGAATCTGCGGCAGTAGGTCCCTCCTGGGCTGAAATATAATGCTCCACAAATACTTTTTAAAAACATTTTATTTCTATTTTTTAGGGAGAAGGGAAGGGAGGGAAAGAAACATTGATGTGAGAAAGAAACCTCAATCTCACATGGGGACCAGGGACTGATCCCACAACCCAGACTTACTCCCTGATGGGGAATCAAACCAGTGGCATTTCACTTTGCGAGATGACGCCAACCCACTGAGCCACACCGGCCAGGCCCACAAATACTTTTGGAGTGGGGATCGCAAGGGGAGATTTTGCAGCTGGCCTTTTAGACTGTTGACCACCTCATCTGTGCAGCCTCATCTGACTTGCTCATCTTGAGCTTTCCATTCTTTCCCCTCTGAGGACCTTTGCTTGGGCCTACAAAGTCCTTCTTGGTGAAAACAGTCATGGGTGTTGGCTTTGAACTGCATTTGGCTTTTTTATAGCTTAGGTCTCTGCCCCATCGGCCACAGTTTATAAGCTCTTTGCAGATAAGAACAGCAGGTTGTATCATTTTATACCTATTTCCTTCTAGCTGATCACTGTTACCTTTGCTCCCAAGAGATCAGATTTCAGCCTACAGCTAGAAAGTGTCTAACAAGATTGGGACCTTTCCAATGAACCCCCAGATCCCAGCCAACTTCCCATTTGGCAATTTTAGGTTTATCAATGTACCTGCCACTGAATATAAGGCCAGTTCAGGAAAGGGCAAATAATGCAAACCAGTCCATGAGGCAGTAAAAAATACATTTCAATGCAGAATTGCCTCATAAATATTGACAAAGTGGGCAAACTAACTGATCTGACTCCTATCCCCCATCCCTTGGAAATGCTACCAGAAAAACGGTGGCTGTAGTGAATTTGCTATCTGCAACCACACCGGGGAGGATGAAAGGACCTGTACTTGCAAGCCGAACTACGTTGGAGACGGGTTCACCTGCCGTGGCAACATCCATCAGGTAACACAAGTCACGTTTCCATACAGTAAACCCTGCTTCCCTCTCTGTGCTAAGAATCCAGGTTGCTAAGGAACATGCAAGAATCTTATCACATGGGACGATCCCTAACAATGCGAAAGACTGTTTTCACATAAATTGGAAGTGAAAAGAAGTGTTATCTACCCCTGGGAATTCATTTGACTTGGGGGCATACAGATTCAGAACACCTGGGTTGGAATTCAGCTCTGCCCATTAGCAATGTGACTTTGGACAGATTCCTTCACCTCTCTATTCATGAGTTTTCCAACCTGTAAAAGAAAATCATGGTGCCCACCCATCAGGTTGGTTTAAGTATTGAATGAGATCCTGTGTGCAGCAGGTACAGAGAGCACAGGAACCAAAGGTGAGACATGATGTGGGCTGCTGCTGGAGAGCATGCGTATCTGCACAGGCCTGGGGGGGGGAGGGGCAGGATACTGGCAGATTTCTACCTCTTATAGAGTGAGCATCCCCTTATCTGACTTAAAGAGAAGCTAGGGCATTTGGACTAGCCATCTGATCCAAAATTTGCATTAATAGAGAAACTACATCTACCATAAACCTATAACTCATTTTTTAAGAAATATTTGGGCTTTAACACACAAAAGAGACACTAGTGATGCACACACAGTGGGCAGGCCATGTGAGGACACAGTAAGAAGCCCACAGTGACCTGCAAGCCCAGGAGGGAGGCCTCGGAAGAATATGGCACCTTGATCTTGGACTTCCACCCTCAGAATTGTGAAAAGATAAATTTTTGTCATTGTTTGAAAAATAATAATAATAATAAAAGCAGTTGAACTTTTTGAAGTACTCCTAAAGCTCAGCAGCTTCAGGAAATGGCAGGATCTTTCTCTGATAAATCAGATGATGACTCCGGAAAGGTTGTGGAGCTCACAGCACGTCCACACCATCATCTGGGACATCAATTATGCAGCCTGTGGGTGGGGCTTGGAGAAGGCCCATGGGGGCAGATTCCCAGTTGAAAGGATGGATAGTAGATGCCCTTGATCTTAGAAAAATTGTCCCGCAATAACCCTGTGCAGTTCTCATATGCACCTGCCATCTCTTTGTTTCCAGGAGCTTCCCAAGAACCCGAAAACTTCCCAGTATTTCTTCCAGCTGCTGGTAAGAATACCGTGTGTCTGTCTTGCTATTCCAGCTGGGTCTCAAGCCTCTGGAGTAGGGGAGGGGGGAAGAAAGTCTGGAGCCCTGGACTTCTGGAGCAGGCTCTGTGTTGGTCATTGGTGAACTTTTCAGACCACAGGTAGGCAGTGTGAAAGAGTGAAAAATGTCCCTGTGGCCCATTCTACACTTAAGAATGTGGCACGTGAAAAAACTGCCATTGTGCCAGTGGAAAAAGGAAGCATTATGGGGCAACTGGTTAACTCTTTGAGTGAAAATGCTATGTTAGATCTTTCTGCACACTACATATCTAAGTTCCAGATACGTTAAGAAGAAAAGATAAAAATCCAGAGGAATGAAATCATAAAAATTAGACAAAAATATAACCATATGTTGTTAATTTAGCGACAAGACAGAACAGTTAAGCAAATCATCTTATAACTTATATTTGTATTATTATCCCAAGTACATAAAATACTTACATGTGCAAGAGACACTGGAAAGGAACACCCAAAAATGACAGGGGATGAGGTTATGGGTAGTGATTTTATTCTTCAGGCTATATTTTCAGATCTCTAATACAATAAGCATTATGCTACTTGGATAACCAGGTAAAATTAAACTTTATTTCAATGATAACAAATCTGAATGTATTTGAATCAGATACTAAATGAAGCACAGGTCTCCCCACCCAATGTTCACGCCCTCTGCCACCACCATCTGCCTCCTCTGCTCTTGGCTTGAGCCCCTCCCTGTATGTCTGTCGAGTCTGTGGAACGTGTCCCCCCTTCCTCCCCACAGGAGCATTCCGTACGAGACCTGGCTGGTCCGGGCCCCTTCACCGTTTTTGCGCCTTCATCTACAGCCTTTGATGAGGACCTGCGGGTAAGCGTGAAGCTTGGGCTGGTGGCAGAGGCCTGGGACTGGAACATGGTCTCTGGTGTCACCCTGGAGCCGACAGTGGAGACATCTCTCAGCGGGAGGTTTAAGATCAGCTGGAGCTGACCGACAAGGAAGGGACTGCCTCTCAGGATAGGGACTCGGTCAAGTGGATTTGGGGTAACCACTGGCCGGAGCCCCTCTAAAGGACATTCCTGAATAAAGTAGGAGGTTGAAAAAGATCAGCAATTCTCAACTGATCCAAACTTCCCATCAACACAAAAAGGGGGAAGGACTAAAGGAATTTAAATATTTTTTTCCTTGCAGGACTTAAAGAACCTTTAATATCCTGACATTCACTGGGACTCTTCATGCGGGGCTGCCTATTAATATATCATCATACAGCAAATGTTGACTGAATGTACCAGACACTATTTCCAGCCCCATCAGCTGAGTGCTATTACTATCCCCATTTTACAGTCAAGGACACTGAGAGGAGTAACTTTTCCAAAGTGACCCGGCCAGCCGATGGTGGCACAAGGACCCAAACGTGCCCCTAGCACCTGTGCCCTTAGCCACCACACACACGGCCTCTCTCTGCGTGTACTTGGAGCTCCAGCAGAGCAGGGACACAAAAGTAATTTTTGAAAAACATTGACACTTGATTGGTTTTTAAAAATATCAAAGGAGTTATCTAAAAACAGTGCGAACCACGTGGCTCTTTATTACACCTACTGTGCAGGTATTTTTGTTTGCATTTTCATTCACAAGCAGAGGGGCATCGTGGCCTCTCACGTCCTAAAGATTTCAGTCTGGCCCAGGTGACCTCTCTGGGAGAGGACACAAATGTGGTGTCTCCCAGTACTTTTCACAAGAAAACTCTTTTTTTTTTTTCTTTTTTTCTCAAATGGCATCTCACAGGACTCAGGGTCCTTGCCACATGTGAAATGCTGGGCAGAAGGAACCCCGAGTACTCTTCCCCTCCGAGGTCCTGCAGTGGAAGCCGGACAGGAACTAGGGCCACTTTCCCCTCTTGTCCGAGCAGCCTCCAACCTCCCACCCTGACCACAAGCCAGCCCTGGCCCCTGCCTCCCAGGGCCCAGGTGGGGACAGATGGCGGAAGGCGCATGGAGGACAGGACAGCCAATGGGCAAGTGCGAGCAAAGGCTCCTGGCCCTGGCAGGGACCCTCGGACCTTGTATTTCAGATTAAAGACTGGGACAAACAGGGCCTAATGCCCCAGGTTCTCCGGTACCATGTGGTCGCCTGCCACCAACTGCTCCTGGAAAACCTGAAACTGATCCCAAACGCAACTTCTCTCCAAGGGGAATCAATTGCCATCTCTGTCTCTCAGGTAAGGAAAGCCACTTCAGGAAGGTGGCCCTTCTCCTAGGGCCTCCCTTCCTCTCCCCTTCCTCAGAGTAACACCAGGGACAGTAAAAGCACAACAGCAATAACGAACACAGGTTGGGTGATCTCTGTATGACAGGTACCAAGTGTTTCATACATACTCATCTGATACTCAAAATAACCCCATAATGTAGATACTGTCCTTTTCCTCAATTTATAAATTAGAAAACTGAGCTCAGAGGAGTTGCAGGAGTCACGTAGGAAGTAAACCATAGAGCTGGAATTCAGACTCAGAGGCGGGGCAACTTCAGGTTGACAGACCTGTTTTGGCAGCACCAATCAGAAGCTGGAGAAGGATGGAAGCTTTTGATCAAAGCCACTTAACCATGCCGGCCCACTCCCGCCCTGCCACAGGGAAACAAATGACAGCCTTCGGGCCCACTGCCAAGGGGGCGAGGTGTGTGGTGGGTGGGACAGAAGGGGGGCGCTGGCGATCCAGGGAGCAATGCCAGCGAGAAGCCAATTTTGGTCTGCTCACTATTTCACATTTAAGAATCACAGTGAAAGGACTGTTTTGGTTGATTACTTGCTATTCATGTCTCCAGGTAAAAACTGCATTCTCGTCTCAGTTCCCTTTTTTTTTTATCACCATAACAAGAAATGTGCTAAACGTGGACCTTCAGATTTCTCCCACAGATCTGCTTAAACACGCACTTTTAGGAGAATTTAAGGGGTTGGCGAACATTTGGGAAGCAGTAACTGTGTGTCTATTTCTGTTTGCGCTCATTTTTTCCCTTTCCGGTCGACTTCAGGACACTGTGCATATAAATAATAAAGCTAAAATCATATCCAGTGATCTCATCAGCACCAATGGAGTCATCCACATCATAGACAAGTTGCTGTCTCCCCAAAACTTGCTCATCACCCCTAGAGACGCTGCTGGAAGGATTCTGGTGGGTGAACTCACGGTCACACTCAGCACAGAGTGACTCATAATACTAATAATTTGGTATTTCAATTCTGATTTTGGGGCATCATTTTGAGACACTTTAATTTTGCTGCTTCAGCTATGAAAAGCCTAGTAAATATTATTCTCTGAAAGAAGCAAATAAGTCTATTTTAAAGAGATAAGTGGATTGTATCCGTTTTTTCTGTGTCCACAAGGGCAAGAGGTTTCCCACAGGTTTGGAAAATGGAGAAATTATGTAAATGGATGGTGATAAATGATAGGTAGGTAGGTAGGTAGGTAGGTAGATAGATAGATAGATAGATAGACAGATAGATAGATAGATAGATAGATACCACTACAACTAGAACTGGAGTAAAACTCCCTCTCAATTGACAAAAAAAGACAATCTTAACTTTTTATTGTTATTTATTCATATTGGCCAGAGTTCTTCATTGTAGACAACAGAATTCACTATACCTACATGAGAAGGAGTTTCTTAGGATATTCACATCCCCCAAGCTCTCCTGATTCAGGTGCGGCTCAGCTGGGCACAAAGCAGCCTGAGGGCCTCTACAGAGGAAAGACCCCTGGCGTCCCCTCCGTAAGCTGTGCCAGAGCCACCTGTCTCCGGCCTCACCACCTAGGACACAGGGTCTGGACACTCATGTCTCACCATGTGTTTGTCAGAAGATCTGATCTCCCTGCCAGCAGCCACTGCCCCACTTCCTGTTGTCTCTTTCCACCCGTGAGCCTTGCACAAGCACCTCTCCTTGGAGGACCCTCTATCACATGAGGCTCCAGCTGCAAGGCAGTCTGGGAAATGCAATGCTTAGCCTTCCAGCCTCTATAATGCAGAAAGTCAAGGGTAGACTGGAGCTGGGGTGGGTGCCAATGAACCAATCCATGGTACCTGCCATGTTATCTTACCCTCACACTGCATTCAGTTGAGTTTTCGTTGAAGTGTTTTGTGAAGTGCATGAGGAAAGATATCATTCCTGTTATTATTTTTCCAGCAAAACCTTACAACAGTGGCAGAGAACCATGGCTACATCAAATTTAGCAACTTATTACAGGTAAAAACCTCGGAGGACAGTTACCTCAGGGGATAACCTGACTAAAGAGGTTTGTTTTAGAGGTTTTATGTTTGTTTCTGGTTTTTGCCGTTAGCATGTGTGTGTGTATGTGTTTGTGTGTGTGTGTTTTGTTTGCGTGGGGCACTAGCCAGCTGTTCTGGGATCTGTGTGGGGAAGTCCTAATTTTCTAGAGAACAAAGTCATTCTCTGCCACTCCCTCCCCAAAATGTAGTAGGGTTTGTTCAGCTATATAGTGCACAGTGACCAAGTTAGAAATTGAAGTATATGGGGTTGGAAGAAGAGAAAGGAATTAGGGTGTGCCAGACCCTGGACAGGGGGCTTCCCATTTGGCGTTACCACCTCCATGAGAGCGATGGGGACCTGAGGCTCAGAGTCAGGGAACCCACATCCATGAGACAGGTAGAAGTTGCATTTAAAACCGTATCTTTCTGACTTCAGAGCCTGTTCACACAAATTGAATAGAAAAACTTCTTGTTTAAACAAATATTGCAGAGGATCGGGGGTTTCCAAGCCCCCTCTCCTCCTGCTCCAAGGAGTCCCAGGAGGCCTCTAAGAACCCTAGCCCCCCTCCAACCGCCTCCCTCCCGCAGCAGAGCACCATCTAGGACTCTCTGTTGACCAAGGAATTTCCAGACTATCTGGGGCTCACACTCTCTGGGCAGCTTTTAAGAAATGGAGATTTCGAGATGTTCAAAATGAGAACCCCAGGGGTGTTACAGACCAGTAATCTTTGCTCACCCACCGCCTCCCAAAACCTTAGGGTCCCTGCCACACCCGGGCATCAGGTCTAGTTGAACACAGGCTTTTATGGTAAGTTAGGAAATCTCTCTGGGGTTGACTGAAAGGGAATAATAAAGCCTACTTCACACGGTTGTTGGAAAAATTACAAGAAAAAATGTATATGATGCACCCAGGTTGCAGAAAGCTCTCCGATGATCCCTCTGCATTCATCTGGCAATTTCTTTTTTGGGTCTTTGTGATCTAGAAATCTTATTATAAATACACAGGAAGATCTCAGTATTGGATCGGTTTTACTTTTTTTAATGAAATATGAGAAAAGTACTAAATGGGTCTTCCAGAAATTAAAGTATTTGGTCAAGAGTAAAAAGAAAAAAATTGTAAGATGCTCACTAAAGTTAATTTTCCTATTAACAAAGCTCAGAGTTTGACTTCCCGTTTTGCTTTCTATGAAAATGAGGTTCCAAGTAGCTGGAATACGATGGGCCTCTGGTTTCTGGCTGTGCCACGGGAGGTCATGGGGGGTGGGGACCAGCTGCCTTTAGTCTTCCCCACAGACTGGGTTTTGCTGAGGAGGTGACCAAACCTGTGTTTCAGGATGCTGGCTTGCTAAGCATCATCACTGACCCTATCCACACTCCGATCACTCTCTTCTGGCCCACGGACCAAGCCCTCCAAGCCCTGTCCCCTGAGCAACAAGATTTCCTGTTCAACCAAGACAACAAGGACAAGCTGAAGGAATATCTAAAGTTCCATGTGATCCGAGATGCCAAGGTATTGGTGTTAACGTTTTTATGCAGATGTGAGTGCAGGGGAGCCCCAGGGGTGACGCAGTCCAGGAACTGGGAGAGCAGCCCCTGTCCCATTGTGTCCTCTGACCGGCCGTCATGAATTGACCCCTGCAGTATACCACGCCTCATTCTGTTTCTCCAACCTGCCGGTGTCTTTCCAACTTTCACTGATAGCAAGAGCGGCAGGTCTGCCTTGCACAGCAGAGCCGCTTTACCGCCTCCATCATTCACACCGCGAAACAGCTGCTGACAGCAGTCCCCACGTGTCTCCACATGGACTCTGTCCCAGTTCCGCAACTCCAAGGCAAAGGGCTGACTCATGCACCGCAGTCAGCTGTTTATTGCTGAACCAGTATACCGCACTCCGGGAATCGAGATCTTGCAGGAACGTGGCAGATCTCGCTATAACCCTGTCACTTTGGGTCCCCGACCAGGACCCTTGTTCCTCTCTGGGACTGAATTTGTCCAATCCAAAAACGCCAAATGTCCACACTTTGGTTCATTCATAGCATCCGTATTAGTTTCCTGGGGCTGCTGTAACAAACGACCACAAACTGGGTGACTCGGAACAACTGGAATTGACTCTCTCTGAGTTCTGGAGGCTGGATAATGGAAATCAAGATGCTGATATGGTTGTCCCTTCTAGAGGCTCTAACGGACCATCTGCTCCGCACTGCCCTCCTAGCTCCTGGGTGGCTGCCAATCCTCAGCACTCCTGGGCTTGTAGCCACGCCCCACCAGCCTCCGTTGGCACAAGGCTCTCTTCTCCCTGAGTGTGTCTGTGTCTTCACAGGGCATTCTCTTCTCTCTTCTTATAAGGACACCAGTCACACTGGATTAAAGGCCCACTCTACTTGAGTGTGCTTTCATCTTGGCTAATTGCATCTGCAATGATCTTATTTCTAAGTAAGATCACATTCTAAAGTAGTGGGGTCAGGGCTCTGACTTTGGGGTGGGGGACATAGCTCCACCTGTAACAGCGCCATCTCCCTAACCCACTCATCCTGCCATTGGCTTCACACACCAAGGGAGCACCTTCCGTGGACTCCCAGGCACAGATGGGAGACGGAAGGGTGACTGAACCAAAACCAGCTGTTGGAAACTCTCCCTGCAGAAAGAATTTCCAAGCTCCAGAGGGCCTGGGCTAATTATTCTTTTTGACTATACCTGCTGTCATTTGTAAAGCTGGAATTATTAGAACTCTTGGGAAAACTTGTGTCTGAATTTGGTTTGTTGGCAAAGATCCTTGGGGCCCTTCCTCAGCCCAAATTCAAGGTATTGATATGGCATCCTCACTGCCACAGGTTTTAGCGGTGGACCTGCCCAGATATGGCTTCCTGAAGACCCTGCAAGGCTCAGAGCTGAGTGTGCGGTGCGGAGCTGACAGTGACATCGTGAGTGTTGTCGTACCGGTGGGGGCTGCGGACACACTGTCCGCACTCCCCCACTGCTCCCCTTTCAACGTGTTCATTTTTTTCTCCTATCACTGACAGCAAGCTCTTTTCCCTCACTGCCTTGAGAGGTAGTTCCCTGAAAGTAAGTAAGTGGATGTGGAAAACCTGATGCACCCTGGCCCACCTATGCCCTGGGAGCAGACATCAAGGAGCCCCCTCTGTTGGACATGTGGCAAGCAGCTTTTAGAGTTAGTTAGTTAGTTAGTTAGTTAGTTAGTTAGTTAGTTAGTTAGTTAGTTAGTTATTGGAGGAGCATTTCTTTTCTAGTGTGAGACACTTCCCTGAAGCAGAAAAGGACACTCATTCCTTCCCTTTTCTTCCTAGCCTCCCTGTGACATCGTCTCCAGCCCTCTCTTGGTCAGAATCAGCTCCCAGCTATTGCTTCTTGAATCAGTCAACAGAGTGAAAGTTTGCAATTTCTACCTGCCCTGGCTGGTTCCTGAACCATTTGACCTTCCTCTACTTCCCTATAATGAATGGATATGATAGGATAATAGTTGCTACATCCTATATCCCGCATATAAAGCAAAACCCAAAATGACAGTGACTTAAATATACAGGGGTTTATCTCTTTTATAAAAGAAGTAAGGAGGTGGTCCATCCAGAGCTAGTATGATGGCTCAATAGAAGAGCTCCTTTTGTCTTTCTGCTCTTTGCCACATGTTTTCTGCTGCAAAGTAACCTCAGGGTCCAACATAGCTACTGGAGCTCCAGCCACCACATCCACTTTCCAGATAGTAAGTAAGAAATAGCAAAAGGGATACAGCTTCCAGATGAGTTGATTCCCTTCAAAGAGCCTTCTGGGAAGGCCCATACAACTTTCTGTTTATAACTGACAACCAGCCAGAATCCCTTTGGTGTTTGGATTGGAATTGCATTGAATTTATAGCTGAATATGAAGAATGTTAGCGTATTTACGTTCCAGCTTCTGGAAAGTTACCCCAGTGTATTTACTCTGGGCATCAGCTGTATTATCTCCATAGACAAAAGTGGATGCCAGTCAAAGAAGTATAGGAATGCCCACTGCTTGTTCATGGGCTAATACAGCTTTAGGAGAAGTTTGCAATGTATTGTTTAGTTTGATCTTTATTAACAACCCTATGTAATGGAATCATTAATCCTACATATCTGGTAAGGCAAACTAAACCTCAGAGAAGCCCGCCGACTTGCCCAGCCACAGAGTGATGAGTAGAATTGGGGGAATTTAACCAGTTTTCCAGTGTTCTTTCCACTGAATCTCATTGTGTCTATCGCATCATAGATGCTGAGATTTATCTTTTTTTTCTTTCAAGCAACTTTCTAAAAATTTTTTGCTTCCTGTGGGGGAGGAATGTATCCATCAACTTTGCGGGGTGGACCTTACGAAGAAAAGGGGTAGGACTGTTGCAGCATGAAATGAAGTTACGCATCTAAAGCCCAATGTAGACAATGCCTAGAACATTTGAAGAAAAAGTTATCATTTTCATTACAAAGGTAAAGTCCATCACTTGTATCTCCTGGAAAGAAAGTTGTGTCAGGTACTTTGCTGGGTGCTGGCACTAAATAAGAAAACTGGGTTGCTGCACAGGAAGTGGCCATATCAACAAAGTTTATCCTGAACCACAGCCAGGTCACCCCTTCTCCGCTGTGTCACCTCCTCACCACTGTTTTTGCTGTGGCACAGACGGTGCCACAGAGTGGCCAAGTGTGGGCTCGGGGGCTGACTGCCTGGTGTGAATGCCTGCACCACCGCTTCCTGCTCAGTGACCTTGGGCAAGTTATTTAACCTCTTGCTGCCTCAGTTTCCTTACCTGGAAATGGGAATACTAGCAATAGTAGCTACATCCTAGGGTTGTTGGGAAGAATAAAAAAATTTGCACAGGTAAAGCACATACAACTATACTTGGCACATAATATGCACTGAGTGTTTAAGATATGCAAACATGTATCTCGGTTCTTTCTGAGTCTTGCAAGTGCTGGCTACATTATATAGCCTAGGAAGAAAAGAAATCTAAGAACGATTGTTGAGTCTCTCTCTCTCTTTCTCCCCCCGCCCCTCAGGGTGAGCTCTTCCTGAATGGCCAAACGTGCAGAATTATACAACGGGAGCTCTTATTTGACCTGGGTGTGGCCTATGGCATTGACTGTCTGCTGATTAACCCCACCCTAGGGGGACGCTGTGACATTTTTACTACGTTCAACATCTCGGTCAGTCCTAAAAACACTTAACTCTTACTGTGGGGAGAGAACCTTGAGCCAAAGAACAGCCCTCATGATCCGGCACAGGCTTTGCTATAAAACTTCTGGGCCCAGGCCCCGGTGAGCCTGGGACCCAAGAGGTCAGAAGTTAAATGACAGGATTCTTCAGATTCTCAATCAACAAGCACCTACCTAGCCCTGCGCAGGCCTCACAAATGTTCATTTACCCACCCACCCACCCCTCCATTCCTGCCCTTGCTGTTAGGGAAACATCACTGGGTGCCACACATGTGTCTTGCCAGTCATTTCCAAATTCACCCACCCATTCAGCTGTTCACTCATTTATTCAACAAACATTTTTTGGGCTTCTGCTATATTAAACCACATGACATTTCCGTATTTAACAGGCTGTGACTGCAAACATGGCAATTGGACGTGGTTCAGTCTAATACTTCATGCCACCCACATCTCCACGCACATGGTTGAACTTCTATTTTAGGCCCTGAGCTGTATGAGGCATTTTCCTATCTCACACTTATTCATCCACCCAGGACCATTTTCTGAGCTTGGCTGGATGCTCCTCTTGTCCCTACAATGATCCAATAATAGAAGTAGATATCATCAACTCTAGTACATGGATTTGGAAATTGAGTGTCAAAGAGGTGAAGTGACTTACATGGCAAAGTCTGTCACCAGTTGATTTTGGTATCTGGCAACGTGTAGGCATTCATAAATATCCCAAATTAGTAGGGTACCTGTCAGCCAGAGTCGGAGATGAAAACCCAGTTGTCCTTTCTGCTATGGAGGTGGTGGCCTTCTTAATTTCCAAAGTATATTCACATACATTTTTTTCAGTTACTCATTTTTTCTTGCCAATCCCCTGAAGATTAAATAGCATCAAGAATTATTATCCCTGTTTTATAGATCAGAAACCTAGGGATCAAAGAATGTGATTGGCCAGAAGCACCCCAGCGGGTCCGTAACTGTACTGACTCCTGTGTCCACAGTCCCCACTGTATACCACAAGCCTGCGTGAGGCTGCCCCAGTCCACCTCCACCGAGCAGGGGACTTTTCATCTCCAAGAACTAAACAAGGAACTGAGGTCCAAGGCAGAATGCGTGGACCTTGAGAATTCTCCATGGCAACGTTGCCATGTGTTTCCTTTTATATTATTGGCCATAGCCAGAATCTTAATCAAGATTCAGTTCTTAGTGAACTCATTGAGACATTCACCCGGGGCATTTCCTTGTGTTCCCCAATAGTCTTGATTTTTAAGTGTTTTTGGGTTTTTTTTGCCTCCTAGGGGGATTGTGGGAGCTGTTCCTATACTCCCAGATGCCCCAGGTGGACGAAACCAAAGGTAATTATGAATGCAGAGATGACACTTACATTTCATTATCAGACCCCAGTCTTCTGGTAGGCGTGTGCATGCATCGTGTAACTGTAATTTACACTGTACTTTTCAACCAGGCCAATGGGTGAGAGATGAACATTCTTTTCTTTAAACATTTTTTAACGATTTTATTTATTTATTTTTAGAGGGAGGGGAAGGGAGGAAAAAAGAGAGGGAGAGAAACATCTGTGTGTGATCAGTTGCTTCTTGCATGCCCCCAACTGGGGACCTGGCCTGCAACCTGGGCGTGTGCCCTGAGGCATGTGCCCTGACTAGGTATTGAACCAGCGACCTTTTCATTCACAAGCGAGCACTCTATCCACTGAGCCGCAATAGCCAGGGTGAGAAATGAACATTCTTAATCCAGGCAACCTATCAACCCACTACCCGTCTTCTAGGAACTGTCTAGAAAAGCCATGGAAGTGTAGGCCTAGAAGGGACTTCAAAGATAATTATAATGATAAAAATAATGATTTGGCTAGCTGCTAATTCATGTCCCTATTCCTCATTATAACACTCGTAAGAAGCTAGTATCATCTCCACTTATGGAAAATATGCATTTCAGAGAGGGTAAGCAACCAGCCAAGATCACACAGCTTGTAAGGAGCAAAGCCAGCAGTAGAGTCCAGAAAGCAACGTAGAAGTAATGGTTCAGTCGATGAGCTTTGGAGTTCGTAGCTATGGGGTCATATTTCAGTGGGTAGTCTTTGGCAAATCACATAATCTGTACATTTTTACCTCTGTAAAATAGAGCTAATAACTATGCAATATATGGGTATTAGGAAAAGTACGTTTTAAAATGTGAGCACAGAGCTTGCCACATACTAAGTGTTCATTAAATACTGGTTTTGTTACTGATTCCAAAGCCAAGTTCTTTCTATTCTACTAGGAAAACCTCTAACGAAAACACCCTTGCAAAACAAAATGTAACTCCTACCCCCCCTTCCCTGTCTTGCCTGATAGCAAGACCCCTCCCATGATAGAAAGCTACCTGGCCCCGCCCCACCCTCTCAGGGACAACCACATCCCTTGCAAACACCCTAAGGGCCTTAAGACTGGAGAGAAGTCTTTCTCGCCTGCACCCTCCCCCTTCATTTGCCTGTCTAAGGCTCCAAGAAAAGATTCCCTGTAAAGACCACTGAGTCCCATTTTCCACTTGGGCACTCCCAGACCCCCTACTAGAAGCAGGCAAGGAACCCAGGAGCCCAAGTTCAGGCTTGGAAGGCAGAGGGACAGTTTGTTCTCTTCCTTCAGGGCGTGAAGCAGAGGTGTCTATACAACCTGTCCTTCAAGAGCAATGTGGAAGGCTGCCGGCAGCAGTGTGCCCTGGTGATCCAGCTGTCCAGGTGCTGCAAGGGCTACTTCGGGAGAGACTGCCAGGGTGAGGGCACCTCTTCTCGCCGTGAGATTCCGAATGGATCTCAGGATCACTATGCAGCATCCAGAAGTTTTAAAATTATAAAGTGTGTATTTTGGGGAGATGGTGAGACATATCCTCTGAATGGCGCCTCTAAGATCCCAAAGCAACCATTCTGAATAGCTGTGTAGCTTTTCTTCGACTTTTTCCTTTTGCGCTACTTTGTTTTTGACAGAGTTGAGAGTCTACTCAGCTCTGTGCATGGACTGTGATTGTGTAGCAGGCATCTGTGCTTCCCACTACAGCATAAGACACTCCCCACGTATGGCGCTACAAACACCAGATTTCATTTATCACTCTAGTCCATGACAGGATAAGCACATGAATTTAAATGCATCTCATAGAGTTCTACCCTGGCACAGTGCCACACTAATATGATACATCTGAGCCATTATTTACAGAACACCCCCCTGTTACTGGGTATAGAGCATTGCCCCCCACCCTTATCTCACCTTCAGGAAACGGAGGCCCATCCTGAAACCCCTGTGTCTAGGGACAACTCCTGGCCAGTAACACATCAGCAACAGCGGCATAACAGATGTCACGGCATTTTCCATCGGCCATGCACTGTTTTAAGTAAGCACTCCGCTTGAGTGCTACCTCCCATATGTATAATTATACTTTACTTCAAAACAATCCCTAAGAAGTAGATTATGTTGTTACCCCCATTTTACAGATGAGAAAATGGAGGCACAGGGAGAATAAGAAGTAAGCCCAAGATCCCACAATGCAGTTGTTTGTAGAAGCCAGGATTTCACCTACCAGGCATACTCTGTTTATTCTGGTTCAGCCGAGAAGATTCTGGGCTGGGGGTCCCTACAATCACCCACTCTCCACGCTCCATCACTGAAGTGTGGGCAGTCCCAAAACTCAGTGCCATCCCTTATATTTGTTCAGTGCTTTATATTTTTAAATTGTTCTCAGTTGTACTACCTCATGGGACCCTCATGTCATAATTTGGTCTAGGACATTATATCATCATCATCATCTAGAGCTAAGAGAACTGAAGCTCAGAGTGAGTCCATTATTCAGCCCAGATCTACTCAAGCCAGGTCTCCTGACCCCCAAGTGCAGTGCACAGTTTGGGGTATCACCCTGCTGAGGACAGCACACCAGATGCATTTAAGGTCATGTCCCATAAACATCGAGACACTATGGGCCTCTAGGGCCACCATCCCTCTGGGCTAACGGAAGTCGAAACCCACAGCTGAGGATGGGTCAGCAGCGCGTTTACAAATTCTGGGGAGACTGCTGAGTCCCTGCTATCTCATCCCTTCCAGCCTGCCCTGGAGGACCGGAGACCCCGTGTAATAACCGGGGTGTCTGCCTTGATCACTACTCAGCCACGGGAGAGTGTAAATGCAACACCGGCTTCAACGGGACCGCGTGTGAGCTGTGCTGGCCAGGGAGATTCGGGCCCGACTGTCAGCGTATGTGACACCTCTGCCTCCGTGTTCAGCCTGCTGTTTCCTGTTCCACACCACCCTGCTGACCTGAAACCGTCCTCCTTCCCCCCTCTCCCCAGCACACGTCCCCCGACCCAGGTCTACTAGCCCTTACATGCTTTTTCCCTCCTTGGATGTACTCCCAGTTCCATCTGCTGAAAGAGCTTCATCTCTAAGGAGTGAAGCTCACATCCCTGCAGCCTCCAAGGCAAGCAGCGTTCATTCATTCAGTTATTTGACCAACATATATCACTCAGTCCTTACTAATATGGACTAATATCGATAGCTAATAGTTTATGGAGTGTCTACTATGTGCCAGGCAGATATGTTTTACCACTGAATTCTCACAATAACACTTTGAGATTGGTACTGTTATCATTCCCAGTTAGCAGATGAGGAAACCGAGGCACAAAGAGGTTCACTGATTTGCTCAAAAGCCAGGAATGGTTCTAAGATGTAAGGATACGGTGGTGTAAGAGGGGCAAAATCCCAGCTCTCAAAGAGTGTGCATTCAAAGGGAGGAAACAGACAAAAACTGCAGGAACAAAACTAGTCGTAAAGGTATAAATAAAAAGAAGCAGGTAAAGGGAATGGTGGAACAGAGATGAGCAAGGGCAAAGCCCCCAAAGCAGGACCAGGCTGGGCATGAAACAGACAGCGAAGAGGCCAGGGTGACTGAGCACAGCGAGCAAAGAAGGGAGGGAGGAACGAAACCTGAAGGTTGCCAGGGGCCAAATCACATGGAAGCTTCTCGGGCAGAGAAAGAACTACAGCGTCTCTTCTGTGCGATGGGTGGCCAGGGGAGGGTCATGAATGGAGAAGCGTCATGTGCAGATTAGAGGGATCACTCCAGCTGCCCTGTGGAGAACACACTGCAGGGAGCAAGTGCAGAGGCAGGGTCACCTCTGGGGAAGCTGATGCCACAATCTCGGTGAGAGCTGGTGCTGCCTTGGGCCACGGTGGTGGAGCTGGGGGTGGCGAGAAGTGGAAGAGTTGGTACGGATCTTGCAGATTTTACTGTTAAATAGGTTTCTCTGTTAGGAGGCTCCAGACAAGGTTCTCTGCCCCTCCTACTCTGTTACATACCCATCACATTCTCTGCTTCTGTGTTTATGATACTCACCGTATTTATAATTATGTGTTCAATAGCTAGTCAATCCTACTGTAAGCTCCATGGACCTGGGACCTTGTGTCTTATGTTTTCCAGCATCACCTCATTGCCTAGCAGTGTCTGGCCCAGGATAGTCACTGAATAAGTGATCTTTTGAATGTGTGGATGGGTGAGTGAATGAATGAATGACTGTGGCATGAGGAAGGTGCCTCCCACATTGGCAACACAGCCAATGGGTTGGATTTCAAACTCCGATCACTGATTCCCGATCACTCTGCAATTTGCTTTACAGCCTGTGGCTGCTCGGACCATGGCCAGTGTGATGAGGGGATCACGGGCTCTGGGCAGTGCCTCTGTGAAGCAGGGTGGACCGGCCGCTTCTGTGACACACAGACAGGTCTGTCATGGGAGTGGGCAGCCACCAGCAGCCCCGGACTGTAGTGGACCCAGCTGAGAGCTCCCAACTGAGGTTGGGTTTGAGTAACACCTGGACAAGAAAAAAGACAAGACAGATGTTCCCTTTTCCACGTGGAAAAGATGGTATGACTATGCAGGCCTCAGGAGGTGTGGTGACTTGAAGGAAAAGTAGATGAACATATTTAATTCAATGGAACTGGTGTGCAATCACAGAAGGACCCCCCCCCCCCTCAGGCACAGAATGCAGAATGGGGCAGGAATGGCGCCTTGGGATCCGGGTCCTGGGCCCAGAGGCTGAGCGGTTTCATAGAAAAGGCACAGTCTGGAATCCCCCGTCTGACCCCTGACTCTGCTCCTAACCAGACACATGGCTCCAGATCACCCGCCTGCTCTGAGCCTTGATGTGCTCATCCTTGGAAAGAAGTGTGTGCGTTACACATTTTACAGTGGGAAGATGGTTGTGAGGGTCAGAGGTCATGCTTTGAAGTGCCCAGCATACGTGGGCCCTTACAAACAGTAGCCGCCATTATCATGCCCTCATTGTCATTGTCATCGTTGTCTTGATACTTACTGAGCAGTCATTTTTCTGAGGCCTCCCTTCTGTCAAAGAAGGATGTTCCAACAACCTTCAAGGTTCCAACACATTGCTGGTAGAAGGTCTGAGACATAAAGTTTGAACTATCTAATGTGAATCACTGTTATTTCATCCTCCTTGGGGTCCCAAGGCCAGACTAGGCTCCTCTGCTGGACTTCAGCAACCTGAAATTCCAGAATTCCAACAATGCCCTTATTTCAGTTCCTCTTCCTCCCCCTCCTGCCCCTCTAACCCCCGACTGCCTCATGGCTTCACGTGGCCTATTGATGCTGCAGCCCCGTCCGATCCCCAAAGCTCCAGACCTCTGCCTCCATGGAATTTCTCCTCCAATTTAACCATCTCTGTCTGGAACCCCATGCCCTTAGGACCAGGGCAGTAATCTGCCAAATTCACCTCTATTAGCAAACTTTGAAGTATGACGTTTTCCTTGGTTGCCCCCGAAAATAACATAATTGCATTTTAATCTGATTAACATTGCAATGATAATGTCTTAATATAAAGGAGTGATTCCAGAATCTCTGAATCTCCAGGCAAGATTAGCAAAGCACCCCACCTTCCCCCTAGGCAGGGACCCGTTTGAAACACAGTGGCAGCCCAGAGACAGTCTTAGGGAGACGTGTTCAGTGGGTCTCTTCTCACCGTGACTCAAGATGAATGATGACCTTTTCTTTTGTAGTTTTGCCCCCCGTGTGCACACCTCCTTGTTCTGCTTATGCTACCTGTAAGGAGAACAACACGTGCGAGTGCAACCTGAACTACGAAGGTGACGGAGTGACGTGCACAGGTGGGTGCCCTTTGCGCATGCGTGAAGCAGCAGCGTGATGCGGATGCGGAGCGGGACTCAGTCACAGTGTCTGGGCTCCATCCTGGCCTTTCTATTCTGCCCGGGCCCCTTGGCAATACCTGCCTTCTCTGCGGCTCAGTTTCCTTAATGGGTCTGCTTACGCCTGAGCTCATGACTTGAAATTGCTTCACAAACTGTGATGCACTTTATTTTATAATGTTTGTCTAACTGTATGAGGAATCCAGTCTTCCTTCAAATTACTCAGAAAATACACTCCAGTGTGAAAAAGAAGAAAAGTTAAACCTACACATACTCTCACCACTCAGTGAGAACCACTCTGAACATTGTAATGTCTGTCTTAGTAGCCAGGATATGGGTTCAGCCACACAGAGACCCAAAGGAACAGTGCCATTAATAAGACTAATATTTAGTATTTAGATGTTCATTTTCATCTCACATAACTATTTGAATGGAGGCATCCAGAGCTAACACGGGGTGTCACTCTGAAAGGTCATCTGGGATCCCAGGCTCCTTCCATCTTGTTGCTCTGCAGTCTTGCAGTCGCCTTGCCCGAGATGGCCACCACCATAAGCACCTCCCAGGATGCAGAATGGAGACAGAGAGAAGGGATATTTCAGGACACACCTAGTAGTTGCTAAAATCATGTTTGCTCCCATCTATTGGTTGGGCCCTCACTATCTGTCACTTCTAGCCTTGGGAAATGTAGTCTTTCATGGAGAAACCATGAGCCCAGCTAAAAATCTGCTATTATAGATAAAGGAGACAGTAGGTACCAGGGGAAAGTAGCAACGTTTTCATGAATAATTTATTCACACAGAGACAGACTTTCTTTACAAAACTCTTGCTATACCTGCTCTTTTGCAATCTGCCACAAGGCAGTCTAGAAGTGGCACAAGGCCCCCTACAATGGCAACAAAGTCCCAGGGCTGCCTTTCTACTCTGCCATCCTTAGGGTGAGGCCTTGTGTCCTAATGTCCCCTAATGTGGTCTCAAGTGGCCACAAGGACTCTAGGCAAAAAGGCAGGCAAGAGAAAGCAGATGGCTTTCCAGCTATTCCTTGGGGTGAGAGCTAATCTATTATTGGGTTGAAATTTGGGGGGTTGTGAAAACAAAGGTCCTAAGAGGCAGCACAACACAGTGGGGAGAGCACAGTCTTCAGAGCCAAACCAGTTTGGGTTTAAATCCCAGCTCTGCCTCATTCTCACTCTGCAAGTGTCAGTTTGTTCATCCTCAGAAAGGGGTACAACATCCACCTCACAGGTGTTCCATACCGTGCCAACTCTGCACACACATATACACACATAACTGTCCTGACGTGAAAAACCCAAACTCACACAGAAAAGTGCTACCAAAGTAGAGCCTAGAAGTATGTGAAAGGGGCAGAGGTGGACAGATGTCATCAGGCCTGGTCTATGGGGTATTAACCACAGGATATTAGGTTCGCAAATGCTAGCACAGAGGCCATGGGGCAGGGGGAAACAAGTGCTAACCTGTTGGGACCCATTGACTCCCCCCAGTGCCACTGGTCCTGGTCCTGGGGTGACCCATCCCCAATCCAAAGCCCCAGATACACAGACAGTGGCTCACACAGCCCTCTCTCCCCTGCTCTTGCAGTTGTTGATTTCTGCAAACAGAACAATGGAGGGTGTGCAAAGGTCGCCAAGTGCTCCCAGAAGGGCACAAAGGTCTCTTGCAGCTGCCCAAAGGGCTACAAGGGGGATGGCTACAGCTGCTCAGAGATAGACCCCTGTGCAGATGGCCTCAATGGTGGATGTCATGAGCATGCCATCTGCAAGATGACCGGCCCGGTGAGTCTCTCTCCCCTGAGGAAACCTGAGAGATCAGCTTCCTGTGCCTCACTCAGCCTGGCTTCTCCACTCTGCTTCCCAGTTGGCCTCTTGCTAAGCTTTCTTCCCATCTCAGTCCATTTCTTGTTAAGTCAGAAAGCCAAGGGCAAGGTGGCATCCTCAGCCAGAAAAGGACAGCATTGGAAACACTGGTGAAGTCCACATGAAGTCTATTGTTTAGTTCATAGTAAGGTACCAGCACTAATCTCACCTTTGACAACTGTATTAAGGTGATGTAAGATATTAGCATTGGGGGAACCACTGGAGAGCATATGGGAGGGACTCTCGCTGCTGTCTTTGCAGCTTTCCTCTAAATCCAAAATTATTCTAACTAAACATTTCATTAAAAAAAAAAGAGTTGGTTAAGTGTCAGGGAAAGTGCAGGTCTGGCGCCCTTGAGTCCTTTTAGAATGGAATCAGCACCCAGAGCCCTGTGCCTCTGGTGGGAGGAGAAAACAGTGGGAGACAGTGTCCACTGAGGTTATGAATGTGAACTCAGAGTCAGACAGCCTTCGGGTCTTAGCTCCAGGATTTACGTGCTGTGGGGCCTGGGGCTGGCTGCTCTGTCTCCCAGAGCCTCCATTTCCTCACTAGCAAAGTGGGCCTGATAATAAGGCAGATCTCATAGGATTGTTGTGGGGATTAAGTGAGATCATTTATTGATTCAACAAGTGGTCACCAAGCACCTACTATGTGCTGTTGCTGGGGCCAGAGACGTCACAGCGTAAAGCTTGTATGCAAGCAGAGGGAAGGATGATTCTCAGTGCAGAAACAAACACACAAGATACTTTCAGAGAGCACCAAGAGTCAGGAAGAACCTAATCCAGCCAATGAGCAAGAAGGGATTAGGGGGCTTTCTCATTATGGGGGATTAGAGAGGCTCTCTCTGAACAAGCAACATTTGAGCCAAGGTGCAAAGAATGGCATTTCCTCGTGATGCTGCACGAACACCTGACGTGGCAGTTACTCCATTCCCACTGGCCAGGAGAGGCATACGTTCCTGATCCTTCTGAACATCTCCTCCACTGGAGGGTGGCCCGCAAAGCACTGGGGGGCCTGGGGGCCCAGACAAGGGGCTTCTTCACCTTCCCCATTCTCCCCACAGAGCAAGAAGAAGTGTGAATGCAAGAGCCATTACATAGGAGACGGGGTGAGCTGCGAGCCAGAGCAGCTGCCCGTGGACCGCTGCCTACAGGACAACGGGCAGTGCCACGCGGACGCCAGCTGTGCCGACCTCCACTTCCAGGGTCAGTGGGCTAGGGGCTCCAGACCCAAACCACAGGGTCTTCGGGCAAAAGAAAAAAACAATTTAACTTTAAAGAAGTGAACATTTTCATTTCATTAAATTTTACAGTTTAATTAAAGTTTTTTTTTTAATGACATATTGGAAGCCAAACAGCCCATGCTGTCTGGTGCCCAGGAGGCAGCGGCTCCTGCAACAGAGGGGCAAGTGGGCTCAGAGCTGGACCCTGAGCTGTGAGAACCAGAAGGAGCCCCGAGGTCCTCTACCATGAATTTCCTCATCCTCGCTTTCTTCAAATTACTTAGTAATCCCTGCCACCCATCATTGTATTTGAATCTGAAGAGCACAGTTTAGGGTTTAAATAGCAAAGAGGAAGCACTGACCACATGCAGAAGCAATTCCTTAGCAGTTATTTTGATAGGAGCACATTGATTGGCTTGGGCCCCGCTTACTTCCAAGGGTGATTTGAACAGTTAATAATAAACCAAGTATAAGAAAACTAAGAAGTACAGAGATACAGCTGATAGGGCATCTTGAAACTGGACGGAGAAAAAGCATTAAGGACCCACCGGACAAATATACGATTCCACATGCTGAGACTCGGTAACTGGCCTTCCTCTGAAAGTCCTTCAAAGTTCTTTGCCGGAAGTACTGACCTGGGTGATGCCTCTCCTTCCCTATGTAGATACCACTGTTGGAGTGTTCCATCTGCGCTCCCCACTGGGCCGGTATAAGCTGACCTTTGACAAAGCCAAAGAGGCCTGTGCCAACGAAGCTGCAACCTTGGCAACCTACAACCAGCTCTCCTACGCTCAGAAGGTGGGTCCCCAAATAGTGAGCACCATGCAGGGAGGAGCTACAGGCTCTTCTTAACACAAGGACACTCATGCTGTCACCTTCTTGTAGGGGAGTGCAGGAAGCTCCTGGAGCTATAATCACAATTTGTCGCATCCATTGATGTCTGCTATGTATCAGGCACTGTGAGGGGTGGTTTGTTGACATTACTGTCATTCTTACCACGTCCCTAGAGGTATAGATGGGGCAACTAAGGCCCTAAAAGGTTAAGCAATGTGTCCAATGTCACCTAGCCAAGTGGCAGATCCAGTATCAAACGTCTGACTCCAAAAGTCTGTTCTCGACCATGACATTCAATTGCCAAGGCAGGAGGAGCGCAGACTGGGAGTGCATGCATCACAGCTGGAGACAAGAAAAAACCAATAACCGCAAGCCTGGGATCTCCCTAAACCCACAGAGCTGTTGAGTTTCTCTGGAATAGGTGGACTTCCCTGTGTCTGGAAGGGCTGAGAAGTGGGTACATGGGGGTGGCCCCAGCTCTCAGCCACAGCCAGGTAAGAAGTAGAGCTCTGGCCAGAGCTCTCTCTTGGACTCAAAAACCAGAAGCCCTGCCCATTAGGAAAGGCCAGCACCTTGGAGTTACCCAGTGATTGTTCACTGGGAGTGACCACCTACACAGGAGAGTTTAAGGACTCTTCCTCCAACCTCCATCACTACCAAATCTCTCTACCTTTCCTCAGACCTAACATTTGTTCATCAAGGAACAAAGCTTTGATGCCAGGACCCAGCATCTTGGAGGGTCTGAATTTTGGCTCTCCTGTTTTCTGGTTGTGTGGCCTTAATCAAGTCACTGCAACCTCTGTCCTGTGTACAGGACACAGTGACCAGTGTACAGTAGGACCTCGATTTTCAAGATTAAGAGCTCTGGAGTAGACTGCCTGGGTTTGAATCCCAGCTCTGCTACTTGCTGGCTGTGTGACTTGGAGCAAGTTACTTAACTCCTCTTTGCCTCCATTTTCTCATTTATATGATAGGGATTTTTTTTTAAGTTCCTATCTGAAAGGATTAATGCAAGGGTTAAAGGTGGTGACATGTAAAAAGCCCTTGCAACAGAACCTGGCCCAGAGGAAGCTCTCGGGGTGCATGATAACGATGATGGTGTTAATTATGGTGATGATGAAGGTGGTAATGGTGTTGGTGATAATGGTAAGAATGATGGTGGTGACGATGATGATGATGGTAGTGATGATCAGTTAGGGTTCTGCCAGTCCATAAGCAGAAGAATTTACACCCAGGGGGAAATGTCTGTCCTTTCTCAAGAGCAGAGAGAAGAGAAATAAGTGTGAAGGACTCAGGTACCTACAAGAAAGAGGGGGCACCACTTCAATCTATCCAATGGCTCCATCGACAAAAACTTAATGAGCACCTGCTATGTTACAGGCAGAGATGCACAATAGCAAAAATGAGCCATGACCCCTGACTCCATAGAGTTTGTAGTCTGATGGGGTGACGGACACTAACCAAAGGACTCCACAGCAGATATAAAGTGGCAGCTGACCCGTGGCCACATCTGTGTCCCTACAGGCCAGGTACCACCTCTGTTCGGCAGGCTGGATTGAGAGTGGGCGGGTTGCCTACCCCGTAGCCTATGCCTCCCAGAACTGTGGCTCTGGCATCGTTGGGATAGTCGACTATGGACTGAGAAACCAGAGTGAGATGTGGGACGTCTTCTGCTACCGGATGAAAGGTAATTATCCCACTACACTCCAGACTCCAGGCCACACAGCTGCTGAGCCACGCACAGCCTGGCCAGCCCATCTCCAAGGGTGAGGTTGGCAGCTGGGGCCTCTGCCCCACTGGAACGGGACCCCACCTGCTTCTGCCTTCCAGACGTGAACTGCACCTGCAAGAAGGGCTACGTGGGAGATGGCTTCTCATGCAGCGGGAATCTGTTGCAGGTCCTGATGTCCTTCCCCTCGCTCACAAACTTCCTGACGGTGTGTACTGTGTCTGCTCACTTTCACCTCAGGGAGGGAGGGGTTGTCTCAAAGCATGTCTTAGAGAGGTGAGTCCTTGAAAGAAGGCAGAGGCTACAGTCAAGGTTAAGAGCATGGGCACTGGAGCCCATTGCCTGGATTTGGAGCTGGAGTTTGCTCCTTGTTGCAGCACCTGAAAGTTACTTTCTTCTCTGGGCCTCTGTTTTCTCATCTATAAAACAGGGATGATGATAGCACCAACTTCACAGAATCATTGTGAGGATTAAATGAGTCAATATTTGTAAAACACTTAGACCTGAGGCCAGCATGTGGGAAGTGCCGTATTGGCGTTAGCATTGCCATCTCTGGTTGCATCTGGAGCATCGTGAGAGTCTGATTTGCAGGTCTGAGATGCTCTTTTGTCTTCACAGACAGGGTGGGACACAGTGAGCTAAGCCTGCCTGGTGATCACCCAGTGAGTCAAATTACCAACATGGTGTCGACTTGTATTTTGCACTGCACTTAAAGTCACTTCAGTCGTCCACAAAGTTATGTCTAATGAAGAGAAAGCCCCAATTGGAGGAGGGTTTGAGGTTGACTGATCAAAGATCTAGCTAATAATAACAATACCGAGAAAGCTAATATTTCCTAAGCATTTATTTTGCACTGAGCCCCTTCGGAGCACTTTTTACTCCATTCACAGAATGTAAGCTCTGTGAGGGGAAGGGTTTTCTCTCTACCTTGTGGCTTACATGTATTAGATGCTCAATAAATCCTTGTTAGAAGGAATAAATCTTCATGAAGATTTATGAGGTCACTTCTATTATTCCCATTTTGTAGATAAAGAAACTGAGGTTTAGGAAGGTCATGGACACAGCCAAGGGTAGTAGACTAGGCATAAATATAAGGCTTGTAGAAGTTAGACCAAGGACCCCAGAGTGGTGAATCTTTGTCCACAGACCAAAGGTGTTCTAACTGATCTAAAAATCAAGGTTACTATAAATAGTCTAAAGATAATCACCCAAACTCATGTTTCTGCTGTGTGGGAGCTTGTGTCAGCATTTCAGAGAAAAGACAGTGTCAGAGTAAAACCCACTAGCTGTGTGCCCTTGAGCAAGTTAATTAACCTCACTGGGCATTAGCAGTCCTGTCTACGCAATGACTCGGTGGAGCTGGGCAGTGTGATTTCTCATAATCTGTTCAATGAGTATTTATTGAGCACTTACTATGTGCTTAAGCGATATTAGTGAACACAAACAAAATAAACAAATGGAATAAACAAGTACATAGTGTTGAATGCTAGAAGGTGGTATGGGGGGAAGGGTAGGGTGGGGGGAAGGGCATCACAGGGTGTCCATTCTGCATAGAGTGACGAGGGAAGGCCTTAGTGAGAAGGTGACATTTGAGATGTGCAGATTTGAGGAAGATCGTTCAGGGAAGAAGGAAGAAGGCTAAGCAAAGGACACAAGGCAGGAGTGTGCCAGACAACTTGGAACAACAGGAAACCAGTGCGGCTGGTGTAGAGTGAGCGAGAGAGGGGACAGCCGGGTATGGGGTCAGAGGAGCTACCGTGTCCAGCTTTGGGCCTCCTGGGTCATATTAAGGACTCTGACTTTTCCTGAGTGAAGTGGGGGCCAGGGCAGGGTTTTGACAACAGGAGACTCAAGGTTTGACTTAACGTTTCAGAGGACTGGACAGATAGCCGCACCGAGAGTGCTCTGTGACGGATCTGTGATTTAGGACCACGAGATTCATTGCAGAAAGGGAAAGTGCTCCTGAAACTCTGCCAGGGTCCAGTCAGAAGAAATAGCATAACGTTCTCCAGGTCCACAAGAGAAAGACCAATACCATATGATCTCACTCTATGTGGAATCGAATGAACACACTGAACTAACAAGCAAAACAGAGACAGACTCAGACAGAGAGCAGGCTGACAGCTCTGGGGCGGAGCGGGGCGGCGCTGGGTGGCAGTGGAAGAAGGGATAAGGTGGATAAATAGTAATGGAAAAAAATAAAGCTCAAAAGGAAAACAGCAGGCTGGTGGCCACCGAGTTGGGGCTCCTAACATCACGGATATTCCCGGACGGGTGATGGGACCCTCTCCAGCCACCCCCATCCCTGCACACCACTGGCCCATCTGATCTCGTCCCTTCCCTCCCCAGGAAACGCTGGCCTACTCCAACAGCTCGGCCAGGGGCCGGACGTTTCTGAACCTCCTGACTGACCTGTCAGTCCGCGGCACACTCTTCGTGCCCCAAAACAGCGAGCCGGGAGAAAATAAGGTGAGTCGGGTCCCTGGTGTCTGTGCTGTGGACTAATTCTTCTGCCCAGTGTCAGTGACCCATCACCACAATGAGGCCATGTCATAAATCACCCCAAAACTCAGCAGCTACACATTCATTGAGCTCTCACATCGGCAGGTCAGTGGACAGTTCTTCTGGTCTTGGCCAGGCCTGCTCGTGGGCCTGACGTGGGCTGGCTCCCGGCTGATCTAGGCTGGCTGGTCTGGGGCCTTGCTCCTCGGGGCTCTCACCCTCCAGCAGGCTAGCTGGGGTGTGTTGTCATGGCAATGGCAGGATGTGGTGAGAGTAAGCCCAGTTCTGCTAGCACTTTTCAAGCCCCTGTCTGGTTACATTTGCTAATATACCACTGGCCCAATCAAGTCACACAGATGAGTCCAAAGCCACAGTGGGAGACCCTTAGAGTTACTTGGCAGAGGGCAAGGGCACAGGAAGGGGTGGAGAATGAGAGCCACTGATGCAACCAATCCGCCACCGCAAACGTCATCACGCACACGGCACGCAGAGGGATTGGCAACACTCAGCCCTCCCGCAGACGGTTGTCCTGCAGGTTCCGACAGCCCCAGGCCCTTCCCAGCCCCAGGGCCACGTGGCACAACACCTCTGCCCACTCGATACCCACTCAAGACCCACTCTTCCAGGGACACCACTGGGAAGCCCTGCTTAGAACATAAGGCTGACTCGCAATGCCACATCCTGGGACCCAGCTGGAGGGAGCCCTCTGGCAGAGCCCAGACAACCCAAAGCCTGAGATAAACCTGCCCTTTCCTGGTCACCGCAGGGGGCAGAAGATCCACGACCATGAAGGGATGGGTTTTTTTCTATGTCAGCCTTATCATTAAAAAGAAAAAATATTGCTTGGCCTTTAAAGACCGTTCTTGTGCTGCTTCTTTCCTCTCAGAAGCTGTCTGGGCGGGACATCGAGCACCACTTCACCAACGTCAACATCTTCTTTTACAATGACCTCGTCAACGGCACCATGCTGCGAACCAGGCTGGGAGGCCAGCTGCTCATCACCTCCAGCCAGAACCAGAGCCAACTGGTATGAAAAGTCTTCTGGGCTTATTAGAAGGACTGGAGATAATATATGCAAAGCTCCTAGCATACAGTGGGTGCTTAATAGATGGCGGCTATTCTAATGGGAAAGTATACTGTAAACCTGCAGGGAGGGGGTGGTATTCACTGCACACTGTAGCACACCACACTGACTGTGACTCTGCCCCTACCCATTGGGAAGTAAGCCGTTAGTGACCTCAAGCCTCAGAAGCCAGTAATGAGGAACTACAGATGCAACCACTGGAAAGCTCTCTGGTCACCGCCTTTGTTTCTGCCAGTTTGTCAGCCCATCCCAAGTGTTAACTCGTGAGCCTTGCAGTCAGGTAACCCCACAATGAAAACTACTTCTGCCCCGTACTAGTTTTAGGAACTTAGACAAGTCATCCGACTTCTCTGCATCCCAACCTCCTCATCTGAAAAGGGGGACGATGTTGATGATGTTGTCGATGGTGGTGGTAATAATTGTAATGTTTCGTCAATGGCGATCATGGTGATGGCGTTGAGGTGATGATGGTATTCTTGTCGATGATGATGGCGGTGGTGGTGATGTTAATGGGTAGGTTGGTGCTGGTGCTCATTTTGCTGCTGGAGGTGGTGGTGGCAGTGGTAGTGATGACCATGACGATGTGATGTCAGATCAAAGCATAGAGTATGCTTTGGTGGGAACTCGGTGACTCAAGGCTTCTGATGTCTGAGAATAGTGCCTGATGTGTAGCAAATGTTAATGTAAGTAAGCCCTTACTTACTTGTGTTAAATAAATATTTTTTAAATTTTTACCTAATAAAATATTTCTAATGGTTGAGGATCGGTAGTTTAGACCAGTGCTTCTCACACTTCAACAGGCATTGAAGTCCCCTGCAGGTGTGTTAAAATGCGGGTTGTGATTCAGCAAGTGGAGCGTGGGGCCTCGGGTTCTGCATGTCCAGTGAAGTCTCAGGGGACCGCCCTCACCACAAGCCAGTGGATCACACTTTGATCAGCTAGGGATTCCATCCCTTAAAAAACCCTCTCTTCTCCAGTGTGGGGTGATGTTCAGAGCAATGGATCTGGAGGCAAGGGGGCTTGCCGCTTACTACCTGGGTGATCTTGGACTGACTTTTTCCTCCTGAACCCTTACCTATCAGACAGCGGGCTTCACAGGTGACCCCTTAGGTTCTCCGCAGCTCTTGGATCAAGGTGGTTGCATGGGGGCAACTCATGTGCTCCGGGGTGAGTCCTGCTGGAGAGCGGCGTCCTGTGCTGCCCATCGGTGAACACAGGCCTGAAACCCGGGCTCCAGGGCAAAATGAACAACTTCCCTCCATGGGAGGGAAGAGCCACAACATGGGGAGGAAGAGCCAGGTGACCGCCAATCTCCGTCAGTCCTCTTCTCATTTCCCTAGGAGACCAGGTTTGTTGATGGAAGAACCATTCTGCAGTGGGACATCTTTGCTTCCAATGGGATCATCCATGTCATTTCCAGGCCTTTAAAAGCACCGCCTGTCCCACTGGTGAGTATCCAGGGTTCCCAGAGAGGGGCCAGGAAGAGCCCAATGTCCACTCTCCAAGGGGCAACTCTTGCTGGAAGCCCCTGGAGATTGGGAGAGCCTCCCCAGGTGGTGGCAGCTGGCCTTGGGGACACCTGGCCCTGGGTCAGCCCAGCCCCACTCCTGCGTATTCCCAACACAACCCCTGTCACCATCAATATTTGTCCAGTGAAAGGGACAGGATGGGCCAATGGAGAAACCGCTGGAAGGGAAGTGAGAAATCCTGAGCCCCTCCACTTCATAGCCGTGTGCTCTTGGACAAGTCCCAGAATATCTCTGAGCCCCATTTTTCTTATCTGCAAAATGAGGGTCCTAATGCCTTCCTCTCTAGGTTCTTGGGAGGACTATGAGTCAATGCAAAATAACTAGGACAGTCCCGCCCACATAGTCCATGCCCTGTAAGAGCTGGGTGGTTGATGTTGTTAGTATCCTAACCTTGTTCCAAAGTGTGAGGGGGGTGAGCACAGCCAGACGCTGGGAAGTTCCGCAGCAGAGTTAAGCTCAGCAGCTGCATAGCCAAGCTGGCTGCAAAGCCCAGCTCTACCACTCACTGGCTGTGGATACCGAGCCAGTGCCTGACCTCTCTATGCCTCGGTTTCCCCATGTAAAATGGAAATGATAATGATTGTCCCCATTTCTTTGGGCTACCATATATTTAAAAGGACTATTTCATGCAAGGAAGTAGTAGAACAGATTCTGGCAGTAGTAAGGGAAGATACATGTTAACTATTTTATCATTAATTTTATCCCAACTTGCTCCAAGATGCCCAGGCCAGCAGGCATGGGATGGGCTCTAGAAAGCACACCTGTCTGGGAAGTCATCAGATTCAAGTACCACCCCCCCTCCCCCTTCTGTGTTCAGACTGCAGCCCACACTGGCTGGGGAATGGGGATATTCTTCTCCATCCTGCTGGTCATCGGAGTCATCGCTTTGGGTGCATATTCTTACTTCCGACTGAACCGGAGAACAGTTGGCTTCCAGCGCTTTGAGGTAGGAAGGAGGGAAACGGGAACGTGGTGATGGGGGTCCTCTCCACAATCCAGCCCCTGGCTCCGGGCCACTTCAGCTGACTGGCAGCTTCCAAGACACGCCCAGCAGCGGGTGCTTGGCACACACCTCCTGCCTCCAGGGAGGGGTCTCTGCCCCTAAGAGCAACAGCAGTGGCAGCCTGGAGCCCCTCTTCCTGGCTGAGATGGAGTTTGCTCAGGAGGGTGGTGCGGCCGCCAATAAATAGCACGGATCCTCAAGCCTCTCTGCCTGGGGTCTGGCCGGGAAGCAAATTCCCTGGGGCCGGGAGGTATGCTCATCTTGGGGGATTCATGAGACAGACGCCCACCTTGATGGGCTTGGGCTGCAAGGCTGAGTGTGAGGTGGGGGACAGGGTCAGGGTCAGGGACCTGCACCGAGGGGCCTCCTGGGGCAGCCAGTGAGACACATTTCTCCCTGTTTGACTGTTGAGCCAACATCTAGGTCAGCGGGTGTTGGCTAACCGTGGAGTGAGTGACCCTGGGACCGGGTTCGCAGCCTTACGGTGGCTGAGCGCCCTCCCTTATGAACTTCCCACCCCTCCCTGGCCTCTCTTCTCCTCTGGCTGCCTCCTCCAGACACACCCAGCAAAGACCCAGCAGAGCCCCCCCAAGCAGTCCAATTCCTCCCAGCACAGGATGTCAAACTCATTTTCACCGGCGGGGGGACAGGGGTGTCACATCAGCCTCATGGTTGCCTTCAAAGGGCCAAATGTAATTTTAGGACTGTATAAATGTAACTACTCCCTAACAGTTAAACGAGAGCTCAGCGCTGCCACCAGGTAGAAACAAGGTGCCAGACCGGATAAAACAAGGTGGAGGGCCGGATTCAGCCACAGGCCTTGTGTTTGCCACCTGTGTTCTAGCAGATAACCTGCCTCAGTGTAAACCCCCGGGGCAAAGCTTCAAAAAAATGGCCATGATTTAACCACAGGTGTACACACTTCATGAACTCTTTTAAATTAAGCTCAAGGGCTAGCAAAACCACTCCAGGGTGACAGAAGTCAGAACAGCAATTACGCTGGGTGGGATTGCAACTGGGGGGTGGGGGGAGAAATGCCTGATATGCTGATTTGGGTGGTGGTTCACATCTGGGTGGACATACTAAGAAATCACTGAACACTTAAGACTGGTGCATGTCACTCTATGTAAATCAGATCTCTATTAAAGTACTGTAACGGAGGTGGAGATAGGGGCAGGGCTTGCTTTACCTGCCAACTGGGAAGGAGAAGTTCCTGCCAGGGGACATCCTGGCTCTCAGCCCTGGTGCCCGCCTTTCCAAACAGTCGGAAGAGGATATTGATGTCACAGCTCTCGGCAAGCAGCCGCCTGAGAATATCTCAAACCCCCTGTATGAGAGCACCACCCCGGCGCCCCCAGAACCTTCCTACGACCCCTTCGTGGTGAGTTTGCATTAATTATTTAGGAACAGGCTGCACTGGGGTACAGGGGAATGATGCCTTTCAGCAAATCTCAGTGGAAAGCTTCACACCAAGAAAAGCTCACCTCTAGGACGTGTCTGGGGCAACAAGCCTACACGTCAGTGTTGGGAGCAGAGGGAAGCCATGTGGTTGTTTGGTGCTCCCAGGTTTCTCTGGGTGGGTGGCAGAAGCCCCAGCAGCTGGAAGCAGGGAAGACCAGAGGTTGCCCCATGTCAACCTCATGATCAGGTGACATGTCACAAGGAGGAGGAATGCACTAAATTCTGCTGCAAATATTTGTACAGTTGCTGCTGGGAAATAAGACACAAAGCCTTTGAAATGCATGTTTCCTGAGTTATGCGCTAAACTTATTTTTACCTGGCTGCCCAAGACTGTTCTGCCTGTTCTCAGAGCAGCTTCCGGGCTTTGACGCTTCATCCCTTTGGTGAGGTTTTTTTATACCCAGGGGAGCGCACTCTGCCCTGGTTTTCCAGAAGAGGACCATTCGTTTCTGGAGTTGGTGATCCTTGAGCTTAGATGGGGCCTCCACTGACTTCAACCTGGGGGGACCCCATGGCAGGGGACCCCAGGCACACTGTGGAAAGTGCACCCTGCTTGTATCACCAGGTCTGGACTGAGAAACTAGGTATAAAATTTAATTCTTCCTTTCATATAAACATAAGAGAAGCTGGCAACCGGTGTGCTGACCGCCCTTTCGCACCTCAGCAGACTGAGCTGACGGCCTCACCCAGGGCTCGTGAAATACTTGGCTTGTGTGTGTCTAGAACATTCCAGCAATAGTAACCAAGTCCAGAGAGCTGCTGTCATTGTTTCTTGCACAGACGTATGCTGTCTTTCTCCCTCAAAGACTATATTCTGGTTGCTGAATTTTTGTGAGCTGCACTGAAACATTACAAAAACATTTTATTGCACCATTTTAAGCTCATATAGTGCCACGGACGTCATTTGTCAGCAGCGAGCTAAACAGCCATGCCTGTAGCTCGGAGTGCCTGTGGCGCTGTGGTTGTGATAGACTGGAAAGTAACTGTGTCATAAACCCTATTTTGTTTTTTAACCAAACCCAAGTGAGCATTTCTGGTCTAAACTGCAAGGGTAAGCTCAGCTAGACTGCATGAATTCATATTTTATTTCTGCAAGCATGGTGCTGAAATCAGCCTCACTTACCAAGCAGAGAAAAAGTCGCCCATCCTGTTCGCCATGCTCCAGGCCTTCTCAGCTAAGGGCTCCCCCAGCACTGCGCCTCAGATTCACCTGAGGCAGGTGAGAGAACATCCTAGATGCAGGATTCATCTAAACCTTCGGATGAGACCAGGTGGCAAAAATGTCCCAGTAACAGGAATCCTATGCCAAGGGCGCCATCCCAAAAAAGGGACGTGCTAGAATCTCATACCTTCTGTATCTGTAGCCAACCCAGACACTTCAAACACGTGCATTATGCTGATTAACAAAGTTTCAGTGCTCATCAGAGAGAAAGACGGTGGGAAGTTTTGGCAGTGGTCTCTGGAGTGGGGCTGCTGATCTACTCTCCCAGATGCTCCAGGACCACCCCTGGTTCAAGATGAATTTTCAGCCTGAAAGGAGTTTTACAGTAATCACAGGAGCAGCCACCATTTGTGGGGTGCTTACAGCTTTCTTAATGTAGTATCTAATGCAATCCTCACACCTATTACCACTTTTTATAGGCGAGGGAACTAAATAATCTGTCCAGGGCACCCAAGCTTCAAACAGCAGCAGCTGACCCCAGAGAGGGGCCCCCAACCACCAGATCACCCTGCCTCCCAACACGAGACGTGAGACGGCCGCGTGCAGGAGTGTTCCCCCCACGTGTGTGCACCGTCGGCCACGTGCAGGAGTGTTCCCCCCATGTGTGCGCACCGGCACTTGGGGGAGAGTCCTATTTTAGGCTCCAGGGCAGGGAAGAGTCTTCCTCAACCCTTTTCGAGACCCTGACTGGGTCTGAAAAGTAAACTGACAAAGACAGATTCTCAGGAGAAAGGCATATCATCATGTTATTGAATGTTTACGTGTAAATGAGAGGCTTCACAAGAGAACGAAGACCCAAAGAAGGGGCCAGAGCAGGAAGCTTTTATGCCTTTTAAATAAAGAAACGATATGTTTGTGAAGAATTGATAAGACAGAGAGGTTTGGGCCCAGGTAGTACATGGTGAAGAACTAGCTAGGAAGATAAGGGCAGTTGGCCAAGGCTGGTCTGGACAGGGTTTCTGGCCCCACCTTCCTCATCTCTGGTGGTAAGACTGCCTCCTTCCCTCCAGGGGTGAGGAGGGGACCTTCACATGGGAGTTTTATGACCTGTGTTGGGGACAGTGGGGGAGGAGGTCAGAATGACCTCCCTGCTTCTGCCATTTTAAAAAAAATTCCTTCAGCTTAAGACATTTAATATGCCAAGGTGTCCTATTTTGGGGTAGTGTGTCCTGAGCCCCAACTGGGTCTCAGACCCATGGCCAAAGGAGATGCTCAACCTGGGAAGGTCCTGAGCCCTCCAGCGTGTTTCACAGACCTCTCTTCCCCAGGACTCCTCGGAAGACCAGCAGCTGGAGGGCAGTGACCCGCTGGGGGCACTGTGACGGCCCAGCCCTGCTGCAGCCAGCCTTGCTCCGGCCACCTGGGCTACAGCAGCCTCCTCACAGGGGCTGTCAACTGTGAATCCTCAGCCCCCATTGCCTCTGGGGACCAGCAGGTCCATTAGCATTTTAAAGTATATGAAGCACCCAAGCTGTACCTCATCTCTCCGCTCCAATCTGGGGGACTATTTTGTTTCTGTGGGCGAGGGACCCTGTGAAATCCACCCACCAACTCAGGGGACTGCTCCCTCCTCCGACCTTCCGCTGTCCTTCCTGTGTGAGCTTGGATGCTCTTACTCCCTTCTCCCTGACTCGATAGTAACTGTACCTCGTCTTCCTTTCCTGTTAGAGTGTAAGCTCCCAAAGGCAGGCACCTGCCTCCTTCATCTTGTATCTCAGCCCTTAGCACAGTGTCTGGCACATGCAACGTGTTCAATAAATGTTTATGGAACAGAAACAAAGTCCGTGGAACAAATCTAGTGTTTTGGGAAACAAATAAAAATGCTCTTTGCCACTGCAGGGGTCAAGCTTCAAAGATAAAATCCACTTGCTGGACCCAACTCGGGTCTTTTCAGCTGCTGACCTCTGCCCATTAAGACTTTGTTCTTAATTCTGTTTTGCCTGTGTGTGTTAAAAAGACACAATAAACCGCAGTGACACCACTGCCCAACCACGAGGACGGCTGAAAGCAGACGGGTGGATAATGACGCGTGCTGTGAGGGCGTGGACAGACCGCAGCCCTTGTCCCCTGCTGGGCGCTGTCCCGCGGACACAGGGCGCTGCGCTGCGGGAAGTCTGCCGGTTCCTCTGAAAGTCAAACCCAGAGATACCGTGAGAGCCTCCAAGGTATACATATATATCCAAGAGAGATGAAAATATGTCCATATACACACATAAATCATGTTCAGAGAAGCGTTATTCCCAATAGCACAAAAAAATAGAAGCAACGCAAATGCCCATCAGCTTATGAACGGACAACCAAACTGTGGCATATCCAAGAATGAAATGCCATTCTACCCAAAAAGGGACCTAAAGAGCACTTAAGGGACCTAAGTGCTCAAACATGCAACGACATGGATGAACCTAGAACACACGAGACCACATACAGCACAATTCCATGCACACACAATTTCCAGAATAGGCAAGTTCAGACACAGAAGGTAGATTAATTCGTGGTAACCGGGGACTGGAGAAGGGCAGAATGGGACTAGCTGCCTTGAGGTGTGGGATTTATTTTTCGGTGATGACAACGCTCTGGAATTTTAGGGGTGATGTGCAGGACTCTCAACGCTGTGCAGATTGTCCTCGACACCAGGTTCCCACCCCCACAGTGCCTGAAGTGCCCCCATGACTGACAGCCAAACACCCTCCAACCCACCCACCACACATCTCCAAACTGCCCCGGGGTGGGGGCAGGACTGGCAGGGCATGGGAATCTCTGCGGGCACGGAGAAATGGAAGGCCGGGCTGGGCAGCTCTCGGACTCCTCTCTGTTGACCTCACGGCCCGCATAACTTTGTCCCCCATCATCGGGGGTTTTGCTACGTCAAGTCCAAAGTTCTGGAAACCCCAGAGTGTCCTGTAAGCTTCCACAACTCCAGCAAAGGGAAGAAGTTCCAGTTCCAGGCAAAGGAAGAGCCATCTCCTCTAGGGCGACATGCCATGGTGGGAGGGAAGCCGCCCTTCCAGGAAGTCAGTCGCTCCCCAGGAAGAACGTGGCACAGGTTTGCTCTGGGTCCTCCAACACCACCATCACAGGCACCCAAAGGCCAGTGACTGGCAGGACAAACAGCAGGCTACCCATGGGGCAGCGAATGTGAGCAAGGTCCTGGCAGAGGGAGAGGGGAAGGATACCACAGTGTTCAAATACAAACACACATGTTTAAACAGGTGTTGGGAAAAAACAGAAAACCTCTTCAAAATATTTAAATGCATCCAAAACCCAATAGTGATCTGACTTCATAGCACTCCTAATTCAGTATTATTCAGTATTTTCTTCCCTTAGAACACTGCTTCCAATTTCCAGCTGTCCCGGTAATTTAATGGCAGACGAACATGTGGTTCCCCATCCTCGCCCTGTTCTCAAGGAGGGAACTGTCTGTGGGAGAAAAGAAATTCCAGGGAGGGCGCCTACAGCTAACTTCACGCCGGTTTTCCGTCTGTGGCTTAACTGCACAGTCTTCAAGCTCTGAAGACGTGCGAAGTGTGCTTGGATGGGCGTGCAGGGATAAGAGTGGTGGGAACTGAACTCCAACTTCCCCCCTCCCGCAGGGATATTCTTTTTTTGTTATATTAGATATGATGGCTTTGCCACCAACTTAGGCACACAAAAACCAGTGACTTACAATGAACTGGATGAGACAATTCTTTTATTTGGCAACAAATTCAATATCATATAACAAAATCAAACACTTCAAATAAATAGCAAACTCACATTCAGAATAAATAGGAGGTCTACCTAGTTCGCATTTACTGTGCCTGCTCTCCCACGGGCACCATCTGTCATTCTGCTACAGTGAGAAAACAGTTTCCCAAGTCCAAGTTCACTCCTGCAGCCAGAGAAAAGCACAGAAGCACCGGGGCAGGATGGTTCCCCAGAAAGTGAGTGCCGCTGGGATGCAGGTGCACATGCAAGTTTATGGGGTGTGTTCTTGGGGTCCACGCCTGGGAAGGGAAGGGAGCTGCTCAGAGGAGGGGCGTGACCTCAGCCGGTGGAGGCAGGGCTTTTCAGGACACGCCCCCAGAGGGCTCCGCAGCCCAAGCCTATCACCCATGATGAGCGCAGTCACAAACAACTAAAATAAGAGGTATATTCAACTGGTGCCTGAACCTGGCAGCTCCATTACACACGGCCATGCCACGTGCTGGAAACACACACTGGCCATATAAGTAACTATGCCCGGAGAGTATCTCCTAGGGGAAATAGGGTGCACTGACCTATGGAACTCCTCCCTACTGTCTGCCCCATGATTAGGCTGCTCACTGACATGCTTTTTTGCCATTTGAGTAGAGGCTGCAAACTACGCCAAGGGCCAAATGCAGCCTGCAGCCTGTTTTTATACATCAAGCTGTAATGAAACACAGCTGTGCCCATTCCTACAGTAATGGTGGCAGAACATGGCCTGCAAAGCCAAGAATATTTACTATCTGGCCCTGTACAGGAAAAGTTCATGGACACCCCCACCCTCACCCCCACATCAAAGAAACTTCACTCCCTTTTCTTTCCTTAAGCCACTAGGATATTCGAGGTTAACTGACCTTGGAGCCAAGCTCCCAAATGCTAAGGCAAATAAAAGAAAAGAAACAAGGAAATTGGTACAAGAGGAAATTGATAATAAGAGGGCAGAACAGAGGCTCCCTCGTAGTTGAATAGAGCAATCAAGGACCCCTGCCTCCGGCCAAATTTAGTCTTAGAGCACTGCAGACAAGAGCCCCCAAGTGGGTCTTTGGCAACAAACCAGTGTTCGGCAGAGTGGAATTCAATTCCAATACCGAGCCCAGCTCTCGGCTGATTCAAAGGCCTTCGGGGAGGAAAACTCACTTGGTTCACCCAAAGCTCAATTAGCTGGGTGGAAAGACTGCTTTCCATTTCTCCTTTGCGATAATGAAGAGGCCCAACGCATTCAAAGCAACTAGCAATTTAGTCTGAGATGTGCCCGAATCAGCAGCAGGTGGTTTATGTCACGTGGCATTGACGGCGGACTACGTCAGGAGGAAAAGTGAGACTCTGAGACAAGCTCCTAAATAGTTAAAAAGCCAGCTTCCACCTACAAAAGCAACTCCGGAGACCCGACCGCACAGGTCCCACCCAAGACGACTGGCTGCGGGCACCTCGCGCCTCGTGTTCAGCTGGCACGACCTGCCCTTGAACTATAAATTTTCGTTCCCGTGATTCTGAGAAAATTCATCTGACTGATGCTAAAAGTGGAAAATATTTTTAAATGTGCAAACTGATTTTATTCTGTTCCAAATTGCCATTTTGAAGGGTGGAAGACAGACTCACTGCCCCTGCACCAACAGCCTCACCCACCGGACTGTGCCTGAGAGGACAAACCGGAAAGAACAAAATGCCCGGAGCAACATGCCAAGTCCCAGTGGAGTCGCCCAATGACTGAGTGTGGACAGTGCCTCACGTGGAGGCGGCTGCCACACCTGAGCTGCTGGCCGGGCGCAGGCCTGCCGCCCGCCGGGCACGCGTTCCCAGGGCCCTACCGAGACAGGGGCATGTGGCCTCACAGACACAGCCTTAACCAGTAATAAACGGCGAAATTCATTATTCATCCCCAGAAAATGTATTTCTCCCCCCCCCCTCCCCAAGGCCTGGCTCCCCTACCCTGGGCCTCCATGAAAGCAAATTTTAAAAACGGTCTACTTCATTCTTGAATAAACAAAATAAACAAAACACCCTGCAACTGGCAGCTAGGAGACATTCGATGAATATCTGATTAGATAAAAACTAAGAAAAAACTTTAAATCACTATTTCCTCGCTCAGTGTCTCCAAAGCAGAAGCCCAGAGCACCAGCGTGTCCTTCGGGGACCCCAACACTGAGCAGATCTGGGCGCCCACCTGCCCCCCATAAATGCCAGTCTCCAATGACCTCTGGTGCTTAAACCACCTAGGAGCTAACGAACAATAAACAAAAGCCTATTCCTTCCCCCCAAAAGAACGAACCACTGTGTTTGCCACAAAACTTAGCAGAAAAAAAGGGGCCCAACTAACTGGGCTTCCTGGGTCTAACGGGCCACCTTCAGCAGTGTAGTTAAATACAAGACAATATCACAAGTGAAACCCCGTCACACCAAGTGGCATTACAGAGAGTGCTACGGAACCCATTTAATACCTGTATTCTGCGAGCAGCCGTGGGACGCCAAGCTAGCATTTTGTCAAGAGCCGGTTCAAACAGATACATTACTGCAATAAGAATGCTCAATTAGCAAGCACGCCCCCCAAGCCCCCTTCCTGTACCTGCCACGCATCAGGTTTACGAATGGAGGTCACCTGCGTTGTCCTTAGACAGCTGTGAGAAATAGTGAGCTAAGTCATTTCTAACCCTTTCCTCACAGTTTCAATGCCCTTTATCCTCCCCCAACTTAAACACAGACACCTGAAGAAACCACCCCCAGACTCCCCAACAGCCACACGAACAGGGCAGGAAAGGAAGCTGGGGGCGCAGAGGGTGGGGGATGGCTAAGCGGAGAGGGTTGAACGCAAGCCCGCACCTCGCCAACAAGTCTCGAGCGAGGCGGCCGTGTTCGCTGCCTCCTCAGAAAAGGGTGGTTTCTGGTTTCTGGTAATACCGACACAACCCAGTGAGGGGCCTGGTGTGGCGTTTCAATATAAGGAGTTTTTTTTTCTGTTTCATTTTCTGTCCTCCAGTAAGCGCATCAAACCGACACTCGGGTGGCATTCCCAGGGCACCCACCACCAAGCATCGGCTCCGACCTGCTTGTTGCTCACAGCCTTATTCTACTAAGTGAGCTCTGCTGGCCGGAAATGTAACCAGAAGGTCTTCTCTCCTCCTCTGGGGAAAAGAGCAAACCCGCCCATCACTTGTGGCACCATCTGTCCTTCCCAGCATGGGGCAGGACACAGGAAGCAGATACTGAGGACGATCCCTAAGGACTTGTCCCTTCTCTTGCTCTTTTCTCTCCCAAGTGACGCACCAGAACGCCAAAGCCCTGCGACCGAAAGGCCGGGGGACTGGCCGCTGCGTGGGGATCGCCTCTGCCACGCACTGCCGCGTTTGCTGCCGCAGAGCTCACTAAACCACCAGCTTTCTGCGGGCAGTGGATCGCTGCACGCCCCTGTGCCGCTCCATTCTGCGAATGTTCAGTAGGTTGTCCAGGGCGGGGTCAGGAAGGGTTTCGAAACTCCGCCTGCTGGAATACGGAGATGGCATCGGGAAGAGTCACCGGTCCCCGAACACCTGCACCAGTTACAGTGCCCCGGTCAACGAGAAGACTGATCGCAGAATTTCCACGTGCCACTAGCCGTTCAGCCCGACGCATGCAGGAAGGTGGGGCTGGTGCGCTGCTGGCTTTTGTCTTAACAACCTGGGTGGTATTCTCCAGAAGGTATGAAATAAATATCAAAAGGCGTATCTGTGTCTTTTCCAAAAGCAACACTCATATCCACACAAAGTCAACCCCGTGGCGTCCACCCAAGCTGGGGCCGGGGCTGTTTCTGGCTGTGTCCACAGGTGAGCACCGGGTTACTTGGCCTGGGCCTCCTGCAGGAGGGGCAGCCGGCAGGTGTGGGGCCTATCAGACCACGCAGGAAGCTCGTGCTGCAGCGGAGTCCTCCGGGGGTAGAACGTGTGGCTGACGTCGTAGTTCAGCAGGCAGCTCAGAGACGCCATGTAGATGTCGGCGAATCGCGACAGCCGCCTCAGGAAGTAGGTCGGGTTCTGGTCTGTGCGGAACAAGCTTCCAAACTGGGCGTTGAAGAAACTTTTGGTCATCTCTCTGAAGGATCAGAAAAGAGGGGCGTGGCAGAGAGTGATTCAAAACAGTCTGTTTGGTCAAAGTTACTGAAACTAAAATCACTTTTTCATTTTGGCAGGACTCACTTCGGGAGAAAAATGAGCCTAGAAGTAGCATCAACCTCTTGTCAGAAAAACAATCTGTCCACCCATCCCACCAAATGACTGATCCCACCGCCCACCGGGGCCTCAGAAAGCAGAGTCTGAGGCTCCAGTTCCAGTGTGCGTGTCCCTCTAAGTCTGCACACCACACTTTCAAACAGAGAAGCGGAGCTGCTCCTGAAAGCACAGACAGATGGAGTGTTCTCACAGTCTCCAAACTTGCCTCAAGTACAGAACGGGATCAAGGCCCCCTGTCTGTAAGGTTATAGTGAAAACTAAGTAAGGCAAGAAAAACAGAGCACACTGTAAACTGTAAAGCACTTTGATAGCTGAGAAACTAAGGATTTTTTATAGTGATGTAAATTAACCTCCACCATCCACTACTCAGCTTCAAATGCCACACAGCCTCGGGGAAGCCCGGATCACAAGCATTCTGCAAGGCTCAGCACCCAGGCTCAAGGCCCCTGCAGGTGTGCACACGTGTATCTGTGTGTAAATCAAACCCCGTCACACACACAGAATATGCGTGCCATCTGATGGCTAGGACCCCTGGGCAGAGAATATTCCAGCAAAATGGCTGAAAACTGTATGATTGTTAATCGTTTACAAACCCAGAAAAACACATCATCATTCATGCACCCGTGTGACAAAAGCCACCAGCTGGTAGCAGTTGTGTCATCAAACAATGGCAGTGGATGCTGACGACCAAAACACAGAGAAGTAAAAGTACTCAGGTCTGTGTGTGGAGTGACATAAGTGGTATTTAAACCTTTACCAAAAAACCTCACTGAGATATGAAATTGTTAGAAACTATCAAAACAAAATTGACAAAGTCAATTGTCAAAGTCAAAACAAAATTCTCTGCTGGGCGGAATGGTCCCTTTATCTAATAATCCGAGGTCCCTGGAGTGTATTGCTGGGTGCGGTACGGCCTTCAGGGGCAAGTGGCCCCGAGTCAAATCACATTATCTGCCGATCACCCTCTCACCCAACCTTTTTATACCAGCATTAGTGACAACCAAGTTAGAACAAGCACCCGACAGCCAAGGCCCTGAGCAGGAGGAGGAGGGAGGAGGGAGGCAGTACCTCCGCAGCTTCTGCCAGAGGGAGGGGCTCTGTCCCCTCTCCATGCCCTGCTCAGTGGCCAGAACCCTGGCAGTGACCCTCCTTCCACACCTTGGAGACACTGGGCCCGGGGCAGGGGAGGCCAGGCACAAGGGCAGAAATGACCCCATGAGCAGTGTCCTCTCAGCAAGGCACACTGCCCAGGGCCCCTTGAACCACCGTTCCCTCAAGACGCACCAAACTCTCCTGACAGCGGGCACACTCCTGGAACAGCCGTGGTGACAAATAAGCACCAGGGCTGGAAGAGCCCCAGGAACTCGTTGTGGTTTGGGGCCCACCTCCAATCCTGCCCCAGGAGCCCCGCTGTGTGGCAGCGTTACCAACAAGTGGGCCACCAGCTGCCTGAATGGGAAAGGCAGGCAGGCTGGGGTGAGAAGGAACGGTTCCTTCTCCCACGGCTTTCAAATCAGACAGGGCCTGGCAGCGCATGTGGCACCGAGATAGGATGTGCATGGCTGTTTAGGTCAGAGAAATGAGAGCACATCTGTTTGATTTTCAAAACAGAAGCAAATGTAAGGGCAAGAGGTAAGAGGGAGGTCACTGCTGCCTCAAGGAAATGTCACACGTCACTCACTGGCAGCAGGTGGGTGGTTCTGGATACTGGGGTGGCCACAGTCATACCTGGGAGCTAAAAAAGGATGTTTGGAAGTGTGTGTGGGCGTGTGTGGTGTGTGGGCTGAGCACATGCAGACGGGGGGGGGGACTCCCTACTTCCCCAACGGGCTGCCCTTACCTCATCTCCTTCCTCTCCTTCTTCCACTCCTGCAACACCAGCTGGGACTCGGCGTCTCTGTGAACCTGCAGGACACAGCTAATTACCAAGAATGTTCTGCATGCAAATAAACTCCTTAGGTAATGAGAATTTTTTAACAGGCAGCTTTTCTTGGAGGAATTTTATTCAAGTCTAAGAAACAGGCACTTGCATGACAAATACACATTCAGATTTCCCCGTTGCAACCCTCTCTTCTCTACCCAAATAGTTTTGAAATGTCCAACAAGAGAAATATGGTTTAACAAATTAAATGGAGTATTAGGAAGGTATTACACAAGTCACTATTAAACTGGAGATATTAAAGTAGTGTTAAAGGTTATGTATATACATAATACATATCCACATAAATCATGAGGTCTGTCCATAAAGTATCCAGCTGTATAATATGAAAAATAGAGACATTTACTGAGGAAGATACAAGAAATATTGTACATGGGACAATGATGCCTCAGTCCCCTTCAAAGTAGGCACCTTGGGACCTCACACAGTTCTCCTAGGCAACATCAGCTGCCTCACTATATTTTCCTGAATCTCATCAATGGTCTGAAATCTCTTCTGTTTCAAAGTGATTTTAGTTTTTGGAAAAGCCAGAAGTCGCAGGGCGCCAAATCTGGGCTGAAGGTGGGCTGAGTGACCTGGGTGATTTGATGTTTCACCAAAAAATTCTGCATGAGACGTGATGCATGAGTGGGTGCATTGTTGTGATGAAGCTGCCAATCACCAGTTGCCCTCAGCTGTACTCATTACATCATCTCCTAAAGCCTTCTCAATCGTTGGAATAGTTTCCATGAAGAATGTTAAAGCTCAACGCAAAATTTGATGCGGATTCATTGCTCTACTCACTCAATCATTTTCAATGTGACGGCCACACAGCACACATGCTCGCTCAATGGCATCTACCACCCCCACTGACTAGGACAGTGCAGTTGTCATTGTTCACGCACGCGCATTCCAGTCCACGCTCCTGGGCTGCCAGGTTACGTGTCATACAAACCGTTCTCATGATATTAACAATGGCTGGACTGTTTCTGGACAGACCTCAGTACGTATCCATTGCACACATGTATGACCTACATAAACATATAATCAACACAGACTACAGATTACATATATTACATACATGCATCAACATAAAAATATTAAGGAGAAATAGCAGTTTGGGGAGCATGTAAAAATCTGTGTATATATTAAGAAATTAACATAGAAATTTTTCTTAATTTGTGCAAGGGTAATAAGACTATCATCTGTTTTAAACTGGCTTCCTTAATATTGTATTATCTTTTAATATATTTAAGGAAAAAAATGTTTTTTGTAAGAGGCAAAAGAAAGAAAAGGTAGAGGCCCTCAACCAGGTGGAAAAGGAGAGAATTCTCTAGCTGAGCTGAAATAGGAGCAAAAAGCACCCAGAAAACGGCAACTGCCCGCAACCTGACAATGGCATCTCACCCGTCTCTCCACAAGGCTCCTGTGGCTGAACTGAAACAAACGCCCAGCCAGAGTCAGAGGCGCTCGTGATCACAGGGGACAGGTGGCTCCCTGCAATTCACGGTCACGGGGCAGCCGTGGGACCCCGGGAAAAAGACCAAACAAGAAAACCATCTGCTTCTGACATGGGACCCAAGGGCCTTCTGTTCACCCGTCTGCCCCGCTCGCCAGCTCAGCGCCTCGGCCCCGCCGACAAAGCCCTGAGCTTGCAGTGTGGGTTCCCTGCACACCGCCCGCACCGCCAGGAAGCAGTGACGCTGACACTCCTCGCTGTGTGTTAGTGAAGTACCCGGAGACTGGCCCGGCACTCATGGGGATGTGGATGGTTTTGTGAGCCTAGTTTTAATGAGCTTTGGCATTTTAATCAACAAATTACTCCAGAATTTCAACTCTACAAAGGATGTGGTGAGATAAAAAAATCTGTAGGGTGTCACATGTAATATATTTATACATGTATATACATATGCACATATGTATGCTCATGCACAAACATACATACGCATAAATATACACATACATATACATACATATACAGGGTCTAGCACAAATAACGTTTCTTTTTTGAGCTGGTAGTCTATACCAAATCTTTTATTATAAAATCATAAGCATGTAATTTGGAAACACAATTGTATCATACTAAAGCACACAATATATTTTGGGTGAAATGTTCAAATTGCTGTCCATCTTGTGTAAGACATTCACATGTCCCGCCAACCTCACATTCAATGGCGGTACTTCTGCCAGAGCCTGTATATGGTTGCGTGTGCGTACATATAAAGAGTAACTATAATTCCTGTATGACCTGTGCACAGACCCCAGGCTTTATTAACCCAGAATCGATGCCTTTTATTTTTAGAAAATCATCTCACAGACCAGCATGGTGAGGAAATAGGACAAATCCTTGTCAGAGAAGAGCCAAGAACCAAAGGTGCTGAGCACATGGAAGCCAGACGGGGGGGCGTGCATGCCCCGTGCTCTGCAATGTGAGCGCCCTGGGGTGAGCACCTGGCCTGCCAGCCCTCGCAGCTCTGCCGGAGCTCACTGCCAGCCACCTCCACGCAGGCTGCCAGCTTTGCCAGGCAAGGCACTTCCCTGGCCATGTCCAGAGGGAGCTGGCAGGCCATGAGCAGAAGCTGCTTTAGCACAGAGAGTGGGCATCCGTGCCCCTTATCCTGAAAGAGTCAGCGCATGTGCTGAGATGGCTGCAGGCCCGGGCAGCTGAACCAAGTGAGAAAACAAGGTGCCTCATGAGACTGGACAGGTGGTCACAGCTGCCACAGAGGGGCATCTTCACGGGCCAGGAAACCTGCCACATGACCTATGGGAAGGAAAAATCCGCTACTGCTCTCCAGTGAGCCAGCTCATTGTCAGTGTCACCTTCAAAACCAAATGCAGACTGCACACAGGGACCCTGACTCTTGCTTTGAGACTTTCCAGGAAGCCATGGCGCCTAGCCCCAAGTGTTCGTTGCACAGGATGCTCCATTTTACAGAAGGGGAAACTGAGACCCAGAACAGGGAAGACCACTGCAGGCTAAAGGCAGGACCAGGACTAGACCCAAATGGTGGCAGAGCTTCTCGAATCCCACTGCCCCACAGGACATCCCCCAACAGGGCTTTAGTGGGAAGGTGAGGACGGGGGACCTGCCAGAGGGACATAGACACCTGTACACAGGCCCCATGAAGCTCTTTCTCCAAATGGCTCTGGGGGCATTTTCAAAGGTCTCTTCAGGGAAATTGGCAAAACTCTAAGGGCAAAATAATCCCAGTAGTTATTCTGCAGGATGACTTATGCCTCCTACTTTATAACCACAATTAAATAATACTTAAATTAACTTTGACCAGTGGACTAACTTCAGGCTAAAGATAAAGGAGAGAAAAAGATTCCAAACCTGCATTTGCTCCAACAGCCCGGTCAGAGTCTGCAGCCAGGTCATGGTTTGGATATACTGCTCCGTGTTCATGATTCTGAGCTCAGACCGCAACTCGGGGATGATGGCTCCCGTTCGCCAGCCATGCTTCAGGGTCAAATCCTGATTGCCAAGATCACAGAGAGTCAACATTAATGTCAACAGAATTTAAACCGTTTCACTTCCTTACCCAGCCACAACAGGCATTCATTGAATTACTTTTTAATGCAATGGTCAGTTATTAACCAAGCCAAATTCAATCAATTACATTTAATGAAAACCAAGTTAGCCCAAGGCTTTGATCATTTCACCCCAAGGAAATTTCTGTTCTGGAAATAACTGCTGTGAGTCACAGTCCTTGCAGAATCACAGGGTCTGGGATCATTAACCATGGCCTGCAAAGCAACAGTTAGGTCACGGGCAGAAAGAGGCTGGACCGAGGTGCTACTGAAGGTCTTCACTCAATTCACCCACAGATGGCTGGGAGCTCCCCCTGTGTGCCAGGCCGGGGGAACCACAGCATATCAAACTTGGAATGGTCATACAACATAAACACACACAACCACATTCTTCATTCAAGTATGATAGCCCCAGGACTTGACAATAGGACTATCATGTGTCAACCATGCCCTAGGAAATCTAAGACACACAATCACTGTACTAAAAGGTCAGTCTTTCTCTCATTTGGCAAACATTTATCATATACCATCTGCCAGGCCCTGTTCTAGATACTGAAGATAAAACAATGAACAAAAACAGACACATCCCTGCCCTCAAGAAAGTAAACACACAATGTGGGGGGACCTAAAAAAATTTTAAAATATTGAGGTCATATGAGGTATCTTTTCTGCTCATAAGAAATGAAACTAGAACTCAACAGAAGAAAAAATCTGGAAAACTCACGAATATGTGGATATTGAACAACACACTCTTCACCGATGGGTCAAAGAAGAGATCATGAGGGAAATTAGAAAACACCTTGAGACAAACCGAAATGCGAACGCAACACACCAGACTAGGGGATGCTGCAAATACAGGGCCGAGGGCGAGATTTCCAGCTACAAACTCTGACCTTAAAATCGAAAGGTCTCAAACCAACCTGACTTTATACCTTAAGGAACCGGCAAAACTAAACTGAAAGCTAGCAAAGAAAAAAATACAAATTAGATGAGAGATAGAGAATAGGAAAAAAAATCATCAAAACAAAGAGTTGGTTCTTTAAAAAGGTCCACAAAATTGACAAATCTTTACCTTGATTAAGAACAGAGAGAGGAAACTCAATTTCATAAAATCAGAAATGTAAGTGGCGCCATTACCACCAATTCAGCAGAAGTAAACAGGGTTAAAGGGCAGGCTGTGAGCCGACCCCGGATGAACTGCACACATTCCTAGAAACACGCAGCCTGCCCAGACCGGATCACAGAGAAATAAAAGGTCTGAGCAGACCTCTAGGTGGTCAGGAGGCTCAAATTCATAACCAAAAAACTTCCAACCATGGAGAGCCCAAACTAGATGTCTTCACTGGTGAATTCTATCAAACATTTAAAGATGAATTAATATCAATCCCCCTCAAACTCTTCCAGAAACTGAAGAGGAAAAAGCAATTCCTAACTCAATCTGAGGCCAGCATTACCCAGATATCAAATTTTAGTAGGAAAGCTGGTCAAAACACAGGTGGCTGGGCCCCGCCCCCACAGGCGCTGACTCAGTGGGTCCTGGGTGAGGCCTGAGAAGGTGCATTGCCAACAAGGTGACACCGATGCCTCGGGGTCCCACCTGAGGAATGACCGTTTCGGGAGCACCTCTCAGTCAGCGAAGACCTGTGCGTGTGTGCCTGTGGTGGGTGGCACCTCCCAGGGCCGTGCGCCCACAGGACATCGGGGCAGCACACAGTCTCCCCTCGGGGCCTGAAGACCCCACTTAGCAAGAGGCAAGTGCCCAGGAGGCCACGTCACGTGGCCTGACATTCTGGGAATGAAGACACCCTGCTGGTAGCACTTCGTATTTCTCCTTTACTGAAGCACGTGTATATACATCATCTTCTTTCATCCCTCTTACAGGGGTGAAGACAGGACACCAGGGCTTGAGGGAAGTGTTCAAGGTCACCCAGCTAATAAACAGCAGAGCTGGGGTGGAAACCCTCGGTCTTCTCACTCTGAACCAGGGTTCCTTCCACTAGACGTCAGCCCGCTGGGCAGATGTGGTTACGCAGGTGTGTGCAGGAGTAACCTGGGAAAGGTGTCACTACACGCAGGTGCTGGAATCGACCCCCTCTGCCCCCAATTAGATGTTGTCCCAGTTACAGGTTTATCACACAGCTGAAGTGCCACGGTGCTCCGCTGGTCCTTCCAAGGGGCAAGAAAAGCCTCGTTTTCACCTAACAGTTGTTTCCTAGAAAGGCCGGTTTCTGAAGCACCGGGCTGGCAACAGAAGCCCTGGCTGAGGTCGCTGAGCCTTACGCTGCAGTTGTGTGTTTCCAACACGTTAATAAAAGGAAAAGGCGAGAACGCTGACATTTATTTCTTACCATGACTTAAATGCAAAGATTTTTCTGATAAACTCTTGAGTCAATTGCTAACTTCCATCAGTTCCCCCAAAATGTATCTTTTTCATGACTGAGCCATCTGTTCTATAGAACATGAGACATAAAAAAAAAGTGGCCTACTCCTCATTTTTATGAAAGCCTAAAAATTGTCTTCACCGAAAGAGAAATCCCTTAACGACTGGGACTAACACGTCTGTCCCCCAACAAAGAACTAGGACCAAAGGCCCCCCCTCACCGCCAGGTCACTGTATATGTGGTCACCGAAATACAGCACTCGGGATCCTCTCCACCCGGTCAGCTTCAAAAACTCATACAAATTGCCCTGCAATAAGGAATAGATAGACATTACATCTGTGACAAGTGCAGAGACCTGGGTATAACCCATGGCCCCAAATAATTAATTTTTTTTTAACTTCAAAAAAAATTATCTCACTTTTATAATTTACTTTAAATATCAAAATATAAACATAAAAGCATGTTAATATGAAATCTTTCAGGCCTTTCTTGTACATCAAATGTACTTTTCAAAAAAGAACCATAGTGTATATACCTCTTTGCAATGCTCTGTTCACACTTCACGCTATGACCCTCTTTTGAGGTCAAATATTGACCTGCCATGTGATTTCCAGTCCCGATACGTACACCACGACTCATCTACCCAATTCCCTGATGTCGGACATGTATTTTGTTCTCATTTGCTTTATTATCTATTTTGTAAGTAACTTCATTCTTATAGCAGGTGGTTAGCTACATCTTAATCATTTTCTTAGGCTAACTTCCTAGAAGTCAAATGGCTGTTATCAAAGCTAATTTTTTCAAGGCCTAGAAAATACACTTAATTCCAAAGTTGTTATAAACCCACCAGAAATGTATCACATAAAAAAAATAAAATAAAATGAAAAAACGTTTTTCAGTTATACAGTAAGAGTCAGCAATGCAATCATTTATTCAAACATTTGCAAGCCCTATGTAATATATTAAAACTGTAGATAAAACACAGCTCACCAGGAAATAATTATTAATTTGGGCAAGTAATATGCCATGTGATTAAATGCTTCTTTAAAAAAAATGTCTAAGCTTTGCTACTAGCATCTTAAATGTTATATACCATAAGAAGTAATGCTTTGCATTTTCCTTTAAGAAACTGCAATGTACGTTAATTCAGACATTGACGTCGGCTTCAATTCTGCCACCAAGCCGTCAACAGTCCACCAGAGCAGAGCACTCAGAACTGCCCCGGCAGGGGTGAGCCTCCGGGAACGGCAGCTGTCGTCAGCACTGCTGACCACACAAAGCAAAGTCACAAAAAGGATAAACTGCTCATGAGGTACCTGCTTGTAAATCTGGCCTTTCTGCAACTTGTGGATTCTATCCCAGAGTAAGACGCCTTTCTCGGTCACCTTTCGGAAAGGTCTGAGAACAGAGACAGGAAGCGTTATGACACGGGGGGCCGCGCGGGCCGTGTGCTGCGTGGAACACCACAGGGTCACTCATGGGGGACACAAAGGGGCTGCACAGCCTGAGAGCCCGGAACCAGCTCCAGCACGGCCCCTGGGCCACATCTCGCAAACTGCAGGCCCAGCAGCCAAGGACACACAGTGGACAAAGAACTCCAGGGTCAAATACACTTGGAGAACACTATGCCCTATACATGTCCCTTTTTAAAAAGTTACTGATGGCTATGAAAAGCCATCCTCTATAGAAACTGTCTTTAACCCAGATTTGCCAAGTTTGTACAAAAAATTGGTTTTCTGCAAAAACAAACTCTGTTACACACATACACAAACTTATGGAAATACTGCCTTAGTATATTTATCCAGCTTTGTACTTGAAATTCAGGCACTCTAGATACCAAGCCAATCAGAGGACAAGCACACTATTTTATGATGGAAAATGGGAAATACTAGAGTTGTTCCTCACACTGGGGGTGCTAGTCCAAAGGCCAAGGAGATTGTTTGCCTATAGATTTTTAAGGTAACACTTATTCTAATTGTTTTTCCAATTAGAAAAATAGAAACTCACTACAAAAAATACTGGAAATGCAAAAAACAAATGGAGAGAAGGAAAATCACCCACAATTCTAACACGTAGGTATATTTCAGTAGATGTCTATGGTCTTTTCACATCTGTACCTTTCCCCTTTCTAATGAACATAAAATAAGAATCATTTGTGTACACTGGTCATATCTTCTTTTCTGTAAGGTTGTGACAAATTTCCCATGTGATCACATATTCTTCATATACCATTTTTTACAGTCATAATGCATGCTCACTGCTTTTTTTTTCAAATGCATCCTTTTCATGGCTGCATAATATTCCCTCATATGGATATTGCTGACCTTCCATCATTATAAAATAACACAGAGATGAATATAGGTGGATATTCAGCTCTTATTCCAGGCACCCAGAACAAAGGCAAAATTAAATGGGTGCAGTGAGGGACTGCGCTGTGCTGGGACCACCACCCTTACACACAACCACCCCACATACACAATCACCTCCCAAAATCACACCCCACAACCATTTCCATACGTCTGAGGTCTTATACATGAATCTCACCCACCCTGCAATTACTTGCGAGAAGAATTAAAAATCAAAAACTTTAATGTCAGATGCTTGTGATTTCCAGTGGAATTTCGCCAAGACACACCGAATCTTAAGTCTTCACAGCAGCAAATAAGAAAGATCTGGTCCCCTGGAAAGATGGATACTCACCTCCGCTTATCATTAAAGAAGTTTGGCTTCTCGGCCTGAACAATGACCACGTCAAATAGGTCCCTCCAGTCCTTCCCCACGATGTACCGCATCCCTTTGTCCCTAAACAATAGTCAGCCAGGTCAGTCTAACACTGAAGGGGCAAACTGTTTTTACAACTTTTTCGCACAAAATTCCAACTGTGAAATGCAATACAAGCAGGGAGCTGGAAGCGAGGGAGCCAGGAAACACAGAGCAACTTACACAAAGCTACTGGGGCTGTTGGTGATGAGAAACATCTTCTTGCCATGATCAGCCAGTTTGGCCAACACTGCGCGGGTCTGCTCAGCGTAGCAGATGTACTTTTCTAAGAGCAAAAAAAAAAAAATCCACACAGGGATTCAGCGTCCGGTCACTCAACCTGCAACCAGAGCTGTACAGGGCATCTGGGGGAAGAGGAGGGAGTCTTAAGGAAGCCTGGGTCAGGCTGGGCTGTCGGCGTCTGACACATCAGTAGCCAAGACCCTGCCTCCTCCATCTAAGGGGGAAAAACTAAGGGGCTGCAGCTGCCAGCACCTCTCCTTCGGAATGAGGACTATGTCAAATTCTAAGGCAAAGGGGAGGGAGACCGCTGAGACTCGTGGATGCAGGGTCCTGGCACAGCACTCAGAAAGGTGCTGCGGCGTCTGCTCAGCACCAGCAAGGAAAGTCAAATGCCCGCACGGTGCCATGGCCAAGGGCAGGCCTAAGACAATCTTCACGGTAAAGCTGAGTACGTACCAATGTCTGCTTCGATGGCTCGGTACATGATTCCTTTGATGTGCACGTCTCGAATTGAATCCTGTCAAGACACGTTTTTAATCAGTGAACATGTGAGGCTGAGCAACAGTACAAGTGCAATGGCATTCATGATATCGTCTGTCATTAGGAGCCTGGCAATCCAAGCACCATAGGTGACCCCTGTGGGGCGAACTTAAGTGACAATGGCAGTTTTCAATGCAGTCTGCAATAGGGTCACTGGGAGGAAGTAATCTGTATGGATAATTCTGAAAAAAGCCCCACACAATAAACCATCATTTATTTGCAGAATCATAAATGAGTCCAGGTCCTCTGGGCCAAGGGCCTCACTGTGCTCTTCATCTCTGCAGCCTTCCCTAGGTCCCAACAGCAGGCTCAGCCGTGTAGGAAAAGATGCCCCACATGTGCCAAGAGCAGGCACAGCCCGACTCTCGGGTGACAATGAGCAGGTCCTCTACACAGGTGGCAGCCCTGGAGGCACCTGCAGCAGGGGACTGGGGTGTGAACAAACTGGGCCATAAACCTTAGCAAACAGGTGGGCAATTCTGACCAGGGCGCGTGCCCTGGGCTGTAAACTCAACCTCGATCACCTTCCAGCACAGGCTTGTTTCGACGTGACATAGACAGAAGGCAATGGTGAAGAGCAAGCCGGAGCCAAAGCTGGCTTGAAATCTAGGCTCTGCTATTTATTAGCTGTTTAACTGTGGGCAAGTTACCCAACCTCTCTGTGCCTCTGTGTATCTATACAATGAGGGTGACAATAACAGTATCTATCTCAAGGCACTATGGTGAGGGTTTAATCAGTTAATACGCACAAGGCCCTCAGGAGAACAATGCCTGAACACAGGAAGACCCTGCCTACAAGTTCACTCTTGGTGAACTTGTAACACTGAAAGTAAAAACTGAACTTTTAAATAGACGACTCTCCTCGTGAACGCAGAGGGCTACATGACTGCAAGTGATTCTTAAAGTTTCTTAAACGTGAAGTACTTGTTGTGTGCGCGAAAAGGACACTAGAAACTAAATATTTAAATTCAGTTCACCTAACACCAGACTGACGTTGAGGAACTGTGATTCATCTTTTCTCTAACACCCATGACGCAGAGCAGTGAGAACTTCAAATCAGCCACAGACACACAATTAGAACATTGTAGCATAGGAATACTGATCTTTTAAAAATTCATATATTTAAATAAATACATAATATATTTTATATAACATTTTTATAACATGCTTAGAAATATGTAAGAAATATATAGCAAATAAATAATACATAAACATTTTTAAGTAGTGGAAAAAGTTCAGCTTAAAGAATGTATATAAACACATGAATGGTGGGGAAACTGGACACAACTGCACTTGAACAACAATAAAAACAAATAAATAAGCACATGAACGTGAACTAAAATCTATAAATACAAAGCCATATAAATGCCGTGTGCGCACATGCATATAAATACTGAGGCTTCCCTGTCTCCTGCTCCGAGGGGATCTCAGCGCCCAGCTTCTGCCGGGCCCCAGCAAGTCTGCAGGGAACCTGTGTGCACAGGGCAAGGCGGGCCTCCAGGGGGCACTGCAGGCCCTGGGCCACTGCCTGAGACGGGAACACCATGTCTCTGTGGAGAGTCCTCCCCTAGCTGGTGGCCTGGCTCAGGGTGAGCTGGGTACAGCCAGGGCCACAGTCCCCACTTGCTCCTCTGGCCAGGTGCCCCGGCCCTGGCCCTGGGTCAGGAAGAATTAGAAATCCATGAAACAATATGAGTACCCTCTTCTTTTAACAACCAATTGGACTGATTTCCAATTCTCCTAAGGCAACATCGTACAATTTTCAGGGACAAACCGCAAACCCAAGAGCTCCCGGGCAAAGGGCTACTTCAAACACCTGACCTACGAAGGAGCCTAAAAATCCTGTTCCTTCCACAGAAAGGAGATGGGGATGCAAAACCGCAGTCTCCTACTGTCAGCACAACCTTGACGTCCTTGTACAGGTGGACAGGCTCATAGTCGATGTTGTTCTTCAGGAAGTACTCGTTCACGCAGGACAGCAGGGTCATCTCCGGCAGCGAGAAGATGTCCATGAACTGCTTCATGGTGTTCCCGTGGGAACTCTGCGGGGGGTGGGGAGGGGCACACTTTAGAAATGGAGGCCGACGCCCCAGCAGAGCCAGACACGACCTCCACCGAGGGGGATTCCGGTCAACATCTGCATCCCTCTGCACGAGAAGAGGGAAAACTCTAACAATGAAAAGCAAAAATGTTCACCTTGTTCCTGTCCCTCACAACAGAGCTGACATTTCACTCGAAGTGTAAGGCACATCCGAGAAAACGCCCCATCCTTACTCCCAAGTCTAACCAGCGCCCCCCTTTCCACTCCGCTCAGCTCCCAGCTCACACCCTCATCAGGCTCAGAGGAGGCCCGGGAAACAGGCTGCTGCCCCTGGAATGGCAGAAAAAGCCACTTAACTCTCCTGGGTTTGAGCCGCTCACAAGCCTCTGTGTGAGCTTGGCAAAGAACCGTTCTCTGAATGCCTGCATGCTACACAGTCCACCGGCTGACCGGCCACCTTCCACTGCACTTTACCGATGCAAACGAGACAATGCATCTGACAGGGCAGGAGGCAAAAACGCGGAGAGCAGAGAGACCCACAGACATCAGAGAAGCAGGGGTTTCCCTTCAGGCTCAGGGTGACTTGCTGCTTTCAAACTCAGGGGAGGTGACAGCCACCCCACGGACAGCCCCCCGTGACTAAATCCAGAGAGTGGGGACACTTCAGGGAGGTGGTGGCAAAGAGAGTAGGTATGAGTAAGGCGCACAGAGCCTTCATCAGGGAGGGAGGAAAGGGCAAAGAAAGGAAAACCGGGAAGGGACCCGCGGGGCCTAGAACACACTCATCTCTCTCAAACCTTGGGTCTCCCAAAACACAACCCCAAATTCTTTTTCAGCTCCCTGTGGGCAGGCACAGAGTCGAGGGATTCAGACTTCTGGGTCTCCCAGGCCAAGCTTTGAGAAGGAAAAACACAGGCTGCTTTAAATTAGGCATTTCTCATTACCTTTCCATAAAAGTCGCTCATCTGTTCCAAAGGCACGTGGGACCCCTCGTACATGTCAATGACTTCTTCGTCGGGGACAACGCTGAGGCCCCTGGAAGAACAACAGGCGGTGCGGTTTAACAGCCCAGCCAGGGACGGTAATGACAGTCACACCTCTGGCAATGACTGGGGTTTTCCTACCTACATGTCAGACACCGTCACAAGGAGGCGTCACAAGGAGGCAAGATGTGCCACCAGTAACTGCTACAAATGCCAGGCAAAATGCTGCTACTTTTACTACTGCTGTCATTCTAATGGCAATGAGCAGGAAAATAACAGTTACTATTACATGGCACCTACTATACTCCAGATATGAATTCCACATAGTCCTTCACCTACTTCTCAGCAACGCCAGGGGAAAGACACTATTATCCCTTTTTTCCCAGCAGAGGCAACTGAGACACAAGAAGATGGGGTACCTTCCCCAAGGTCACCCAAGTAGAAGATGGTGGGTCGTGGGTCGGCACTGGGCCCCAGGCTCCGTAACCGCTATGTTACACTGACTCCCTCAACAAGGTACAAGGCCTTCTAATGCCTTACTTTGGGGCAGGTGTTTTTTTTCATGTGTTTTATACATTAAGGTGAGAAAGGCTTGGTTCTGTCTCCATCATCCTGTACCCTCTGATACTCTGCTGTTGGGAACTGCCCTGCCTGGTTTCAGAAGCTGCCCCCCCTCCTTGGCTAAGGCTGAGTAAAGGACCTTGGGACCATAAGCCACTTAGGAGACAAAGCTTATCTTACTTATAGGGGCACCACCTCTGCCCCCTTTCTCTTTACCCTGCTTGGCCCTGGGCAGATGACTGGTTAACCAATGACGGGTAAGATTCTCAGAAGAGAGACAACCTAAGACAGACATGGTCACAAAGGGGCCCTCAGGGAAGGACTTGAGGGGCTATAGAAAAAGGGGGTGATGGACCCTAGCCCCTCAGCTTTGACATAGCCTAAATCCTCATTCTGTCTGCTAGAAGTCTCCTAAGCTCTTGGCTGCTTGACTTCCCCTGCCTGACTTAAGCCTGAAACAATGCTGGAGGTGGTGTGGCCCTGTGCTGGAAAGGGCGGGTTCTCTAAGGCAATCAAGCCTAAGAAAGAATGCATAAAATCCTATGAAGCCTACTTTGCTAATACCCTCATTTTAAATGATAAGGATCCAAGCAGGAAGTGAGTTTGTTCCCCAAAGTTTTATGGCCCTTTAACTATCTGGCCCTGACTCAGAATAAGCCCTCAGAGTTCTCTGAATGTTATCTATCATTTAACCATTTCTGCCTGACAATGTTTGATGAGCTTTATGTATATGCCCTGTATTCCTGTGCAAACTGAACACAATAAAATTTGTCAAGGCAAGGGTAGAGGTGCTCTCCTCTTAAGAAGGTGGTCAAGGTACTCTGAGGCTTTTTCTCCCCTTGAGAGAGAAGACATGCTGTCCCTTTTCCTCCACAGGACTCAGTAGTCCATGTGAATCTGTCGTGTCTCATCCACCAGCCGGGGACCACATCGCTCTACCCAGAGGTCAGTGCCGAGATGGAAAAAGTCACGTACGAGGCTTGGGTAGACTAAACCCCACGACACAAGGCAGGAAGCCTGGGCAGCACCCCCGAGAGGGGTGACCCAAATGCTATGTGACAGTAAAAGCCAGTTTTCTCATCTGTAAAAGCCGAGGTGATGCCCGCCATCTGCCTGCCTCTGGAGCTGCAGGAGAATCTGCAAGGGAATCCAGCTCCTTTACACACAAGAAAGAATTAATTCAGGAGTCAGCGTGGCGGGGTTTCGGGCCTGCCTCTGCCACCAGTGCCTGGAGCACAAGCCTCTACCCAGGGCTCCGTGGCCTCGTATGTCCTCCCCTGGAATCTCACTCTAGTGTGCTAACGGGGGCAGGCCTGCTCCTCTACCCCCTTTGTTAGCAGAGAAGGTGCTTGAGAAACAGACCCGGTGATGAGGGACCACAGAATGAACAGGCGGAACAGCTGTGCTACCACAGGAGTACAAATCGCTCAATAAGAACTTTAGTTACTAAAACAAATAGGTTGCTCAAAGTAAAAAAAAATTACCTGGCCAATATTCAAACGCATACAAAAATAATTTACATTTGATATGTCACGTCAGTGAAAACTTAACTTCAGCCTCTTTCCTCCATTCTCCACCCTCATATAACTTTTAAAAATATTCAAGTGGATTCATTAATGTTTTGCCTCCGATCTCGATTAACTTGTTACAACTACTAGCCTTTGAAAACAACAGAGGCACTATACTTCCGTTTATCTTTGTTCCAGAAATCAGATAAGACACGGGCAGTAAACCAGATCATTCCAGATGGTGACCTTGGACAACGGCTCGAGCTCAGGTAGCAGCAGTCAGCTGTGCACACTCCTCAGGTTTTAACGCTTGGGAGGAAAATACAAAAGGTAGAAAGATTCTGCCCTTGAATTCCCTGCGTCCACACTGGGCCCGACCCAATCCTCAGAGGCCACTGCTCTACCTATAGTCACAGACACCTGGCTGCACAAGACAATTAAGGGCACAGGATCATGTGACCCCAGAAGAGAAAAAAAAAAAAAAAAAACATTTCAAGCTGAGAGGTAAGGAGAGGCCTCACCACAAGTCGGCCCTGAAGCAGGGTTGGGATTTCAAGAAGCAGAGAGGAAGGAAACTGTCCTGGTACAAAGGCTGCCAGTGTGAACAGTTGCCAAGCAGGGAGAAGAAAGAACTCAGGGGAAAGGAACACATGTTATTTGTACCTGCCAGCAGCCACTCCCTCTGAGACCGGTGTAAACTGTAGGAAAAAGAAAAAGAAACTCCCCTTTGCCTCTGGACCTGGAAAGCCTGGTGACTCTGCACTGAGGGGCCTGCCCCAGAGGGAGCTACACCCCTGAGAGCAAGAGAGCCCAGAGATGGAAAGAGCACTGACGCCATCAGTTTGGGCCCCGGAGCTGGCCGCACCTGCGCCAGGCCCTGCCCTTGGACTATACGAGCAGTGAGCCCATACTGTGTTTCGTTTAGCCAGCCTGAGCTGGCTTTCCGTCACTTGCAGCTAAGAATCGTAACCAACCCAGTGAGTGAAGGAGTTGTGTGTGCAAAAGGACACTAACAGGAAACCTAGGAGAGGTGGCTCTAGTCTCCAGAGAGCGGGGAGCCATCAGGGATTTCGGAAGAGAGGAGAGGGTGGTTGAAGAAGAAAGTGCCTTAGGTAAATAAGCAGAGCAGCAACGCCCAGGGTGGATTACTCTGCAGAAAACTGTCAGAGCCCAGGAGAGAAGGGCTCAGTGTCTGGGCCAGGGAGCTTCCGCTTACCTGTAGACAGTTCCCAGCTGGATGTAATGAAAAGCATCAATCTTCATCAACACAGCCTTTAAAAACATAAACACAGGCACATGTTAATAAACACAGCTATCTGTGCACTGAATGAGAATTACGGGTGTCGTTATAAATCATTCCAACGTGAAGTTGTCACAACAAGGAAGCACAGGCAAGTTTCTGACATCGCTGCTGGCTGATTAACTTCAACTCATTACTGCAAGGTATGACGACTGGCTGTTCCTCCAAACAGCAACGGGGCCTACGAGAAATAAAACGCTGTCTCCCAAATTGCTACACGCATTCGTGCTCTTCCAATCCCGGTCTCTTGAAAAAGACTTGATGCAAAGATGTCCTGAAGAATTCAGTTTTGCAGTCCCAAAGAACATGAATTTTAAATCAATTTATGTGTTGAGCAAAGAAAAGCACCAAGTGTACATTTTATCCCCAAACACCATTAAACTAGAAAAACATGAGGATTGAACTTACCCGCTGCACATCATAATGAAGTCCACGAATTGCAAAATTTGGGTCGTATTCATACTTCCTGATTTCGGTGGGGTACTAAGAAAAAAGAAACAAACCGGTTCTAGCTAACGAAGTGTATACTAGGTTCAAGGTAGTGTCCGGATCTGCTCCTTGTACAAAGGCCAAGGTGGCTGAGGCACTGTGGTGGGAAGGTGGGGTCGGAAGGGGAAAATCACATCGTGTCCCTCTGCTTCTGGACCCAGGCCCCCCAGCCCCAGAGCCCTCCACCCAGCCCACTCCTGTGGGGCCTCATCCCCCAACTTCTCTCATCTTCACTGCCACCTCCCCTCCTTCCCTCCGCCCCAGACTCCCAGAGCCCTGCCCCCAGAGTCACATCTGCTTCTTCCTTCCTTAGTACGATGTCACCCACCATTCAGCTCGCATTCGAGCACCTTCCTGTCGCAGCCCCACGATGAGCCCATTACCAGGTTTCATGAAGACACCAAAGCAGAACACTTTTCAAAGGGTCCCTTCCATGTGGCTTTCATTACACTTCTCATTTGGACGCAGGCCACCGCTCACCCTCCGTGGGCTGGAGGGACCCCACAGCTGTCAGGGCAGCATCCCCCAACTCGGGCATGGAGGGGCCCTTTCTTAGCACGTGGCTCCAGTTACCTCTCCGACACTCTGGCTCAGAACATGCCCGGCTTTTGGAAGCAGCTCAGCTCCCCTGATATTTCCTGGTTATTAAACCATCCCTCAAACGATGCAGACAAAAATAGCAGCCCCCTCCTTATCTACTGCAGCAGGCACCTGAGTCCTTCCCTCCTCCCTGAGGCTCAGAATTGGAACACCAGCCACCCCGCTGACAGAACCGAGATACCCAGCACCGTTTGCCCTGCCATTCCCATTTCACTGACGGGACATCAAAGGCACTGAATGAAACAACCTGGCCTGGGCCACAGAGCTGGAGTGTGGTGGGTAAGGGGTCAGGCTCCAGCCTCTGCTCTCCCCACATCCTCTGCCCTCAGAGCACAATCTGCAGGACAGAACATCTACTCCCAGGTCTACAGAGGCTGTGTCACCAGAATCTTCCAATCACAATGTAAACTGCCTAAGTAAAAACCCAGGTGCCTGCCTTCCGGCAGCCAAGATGCTTGTGGCCACAGGAAACACCTCCAGACTACACTTCCCACGATGCTCTGGGGCAGGGGCGCCCAGCCTGCAGCCCGCCGGCTACATGCAGCTGCGGATGGCTATGAATGTGGCCCGACGCAAAATCGTAAAATCGTAAACATTCTTAAAACTTTTGGCTCAACCGCTTTTATCAGTGTTTTTGTATTTAACATGTGGCCCAAGACAGCTCTTGTTCCAGTGTGGTCCCAGAGACGCCGAAAGGCTTGACACCCCACAGACTGCCATGCAGGTTTATTGCACTGAGTACCTGGATTGCCGTTTCCCAAATCCTGCAGTATTAAATAATCCCTGGACTTGTCATTCTGGAGTCTGCATGTTGCCCCAAAAGCAGAGCCCTGGCAGACTGAGCACCACTGACACGCCTGCCTGGCACAGAAGTTTCTTTGGCTACATGGAGCTTGTGAAAAATGACATCAACAGAGCCATCTGCAAATAGAGTTGGAGCCACCGTCCCAGAGGAATGGTGCTTGCCTTGCTCCTGGAGCCTTGCTCTCTGAACCTGTAGAACGACCTTTGGACTGGATCAATGCAACACCGTCTTCCAAACAACGGTCAGTAAAGCCAGCAGGAAAGCTGACCCGAGCACAATGACATAATTATGGCCATCTGAGAGAATCGGTACTATGTATAGCAGGAGAGTTTATTGCCCCCAATAGGGTTTTCTTCCATCTGTGTCATTATTTCCCTTCCTTTTATCACAAAATCCCCTTGTCATTACTACATAATGGAAACGCTATGTCGGTTTCTGCCTGAATCCGTGCTTACTAGCATTGCAATTCTGTAATCTCAAATAACACAAACCTAGGCAACAATCAATACGCACAGGAAACCTCTCCGCAAGGGCTGCGCTGCTCGCTCCCATGGCCGAGGTCACGGTGGCATGAGGAGATGTCCCGGTCCCAGCAGGCTGAACCACAGACAGCAAGTTTTCAATTCAAGCTGCACGAAGCGCTGACTCAAATGTCACTTTCAGGCTCATCTATCTAACACCTGCCACGTGTGCCAAGCAATCACTACGTGATATTTCCACTCATGGGCGTTCCCAAGAATTCAGAACACTGTGCACAGTTCACACACTTCCTGTCCCCAGAACCCAACACACGCCCCACAGGACACTTGACACTTTGTCACACCCCCGAAGTGAGGCCATGAGACACCACCCACTGGAGTCTCCTTTTAACTGGGGAGTGACCAATAAGGGAAAGAGCAGGAGGGAGTTGTTTAACAGGTTACCGAGAGAGGGGCTTTTCCTGAGCCGTTCAGGAAATGTTCCGGACACCTTCTGTGACTGTATTTACTCCCCCCCCCCCAGCATTAAGGGCACTTCATGTTCGTTCTCCTGTTGGATGGTCTGAGGAGAACAGCCCAGGCTCACAGAGATCGACAGAGGTCAGGCCAGTATTCGAACCCAGGTCCACCCCAACCTGCCCCCCCAACCAAGTCAGAACAAACCCTGAGCCACATATTGGATGCTCATTGTCTCTGTGACAGCAGTACCTGCCACATCGGGTGGCACAGTGAGTCTGCTGAGAGGGCTCACGGCGACAAGGGGGCTGCTGGCCCTTTTAGCTAAGAGACATGTGTGAATGAGAGAGAGAGTTCAGAGTACAAGCAGCATGTACTCTGAACGGGGACTGCTCGAAAGGCTGGCAGCTCCTTCTGGAACAAGGCCTACCTGTCACTCTCGCTGCTTCTCGAGGAGCTACTGATAGACATACTGGTAGATACACGGTGGCTTTCCAATGGTCCAGAGACCACAGCAGAACCTGGGGAACTGACCAAAGCCGCCGAAGGAGCCATCACCGGACACCACCTGATAAAGAATACAGGCCCAGGGCTGAGGGACCAGGGGTCAAATTCTAGTCCTACCATGTGCTCACTGCAAGATCATGTCTCTCTGGGCTTCGATTTCTCATTTCCAAGGCGACGATAACAAGAGCCCCACCCTACACGACAGTAGAGAGGATTAAACCAAAGGACGCCAGTGGGGGATCAGGGCAGTCTTCCCAGCACGCAGCAACTGCTGAGAAAACTGAGTTGCTTTCCTGGATGGGGACTCAGAGGCCTGCGCTCTCAGGCCCCCTCCACTGGCCTCTGCCACTCTCCTGGAGGACTTTAGGTGAGTCGCTGAACCTTCCCGGCCTCTCCCTTCGTATGGAAAAGGAAATGCTGGAACTGGGTGATGTCTGTGCTCCACTCCTGGCCCTCAACTGGAATTCCCTATGCATGCAGCCAAGTCCCAAAGGTCCCCATGATGGGCGCCTTTCCAACACACACACACGGGCTTGTGTGCACAACATCTCAAGGAACAGCCGCTCACAGTAACATCCGGTGGAGGACGCCAAAGCCGCTCCCAACAGCCAGGAGACCACACTTCTCTCCAATGGCCTATGGCCAGATTTTCTGGACCCTTCATAGCTGAGAAACTTCCCACCATCCTGAAAAGCGTGACTCACCTCTTGTGTCATGAAGATTACTAGTATCCTAAAAGTGGGAAGAAATATAATAGATAAAACAATTTTCACTTGAGATTTCTATTTTTAAAAAATCTTATTTCGGCCCAGACTCATGTCCTTCGGTACCTGGATCTGTTCCAGCTGTGGGTGCAATCTGGGTGGGCTGGTGTGTGCGGACAAGGAAAGGCCAAGGTTGCCCGGAACACGCTGCAGAAATGTCCCTGACAGACTCGAGGAAAGTTAGCACTAGAACACTGCGGAGGAGCCCGGAGCCCCCATACGTGCCATTCCCCCCGATCTGCAGCTTGGCCATGCACCCGTTCCCAGCTAGTGACAGAGCTCTGGCCACGGGGCATGACCTCGACACTACAACACTGCCCGTGAGTCCCTGTGGTCCGGACACCTATTATAAGTATACCCATTTTTCAGAGGTCTCACTCTGCTATTTAAAGGAGCCTAAACTATGAGTCTAATTCGAGGCAGGGCAGAAGGGCATAAAGGCAAAGCTCTCCAAATTCCACACAAAATAGTCAGCAAGGGCAAATGACCTACACCAGAATGAGAGTTGCACACCAGGCACAATACCCTTGCTTAACTGTGGAATTCACCAAGATGTCAAGTATTTACTGAGCACGTACTTTGTGCCAGGGCCTGGGAATATGGCCATGAACACAACTGACACAGTCCCTGACCCAAAGAAGTTCCCACTCTACCGTGGGAAGACAGACCATAAACAAGTGAAAAAACACAATATCGTACCTGACAAATACTACAAAGAAAATGCAGTCCAAGGGTCCAGAGAGCTATAAACACTAAGAGAAGCAAGAGCTCAGACAGCCTGGACGGACATTCTGAAGCAGAGGAAATGGCAAAGGCCCAAAGGCAGGCCCATGTCTAGGAGCTGGAGGAGCAGCGAGCAGGCTGGTGGGGCTGCAGCAGAGAGTGGGCAGGTGGGAGGAGAGGCTGGTGAGGAAGTGGGGCCTGGGAGCCCTGGAGGCCTTCCACGTCACTACAAGTGTGACGGGAAGGCTGGGCGGGGGTGGGTGTTGAGCCCAGGAGTGACATGATCAATATTTAAAGGTTCGTTCTTGCTGCCAAATAGAGATCAGACTAGGGAGCAAGAACAGAGAAGCAGGGAAACAAGTCAGGAGGCCACTGCACCGCCGGGCGGGAGGTGAGGGCGGCGGCAGTGGGGGGAGGCGAGAAGCGGGTGCAGTCGGGAAACGCACTGGATGAATATCCTCTGCGTGACAGAGAGCTCGTGTCTGCACAGAGTGAATCCTCCCCAAGGGACCAGCACGGGAAAGGGAAGCCTGACAGTGAGACGTGATGACAGACACGACCTCGTCAAGGCCAACATCACAAGTAAGTCACATTGACAGTACATCCCCTGGATAAGAGGGAACGACGGTAGCACTTTACCTCTGTGGTCTTCCTCCCCCAAACCCATAACCGCAGTCTGACCCTAAGAAAAACATGAGACAAATCCCAAGAGCACCCCAACTAGTACCCTTCCAACCTGTCAGGGTTCTCAAAAACAAGGAAAGGCTGAGAAACAGTCACAGCCAAGAGGAGCAGGAACAGGACTTTACGTAAAAACTAAGGATGCCTGCATCAAGCCCAGACTCCAGTTAATAATAATTCATTACTGCTGTGTCGTTGGTTGTGACAAATGTACCGTGGTAATGGGGACGGAGTGTGGACCTTACTGCCTACCAGCTGTCCCCTCAGAAACTCAACTGGTACAAGTAACCTTGGCACTGAAAGGAATTCATGAACTCCGCTCCTGATTACATGAATCTACACATGGGATACAAAGACACATAACTACACAGACCCAGTATACCAACATCAATTTTCTCATTTTGTAACTATTACACTTTAGTTATTTAAGATGTAACCAGTGGGGAAAATTAGGTAGAAGAGATAGAGGACCACTCTGTACTATCTACCCAACTTTCTGTGACTGTATCATTTTAAAAGAAAAAGGGAAAAAATGTTCACATTAACCTCAGGGGAAACCAGGTATAGGAGACACAGACAGGAGCTCTCTGTATTATCTTTGCAGCTTTTCTGTGAACCTCAGACTCCTCTCAAATTAAAAGATTATTTGTTTGAAAAAAAAAAAAAACAGAGCGGACCCGCAGCATTTGCTGAGAGGTCAGATGTGGAATGGAGGAGAACCTCAGCGGTCACGGCTAATGTCAGGCTTTAGACTGAACACCAGGGGGACATCGGTGCCAATCAATGACTGGGACACCGAGGAGGGTGCAAATGTAGGACAGGAACTCAAGAACTCTTCTAAGACGCTCTTTCTACCCCTCGGTGCACATCTGAAATGAAGGTGCGGATGCAGTGGTTATCCAGTATTTGTTATTTCTATTTTTGTGCAAACGTGTTCTTGTAAAAGAAATAAGAAAGTAAGGGGAAGGAAGGGAGGGAGGAAGGGAGGGAGGGAGGGAGGGAGGGAGGGAAGAAGGAAGGAAGGAAGGAAAGAAGGAAGGAAAGAAAGAGAAATGGGTAATTAAGAAGAAGCTGGCAGTTTACACGTGCTCTTTGGGAAGATGCTAAATTGCCCACTTACTGTTCTATTACTGCATCTCAAAGCAGATGTCTTTCCAACTCTACGAGTACACGTAGTCTTTGGCAGGAAAACCAGCGCCAAAGCCAATGCATTCAACAGCATCTTAGAAGAATTATTTTCAGATCCAAAGCAAGAGAAAAATGCGCAAAAGCATAATTGACTCTATTAATATGCCTGATATAATTGGTGTTACGACACATTTCTCTTATCCAAGCAACAAACACACATAATGGAAATGAAATTTCAATCATCTTAAATCTAGAAGCTTTTCTAATTATAATCATTGTAACATCCTTTCCCCCAAATTTCGTAGTTTTGTCTCCCTAAATTTTAAATCTTCATGAACATTTTATTTTCGTACGAACAATAAACCCATGGGGTAGAAATGACAGGTGTTACAGACCCCACAGAGGGCAACGTCGAGTGAAGGAGGGAGCATCTGCACTTGGAAATGAGCGGACTTAAGCTCAGACTCTGGTTCTGCCTCCCACTGATCTTGTGGCCTTGAACTACTGGCTTAACCCCATAAGCCTCAGTTTCCTCAACAGTAAAACAGAGACATCTATTTACAGGGTTGTCATGTAGACTGGAAATGATAAAGCCAGGATCTGAACCCCAGCCAATCAGGTTCTAGAATCTGTAGTTTTGGTACCTAGCAGACAAGCAACAGATGGTGCTGTTAGTAACGACCTTGGTTTTATAAGTGATACCAGAGTCACAGCACATGACCTGGAACTTGAAGGCCAGCACCCATGCCCACACCCCTCCAGCTTGATCTCCCGGAAGGGTTCCGGGAAGGTGCTGTAAGTTCACAGATGGGAGAAGAAGGGCAGGACCACCGAGCTCTTATTCTGCTTCCGTCCTCAGACTCAAGGAAAAGGACCCTGGGTTAGACAGAAGAGAATCTCTTGAACGAAGGGAGAGATGTTGCTCAATGGCTGGTGGCTGGATAGGCTGCCATCTGGTAGGGTGGCCGTAACTAAGAAAGACAGCCAATGGCTGAGTGGCAGAGGTCAAGTTATTTTTGGCAAATACCATTTCTGCATTTTGGATGAAAACAAAATGAGCTGCTTAATAAATTTACTGATAACTAAAGGCTGAAGGGAATACATTATATCAAATGGTGAGGATCCCAAACCAATGGGAACTTTGGCAGCATTAATAGAGGTATGGTACCGAGAACCAGGGAGGTGATCGTCTCCCCCTACTCCGCACTAGTCAGACCCCACATACAGTAACATCTCCAGCTCAAGCCCTTACATCTGAGAGGAGTGGACCAGAGCACACACAAAGGAGGGTGACCAAGATAATAAAAAGAGCCCTGGATGATTAGCTCAGTTGGGTAGACATCATCACGATACACCAAGGTTGCGGGTTCGATTTCCACTCAAGGCACATACAAGGAGCAGCCAATGAATGCATAAATAAGTGGAATGACAAATCAATGTTTCTCTCTTTCAAATCACTAAATAAAAAAATTGTAAGATGGTAAAAAGGGGTCAAATGAGAAGGCTTGAAAGAACTAAGAATGACCATCCTAGGGAAAGAGAAGTCTCAGAGGGCACAGCGGCTGGTCTATACCACACCCAACCTATTACTTAAACAGTCAAGTTTTTTGTTTCTAGGCTACTCACACCCACTCACTCCACCACCACTGCCCCCCCGCAGCCCACCTGTGCTGACAAACTCCTTCCAGACTCTGCTGAAATATCCATGATGTCTCCCGATCCCTCAGGCAGAGAAAGTTGTCCCAAACATCCCCCACACATCCCCCCTCTCTGGTCAGATATCTGCAGAGGCTCCACCAGGTGGCTTCATAACTCATCTACCTGTAGACTGACTCCCCGACTCGACTGCCGGGCCTCTGAGGGCAGGACCTGGGTCCTTCCTGTCTTCATCCTCCTGGCTCCTGTTACAGGGCTTGGCAGAGAAGAGGCACTTAGTCCAGGTTTAAGGACCGTGCAAAGAGAGGGAGAGAGGGAGAGAGGGAGAGAGGGAGAGGAAGAAGAGAAGAGATGGGTGGAGAAATCTCTGTGAAGGCAGAGATTTGAGCCTATGGATGACTCTCCCCCAAATCAGAACCCTTTCCAGAGTAAGGCACTGGGGCCTGAGACAGTGAGTCCAGAGGTGCTTCTCGGGGTGCTGCAGGGGTCCCCCAAGGGCACGTATCCACACAAACTCTGAGGACGCCTCTCATCCCGGCTCCTGAAAACTGGACTCACACCAGCCTAGAGAAAAGCATGCTAGGCTTTGAGTGTTTCTTCTCTCCTTCCTTATTCCAGGATCTCAACAACACTCTGCACCAGAGGACATTCAAATGTTCTTTGCAAAAGAACATGATTCCAACCAGTGATATGGGTAAAACAGTGTGGTAGAAGCCCTGACACTGATTTTGTTTTCCTGTAAGGCAAGTGCCTGACATGAGGCCTGATTTCCGATGCATCCATCTCAAAGAGCATCCCCTTCAAATCTGGAACAAACACACTGCGAGCCACAGAACGAGGCAAAGGGCCAGGCCACCTCCCGCTACAGTGGCTCTTTGTTTCAGAGATCATGGTTGATAACAGTAAATGGCCATTTGGGTTGCTTATTTGTTTTCTCTTCCCATGCTTTAAGATCCGGTTCTTATGTTTTAAATTCACCAATAAAGAGTGAGCCGAGGACACTGTAGGCCCCCCACCCTCAACCCCAATAAAAGCAGAGCCCCAGGCCCCTGAACACGTGCTCTCTCTATGTCCACCTTGCGGTGTGGCCCCAAAATGTTGTGGGGTATCATTTTGAGGTCTTATAAATAATAAAGCTGTATCTTTCTGCAGTTGCCTGATGGTTACTGCTAAAGGGTATCTTCCGACTGTAATAAGAACCACAGGGGCTGGTGTAGCCACAACACTGGTTATTGTGGACACGATGCCTAACATTGGAAGAATTCCTTCTAACCAGAACGCAATGGGCTGCCACTTTCTCAGACTTGGGGAGAAGCTATGTTGCTGCTCTGTAAGAATCTTTTTTTTTGTTGTTGTTAAAAAAAAAGAAAAAAACCTGTCTTCTGGGTACAAGTTTCAGTCATGTAAGATAGGTCCCAAAAACCTATTCTACAGCATGGTACCTAGAGCAAATACTGTACTCCCTTACTGAGAACTTGCTAGGAGGGTCGATCGTATGTGAAGTGTTCCTACCACACACACAGACACACAAATAACAGTAACGACAATAAAGGGGCAGGAGGAAACTCTGAGAGGTGATGGAGAGTCTGGGGCCTCGATGTAGGTGATGATGTTTCACAGGTGTGTATTTATCCCCACACTCAAGGAAGTCTATATGTTAATTATGAAGAGCTTTTTACATGTCACCATACCTCAGTAAAATGGTTAATTAAAAAAAACAACAATCTTCCTGGTAGAGTTGTTTGGAACGGAACAAAAAATCTCCTCGTTCATTCAGCCACAATTTTCTGAATGACAGTGATGTGCCAGGCACGAGGCAGGAGAGCTCCCAGCTGTTCTTCAAAGGTCCAAGGGACGGGAGGAGAGGGGATGTCCCTGCGCTCTTACCCGGTGCTCATTGATCAGGAGGTCCCGAGCAGCGTTGAATATCAGCGTGTGGAGGTGCTTTGAATAAAACACCAAGGTGTAGTCATAATCAAAGCCATAGATCTCGATGTCCGACAGGCTCATCTCGTTGTTGGAGAAAATGGCATCCGGATTCAGCAAGTTGTTCATAATTGAAGGAACCAATTCTAGAAGTAAAGGAACCAAATACATTATATTATACCATGCGATGAATTTTAGTGTGATTTCCAACAAAGTGAGCAAACAAAAGTGCACGAGTCATCTGCTTTACCTTGAACACATCATGCTGAGTGAAGGAAGCCGGTCACAACGCACCTCACGCGTGTGACCCCATTCACACGAGTGTCTAGAACAGGCAAGTCCACACAGACAGAAAGAACAGAACTGGTTGCCTGGGACCGCAGGGTTGGGAGAAGCAGACTGACGGGTGATGGGCACAGAACTCCTTTTCAGGGTGACGAAAATGTTCTAAAATTGATTACGGGGACAGCTGAAGAGTTGTTGTAAATATACTAGAAAACCCGAGTGGGAGATGCTCAATGGGTGATTCGTAGGGTATGTAAAATAACACCTTGATAAAATTGTTATTGAAAGAGAACATGAGCTTCAATATCACAGAAAGATTTGTTTTGCTTATAAAATACTACAGGTCGGTTACAGATTTTAGAAAATAAGCAGATCACTGAATTTAAATACCACGACTGTGACGTCATCACCCAGAAAAACAACGATGAACACGTCATGTGTTTCTTGCCAAGACTGTTCGAAGCCGACACAGCGGACCTGGCACTATGCAGAGTTTCACAGGGAGGCAGCGAACAGGGAGAACCCCGTCGTGTAACGCTGTGTGACAGGAACGCCAACCATCCTATTTTGCTACAAGGATGTGTAGCAGCTTTCATCCTCTGTGAGGTTTGCGCACCAGAATTTACTTGAAACAGCGCATGAGCAGACAAACGCTGAAGGCGGTGTCTTTCTAGAGACAGGCACAAAACCACCACACAAGCGCACAGACACTGAACTGCACACATTTTACTACTAAACGGAACCGTCTGTGTTCCACTAATCTTTACGCTACCAAAGACGACCTCCTGGCTCCATTGTAACAGCTGATACTGATTAGGCCCTTACCCGGTACTACGTGCTGTTGGAAGCACTTCTATCACCTCATGTCCTCCTTACAAGGCAAGCACTCTATCCCATTTATGTATGAGGACACTAGAGTCGCACAGAAATTATATAATCTGCTGAAAGACACACAGTAGCTAAACGGCAGAGCTGGGCTTTGAACCCAGGAAGTCTAGCTCTGGAATCTATGCTCTTGACTCCCTTCCCCAGGTTTATGGGAATCAATCAGCATTGGAGAAGGGTGCATTTTTTTTTCCCCAAAAAATAATGGATTCAGTCCTTCAAACTTTAGCGCTTTAGAGTCTACTGTGCTTCCCCTTTCCCTTCGGCTCACTTCCTTCTGACTGGGAACAGCCCATGTGTATCCACTTGTGTTCCAAGGGCCACCTGAAATGCTGGGTGGGAGCTCCGATCAGGGGCTGGTGGTCCCAGGTGCAATTCTGAGCGTTTCAGAAGGCCCCTTGCAGCTTCGGGGCTTGGAGCCCTTTGAAACGCTAACACGCCCTGGCTGGTGTGGTTCAGTGGTTGGAGCACTGTCCCCTAGATGAAAGGTCGTGGGTGTGTATGACCCCCCAATTTGCACGTGTGTCTAAGAGGCAACCAATCAATGCTGCTCTCTCGCATCAATGTTCTTCTCTCTCCCCTCCTCTCACTCTAAAATCAATGAAACAATGTTCTCAGGTGGGAATAAAAAATTTAAAAAAGGAAAAAAACTAACAGAAGCTCTAGGATCCTTTCCCCAGGAAAACAGAGATTTTGCAGAAAATTTCAGGGAGATTGACCCCTGAACCTATCCATGGTCTCCAGTGAAGTTGCCTCATTGCCCCAGGCTCCAACCAAGCCTTTACATCCCCACACAGAATCTCCGGGCCAGTGGAGGCAGGGGCGTGGATGAGTGAATGAACGGGCGAGTGAATGTCCCACTGGTGGCCTAGATATGGCCGACTCTACTGAAAACCCAAATAGTCGAGATTCGCTAATTCCATTTCTCCATTGATTTTGACAAAGACACTGATTAGACAATAACCTTGCCTTTTTTTTTCTTTTGCACATAAAACCAAGCTGAGGAAGGGAACAGCAATGTGTTAAGAAATCTGAAGGCAGACAGTCGACAAGAACTAGTCCTGAGGAAACCAGACGCCCGTGGGCATCTAACACCCAAGACCTTTGGCCTTACAAAACTGATGGGCCATCACGGCAGATACTGTGTTCTGAGTGGGACCATACGGTGAAGTACATGAAGCAGGACCGCTTACAGAGCGCCTAAAAGCTCTTCTACAAATAAACTTTCCAAGGGAAGTTCTAATAGCCTGTCTAAATAAGTAGTTTATATTTAGAAATGGCATTGGCAATGAAGTGTCTCTCCCTTTCTACGACCTAAGAAGAATATGTGAAGCTCTCAAAGAAACACTCCCACGATGGAAAATCGCTAACAGCTGGCCAGCACATCTCCGAAAGCTGCCCAGGAATGTGTCCCCACTGGACAGAGAGCCTGAGGTGTATCAATCACATGAACACAGTCACCAGAACTCTTGGACGTTTGTCATCACTCAAAATAAACTGAAGGATATCAGAAGCTTAACAGGGATCGCAGCATGCCCTGCAACCGCTTCGAAAAAGTGCTAAGAATAAAACAAATACTTACAAGGCAAAAGAAAAGAATGGCAACCACTCACAAAAAGAGTGAGTCAACTAAACAGAAGACTTTAAAATATAAACGGAAGGGCCCTTAACTAGTCAGTTATATACTTTCCGGAAGCAGAAAAAGAGTGGGTATGAATTTAGAAAGTGAATTCCTTTTGCATGTAATGGATGATGACAATGAATAAATGTACAAAGAAATAGAGAGACAGAGCTGTTGCTCTGGCCAACACTCTGGCCAGAGCCTGGTCTCAACACAGCCATCCCGAACTGGAGGCCGAGTGCCTTTCAGGGGACAGTGTTGCAGATGGGACACCACTGGCACACTCAGTAGCTTCTGGTCTTTCATTGGCTAATCCCACAGAGCACTGGGAAATGCTGTGAGCAAACTAGAGCAAAACATGTAAGTTTTGGGGGGGAGGGGTTGTTTACTCATTTTTGTTGTGGTAAAATATGGGTAACATAAAATTTATCATCTTAACCATTCTTAAGTATATGGGTCAGATACTAAGTTCACTGACATCGCTGTGTGACCGTCAGCACATCTGCCTCCCCAGAACTCTTTTCATCTGGCAGAACTGAAACTCCCACTCCCCCGACCCCCAACCCCTGGTAACCACCACTCTGCTTTCTGTCTGTGAACTTGACTGTTCCAGGGACCTCATAAAAAGGGAATCATATCATATCTTTTTGTTCCTGGCTTATTTTATTTAGCGTAACCTTTTCAAGGCTAATCCATATTGTAGCATGTGTCAGAATTTCTCTCCCTTTGAAGGCTGAGTACTACCCCATCGTAGGTGCAGACCACGTTTTGTTTGGGACGACATCCATCAGGGACACTGGTTACCATGAATAAAGCTGCGATGCCTGTGGGGGACCTGGTGTCTCTTGGAATTGCTGCTGTCACTATACTTCTTTAGAGTACAGACCTACAAGTGGAGTTGCTGGATCATACAGTAATTTTATTTTTCATTTTTTGAGGGACCACCATACTGTTCCATAGGCCCTGTACCATTCTCTGATTTTTAAAGATCACCATAAAAGAACTTCTTCCTTCACTAAATTTTATCTTTACTACTGACAAAGAATATGAACAAGGTCATAACTTAGGTACAGAAGTCAGACAAGTTTCCTACCTCACCATGGAAACATTTTAAACTGTGTAAAGATCTAAGTCTGGAAAATACAACTTTTGCCGAGTACTTCGCGCCCTTCAATGTCCGGAAATGCTAAGTGACTCTCCCTCAATGAAGGCCTCTCATGGGACAGTATGGAGTACAAATCCTGAGCTGTATCAAATATTCTTCTTAACCTCAGAAAGATGGCATCACGTGACTCCTCCTCGGCCCTGGGGACACAGCACTGGAAGGCTCTAAAAGTTTACCGGACACATTACTTGCTGTCACCATCATCCCCGGCATGAGACAGGAGGGGCGAAAGGGATGGATCTAACAAGGGGAGGCCTTACGGGCCGCCTTCGATAAGCACTGGTTGTGGGCACTGCCTGTCTGCACTCACGCCTCCTGGCTGCACCATCTCCCACTAACGTCTGTGGCTCATCTAGGCGACGAAGGATGCAGGGGATGCAGGGGATTGCAATCCTCCCCCTGCACTCCTCACACTTGCTCAGGTCAAAAGATTGTGGGCAGAAGTGACAGTGTCACTTCCAGACCACAGCACACTCCCTTCCCATACTGGGCTGATCACAGGAACACCTGCTATGGAGACACAGGATGGAAGAAGCCGGGAAGCCTGAGCCACCACCTGGAGGACGACTGCCCTGGAGAGCTGCCTGAGACCTCTAGACTTTGCGTGAGTGAGAAATAAACTTTTGGTTACAGCTGTCTGCAGTAACCCACTGAGATTTTGGAGTCGCTTCTCAGCAAAACCTAGGCTAACTGAGTGGTACACCTTCTACTCCTCTAATGTGCTGCATGTCTTCCGGAAACCATCCCTCCCCAACATTCACACTTCCTTTCCTGGTGAGGTTCCTGACTCCAGGAGACCACGTGACCAGGCCTGGCCAAACAGAGCCCCTGATTTCCCTCACCAACACTGATTGGGGAAGGCAGAGGACCCCTCTAGCCAATCATCATCATCCTTTCCCTGCAGCCATAGTGCACCAATGAGTCCGATCAGGAACATTTATGGATTTGTAGGGGAATTGCAAAGAACAGGCACTGTTCTTCCAAACTTGGACCTAAGAGGATGTGAATCTAGAGATGTACGGGGCCACTAATAGGAACCTGAAAAAGAGGCCAACAGGAAGAAAGCACGGTCGAGGGAAAGAAGCAACCCAACGACATCATCTGAACTTGGATCAAGCCATTCTTCCAGCAGTACTACCTGTGGATTTTTCAATTACATGAGCCCATATAATTTCTTTTTATTTTGTTTT